AAAAACCAATTCTGGACTATATACAGCTTTATTATGTCAGTCAATTCGGACAAAAATTTAGAAGCGGACTCTGACTTATCGATTCAGGGACTCTGTCCTTGACTCGGGCTAAATGTAGTCTGCACGGTAGGTTTTCATAATGCGTTACAAAATTTGAACCCGATGTACGAATTTTAAACGGTTTCTCAGCCAAAGCCTCGGATTTTCAAAATCCTAAAACTAATTCTAACGATAATTCAAAAATTGGAAATAAAGTTCTTCAGAATGATTTACTTGGTTTATTAAGGGGTGAAAGCCCTTTATAAGATCGTTATGTCCGTCCGTCTGTCTGTCTGTTTGTCCGTCTGTCCGTTGGTCCGATAACTTTTGAACGGAAAGACATAGAGACTTGAAATTTTGAACGTAAACTCCTAACGTCAAGGGACAGGACGAGTCCGAAGATGGACACTGTGACATCGTCACCTGTGACGAAAAAGTGTCACGTGTCAGTTTTGTCACGTGACACATCATTTATAGCTAATTTGCGGCGACGAATTAAATGGTGACCTTCATTTTGACCTCAGAGGTCATTTAAAGGTCATAGGGCATATATATGTCAATTTAACTGGAAATTCATTTTAACGCATTAAACAGTTCTTTCACTTCTTAGTTACATTCGTTGTAACGGTTTATTAAAAATCCACCTGCATATTTCTGAAAATTTAAGTTTCCATGAGTTAAATATTTTTATAGATTCCAAACACTGATAAAAAAAATTATGTAATTCAAATCTCGTGACCATGTGTGCGTTCTACAAGTGAAGACTTTGTCAGAGATTTGTTAGACAAGGTTAGGAGTCCCTGTGGCTATGCTCAATTTAATTTATGAGAAATGTGAGATATAGGGTTGCCGCGGGTAGCGAAAATGCTACCCGTTACCCGACCCGCTACCCGCAGCACAACTACCCGTACCCGCTACCCGTTATGAGAATTAGGTTAAAAACTAACCAAACTTCAGAATAAATATGATTTGATCAATTATTTGTTCATTTGGGTTGATATGTACTTTAAGATAATGCTATGCAAGTAACGCATGCCATAATTTGCTCGTAAATATCACTCGTTATTTTTGAAACCAACAATTTTGGCTTGCATTGAATCGTTTTTCAAGCTAAACCGATTTATGCACATATATCAAAAAATTGAGCCAAAAAATAGGAATTACATGACACTTATTTTTCCGTTGAATGACCCGTTTAATGGAAACTATTGGGATGGGATAGAGAGTTCAAAGTCCACCATGGTATTTGTTTAATGGAGGAAAAAATACGGAACATTTACTTGAAAATTAAACTTTGCCGCCGATATTTTTCTTCGAAGGGGCCGTTCAACGGAAAGATAAGTATCACGCGATTCCTAATTTGTGGCCTGAATTTTTTATATACTCGCTGGGCAATCTTGGTATGGCTTGAAAAAGGTTCAATTTTTAGTTTGATTTTTTCAAATTTTGATTTGAATTAAGTTTTCATTCGAAAATATTATCTACAAATAAATTTTTTGCTTTGAATCGGATTCAGGTTTTTCACCTTCGAACATGTTAAAATCTCGTCAGTCTTACATACATAAATACACACAAATACAAGTCAAATTATTACTATATTTAGAGCAGGCAAACTATGCTTGAGAAACAATAATTGCTCCGCAGTTTCTGGACGTCAAATATATTTGAGGCTAGCATAGGCTTCTGTGGCTTCCGAAAAGAGACTCCGGCTATAAACGTTTGTTGCCGACAAATGACAAATTTTGAAATGGAAAAATAATAAATTGACGCTTTTGTTGGTAAATGGACTAACTAGCTGCTAACTTTCTTTGTGAACTGAGTTTTGACGAAAATTAAATAAAAACTGAACTACCCGTTACCCGTGCGGGTAGTTCTCGCTACCCGCAGATAACGGGTACCCGCAAGAATCGTGCGGGTATGCGGGTAACGGGTACCCGACCCGTTACCCGCGGCAACCCTACTGAACGGTGCAAAAAATTGTTTGCACACAATTCATGTGTATCCCCTCTCGATGTGAATTTGTTCCAGCGTGCTATCAAATTTAAATTTCGAAATTTTATTCCCACATTAAATATTTGAAGTGTATGTATTTGTGCAAATTTGATAAAAATATTGCCATTAAATTTCCTAAATAATTTCCCAACTAATTTGCATAGCATTCTGCTGGAATACGCCTTTGCAACTCTTTTGGAGCAAGATCCTCCATCCTTGACAAGGAACCCGTCCAGTTCCCACGCACTCAGAACCTTCACAATTTTCTGGCTCATGTTCACCATCCTGGTCACGACAGCGTATCGGTCCACACTCGTCACGTTTCTCGCCTTTCCCAACATGGAACAACCTCCCGAGACCTTTGAGGAGCTACAAAGTTCAACTTACGCTATTGGTTTGCAGTACATTAAAGGCGCGGCGTATCAGCTACTGAAACATTCTAAGAATCCTACATATGCAGGAATTTTCAAAAGAATGAGCTTGGAAGAAGATGATGTCGCATGTTTTCTAAAATCAGGTGGATTTTTTACAATATGAAAACCTTGTCATTTTTTAAATGTCTAATTTTCCATTTCCCAGTTAAATCTCGTTACGCCTGCATTTCTTGGGACTCGATCGCAGAGTTTGTGAAACATCGAAACTTGACCGACAAATATGGCCGAAGTCCAGTCCTACGGTCGCCTTCGTGCACGTTTGGTATCGTTGCTGGCTTGGTCATGGAGAAAAGGGCGATTTTTAAGACGGAAATTGACCAAGTTTTCAGATGGATGGTGGCAGGTGGGATTCTCAACAAAATGAATGATTTGGACGTTCAGTTTATTCGAAGAGAGAGAACTGCCTGGCTGAAAGAGGTCGGGATGGAGAGGGATTCAGTGACCTCGATGGTTGGAGAGAAGGGGTCGAAAAGGCTGAACTTGTCACATTTTAGTGGGTCCTTCTACCTTTTCATTATTTGCATTTTGGTCTGCATTGTTACTTTCGGGAGAGAGTTTGTGGACTGTAAGAATTTTGGTTGAATTGAAATGTCATTTACCCGGTATTGTTTTTTGCTGGGATATATGGACTTGCATACTTAATATCTGTATGACAAATTTTGCAAACGTTCATAAATTAGTGTAATGCTTTGTGCGCTTCCAAGATTATTAGTTTGTTAGACAAATTTGTAAATGAATTAAGTATATTCACTTTCTTTATATATAATCTTTATTTCTTTGTAAGCTTTATAAGATTATCATTTTACAATTCAAAATAAATTGTCCTAGATAACAATGAAGTAATTCCATGTGACAGTTGAGCATAAAATATAATTTCGTGAAGAAATGCATTACTGGCGACAAGTATATGTAGGACACTAAACTCAGCTTGTTTTCATCCCCTATCAAAGCCGTGGTCAAACACTCGGCACAAAAATCCCCGCAACTTGACAAAAATAATTTTTACAAAGAAATCATAAATATGTGCGCGTGTATTATTGTCTAATATTATTGTAGATGATGCTCGTTTTGGTGATGGTCCCAATTTTTCATGAAAATTGCAAAATCATACAGAAATCACCTCAAGCTGACAAAACTGGCACTCATTTGGAAATATGTTGGTCATTTCCAGCGTGCCTAAACATTTTGTTTTCCGTAGTTTCTCCTAAGGTTAGGAGAAACCACGGGTCATTTCATTTCATTCATTATGTAAATATTTAAATTTAATTTAATCGGTAATGTTTTAGTTAATTACAATAACTCATGTCAGTCACATCTTTGGCTTGCGTGGTTTAGTCAAAGTGGAGTAATGACTTTTTATAATTAAACTATGTAATGATCAATCCAATTGACGTCGTTGACAACTTATTACTCCAATCAACCCGAAAACCAGTGTATACTACATATAACACCTATGTACTCATCATATTTGACTTTGACATAAAATGAGAAAAACGAGTCAGGATAGATTACGCTTACATATGTATGTACCTACGCAGAATTCCAGTGCACAACACCTGCCGCAGTTAAACAATGGAATCAGAGTCATGGGAGCAGTTAATTTTAAAACTGGATAAGCAAGTTAAAACATGGAGATGATATCCATCCTCACTGCCTTATTTTCATTGTATTTAATTTGTCTCACAATGGGCTGAGTGATAATAAGTACTTATCATAAGCATAATACATTCTCTCTTGTTGGACCAGTTACCTAAACCTGACTTACTTAAATATGTATGTATGCATCTGTTAAACACACTCTCGTACTTATGTATTATGCTCAACTACATACATAAGTCTGTAAAATTTCGCAATCCTCATTGAACATTCGTATGATAAATATAACTCAACAGTCTAAACCAAAAGGTCAGATTGAGAATTTAAAACAGTTATATCATAATATGTAAAAGGCGAGGTTGAAGTAAAAAATAAAGATACGGTTATAAAATGAAGCATAACAATGACATAATTCAATTCACAAATTTAAAAGATTTATTACACAAATAAATAAAACGTGATAACAAAACAGGGATAACTTCTTCACAACAAAGTTTAACTTCCTGTATTTATGTATACCATTTACGCATGGAAATCCCGAAATAAATATGTTATTGAAAGGTGATTAAGAGCTTCCAATTAATTTAAGTCAAGGAATTCCCAACCGATTGGCGTATAAATATAATCCATTCATCACTTTGTCGAGATTACGGTTTATGTATGCACATATGTAGGTTGTCACTTTCACGGTAAAATCACTTATCCAATGACAAATCATAATCCTAACTACCATTTCGCTCGTTAAGCACGAGATGGAAAAGTTTTTGATCGATGTGTCTCTACCTTGTCGCCCGGATTCGATTAATCAACTCGATCTTTATCTCCAAACAATTAACAATGGTTCTGCCGCTACCTTCCCTCATATGGCGCAGATTAGGTACGTAACTCGAGGATGATTACGTAGATGTGTCAAACTCAAAAATTTATTTTTTTGATAAGCCCAGGATGCGATTGATGGGTGAATCCCCGGTTATAAAACTGGGCCGATTTGTCTCAAATTTCTCATTCCTTGAGTAGACTGGACATTACAGACTGCACAATGAAGGTGATCATCGTTCTCGCACTCGTCGCCCTGGCTTCGGGTAAGTGCTGATTTTGAAAAAATTATTTTGAAATTTTTTATGAAAATTTTATTGTTTATTTTGAATTTCATTTCAGCCATGCCCAAGAAGGAGACCCAACCACAAGCCTTCCCCGGCCTAAACCCAGGAAGGATTGTGGGAGGAATTGAAGCCGACAGGAATGAGTAATAAATAATTTTAATAAATTTCACTACCCCAAAAAGTAATTTACTATTAATTATTAATTAAACTTTACGTATTTTTATGAAGATTTCCATTCATTGTCGACATGCGCCGCGGATCTCACTACTGCGCAGGCTCCATCATTACCGAAGAATGGGTAGTTACGGCCGCTCATTGCTCGACCGCTCAACCCTCCGCGTACACCTTGACCGCTGGAGACCACAACATTGACGTTGTCGAAGGCACTGAACAGACCCGTCAAGTCGTGCAGATCATTACTCACCCAAGTTATGGAAGGTGAGAGAGTAGTAAATATGCAAATTAGAGGGGTGAAAAATAATGCTAATTCATAAAATGGCAGCCCATTCCAATACGAGAACGACATTGCCCTCATGAAGGTCTCACCTCCCTTCGAATTCAACGACATCGTCAGGCCAGTTATCCTCCCAGAGCTTAACTTCGCCCCGACCGGTAAGGCTAATTAATTTATGGGTAAAAATTTGCAAGCTTCTAAAAAGGCGTTAATTTCTGTAGCCGTTGCCACCGTTACTGGATGGGGTGCTCTTTCTCAGGGTGGTCCATCTCCATCCGTCCTCATGAAGGTCGATGTCCCATACGTGGATGATATCGCTTGCAACGTCTCCTACTCTGGAGATATCGCATCCACCATGATCTGCTATGGTGAAGGTGGAAAGGACTCGTGCCAAGGAGGTGGGTGGACAATAATAATTTGCATAATAGTCTCAACTTGCCTCATAATGCATAAATAGTTAATGATAATCTGTTGTAATTGTATGTTCCAGACTCTGGTGGCCCAATCGTCTGCGGAGCTGACAAGGCCCTTTGCGGTATTGTTTCATGGGGACAGGGTTGCGCTCAACCAGGGTAAGCATTTTAATTATTTAACTAATTGACTAAAGTGTATGAATTATGTACTGTGAAAATTTCAAAATGTTTAAACATTTTATTTACAGATACCCAGGTGTCTACACCGAAACTTCATGGTACGGTGAATGGATCCGAACTGCCATCACCCCCACTGAAGAAGATCCCTCACCCGTTGTCGATGGTAAATAAGTTAAACAAATATTTCCTCAATTCTATCCCCCATTCTCACCTTGCCTCTCTTCATCCAGTCACCGAATGCGGAGGCCGTATCGATGAATCCTCTGCCGCCATCAACTACAACCTGGGATCCTCCATCCCTGCTGGACAAAGGTGCGTCTGGACCGTCAAGACCCCATACGACTCTTTGAGGATCGGACTCCAAGAATCCGGCCTCGGCGCGGAGGACAAGATCTACGTCACCGAATACACCGCGACCGGACCAGGCAGACAGTTCGAACTTGCCGCTGCCGGAGAGGACTTCACCGTCACGGGGGGTCTTTACCTCATCACCTTCATTGCCGGACCATCTGGTGGATCCAATGGATTCAGCATTCACTACTTCTCCTCCGGATATGGTGACTCGACCCCTGCCCTGTCCGGTTTCGCCAGCCTGTCCACTGCCACGGGATCCTACTCTTACCCAGAGGGTGGTGGCCAATACAGAAATGGAGAGAACGCCGTCTTCATCGTCAACCCATCCGAGGCTGGCGACCGCACCTTGACCTTCACCAGGATGGATGTTGAGAACGATTCTTCCTGCACGTACGACGCTGTCGCTGTGTTCGTCTGGACCAACAACATGTACACTCAACGAGCCAGGTAAATAAGTACCGGTTGAGAATTTGGGGGTGGAATTTTTGAGACGGGGTTATCAATTATAAAAAATGTGTTGTGAAACAGATTCTGCGGAACGGCGATTCCAACTCCATTCCAAATTCCGGGAGGTCTTGCCCTCGTCACGTTCACGACGGACAGCAGTGTGACCGGTTCTGGATTCACCTTCGGCTGGGCTTAAGTCTGTTTCGTTTCAAATTCGGCTTATTTTTAGCCACTTTTTCTAATACTCTCCTCTTGTACGATTCGGTATCGTTTTTTTTGTGATATGTGAATAAAAATTGAGTTCTTTCTGAAGTTGATTCGATCTCAAATTTATTATGCATTAACAATTTCATAAATTTCTGAAAGTATTTATTTAATTAAGTACATGTACAGAAAAAATTGATAAGTATTTCTGATATTTACAAACGACTCATATAAATAATTGAAATGAATTAATTGATGAATTACGTAAATTGAATGTCACTAATTTCGTTATTAACCACCTGGTAGAAAAACAATATCTGTATAGTAACTCAGTTCTGCAACTATTAGTTAAGTCGAATCATCTTCTTGCGACGTCTCAGTTTATTTTGAAACGCTGACTGACAAAGATAAATTCCATCCGGACTTTTATTGCATCCCAAAAAATCACAGCAAACGGCTTTTCCAGGATGACACGGGCGATTTGTAATTATGCAGAGGTACTGACAAATTTAAAATCGTGGTGACTTTTCAATTTAATTTATATAGTTAAAGAAGCATATATGACAATCGTACCGGTTTTAATGCTTGAGCATTCAAGGAACAAAGTAACACGCACATTACGGTAGAAACACAGATAATTTCGATTGTGTTCATGGCTTTGTCTTTGCAGCGTGAATGTGAGCATTATATGTACATTTATGGAACTACGCAAATAAATTGTACTGATCATTTGTATGTTTTTATATTTAGATTTTGTTTCTAACTGTGTATTGCCGGTTCCTGGAAACATTAATTAGCGAAAGGAGTTGTTTTCAATAAATCTGTCGTTAATATAAGTAACTATTTAAATTATTAGTAGCATGTTATCCTGGTGGAGCTATATGTACACATGTACATACAGAAGTACATACACATGCATATTCACATCAGTAAATTGTGAATTCCTTCCATGGGTTGTCGATTCACTTTTTCGGCAAAATTCTTAGAACGCAAAGAATTATGCCGAATATGTAAATTGGTAATTTAACCTTGTAGATACACAATTTCATTCAAATTTCGACGGATGAATGGACATCATCTATCAGCACATATGCGTATGTAGCTCCTTCCTTTGGATGCCTAAAAAGGTATTTACTTGAACCAGAATAATTTGGTATTAACTTCACCATGCAAAATGTGTTCCTTAATTTTATTCGTCTCTATCCCTAAATCAGATTATTTTAACTTTAACTAAATATTAGTATGAATTTTTCAGAAATATTGGTTTATTTTGCTTCAGAGACTCGTGCATGCTACATATATTGACACCTGTACGAATATCAGTACTCGCAATTTCGAAATACGTATTTCCTGAAAATGATACCTGAAAGTGGATGAAAGCTGTACATGCAAAAAAACTTAAAAAAATGTGTCCTCATGTGCATAAATATCCGAAAATTATCTTGCTAAAAATAACTTACCACAAAAAAAATCAGTATTTTTAATTAGTCTATTGACTATTGCAAGTTTTAATGGTGAAATGGAGAAGTGTTGCATTATATAAATAAATATATAGTTTATCTATTAAATGGAAATAGTTACTATGCATGTACATGTTTAAATATGCGCGTAACGTGTTAAACTATACTTAAAAGAACAATTGTTTAATACCCAACATGAAATTACTTGTGCACAATTAGTCAAAGTAAATAAAAAAAATTCACACTTCATAGCTTATCTGGAGACATTGCACCTTAGAATATATTAAAATTACACTAATGACAAAAACATGTTTTTCAAAACTTTAATTATCCAGACTCCAAGAAACTATGATCATAAAATTAATGAAGTTTTGACCATATAAAATCTCACTCAGACAGCTCTAAAACCAGTCGAGATCTCTCAGTTGACTTATCTTATTGAACAAAAATATATACACACAATTTCCCTCAGGTGAGTTTTCCTAAATAATTTATGTAGAATTATCATTCGTTAACAAAGTTTCTTTTTTCCCTAAAATTTCAGAAACCATGAAGATTTTTGCAATCATTTTTGCCATCGTCGCCATCCTCATTGGGCTCACATTTGGTCAGAAAAGTGGGGAAAAATGTACTTTCACCGGTGTCCAAGCAACGGATGATTCCGCGTGTGGCGGAAACCTTCTCTGTGGTAAAACCGGTACGTGCGTCTGTCCCGATGTGTACGGATCATCGACTGCCAAATTCACCGTGTCCGCTGATCAAACGACTTGTGTTGCGAAATCATAAATTTTCAATAATTGACATGTCATTTATGTATGTATATCGGAAGAAATGTGTCAAAGTTATTAAAAATTTTCATGATACATATGTATGTATTAAAAGCTGTGATACAGAGGCATGCTATTCTTATCAGCATTATAATTTTGTGCTTGTTATCCAAATTTGTAAATAACTTGCTTATGATCGGGAATACTTATTATACAATTTGTGAATAGTAATTAAGATATAGAAAAATAAATTGAATACTGCATGCAAATTTCATGTCACGTTTTACCAACATTGACAATTTTTATGCAGTGCGATATAATTTAGTTTAGTATACCACTGTATAATTCACAATTTTTCTCAAATTTGTTAATTCACCTGATGAAGGACGAAGTATTTTCCGAAAGCTTGTGACTAATAAACATTGAACAAATTTACATCCATGAGTTCCGAAATAATGTCTCTTAATTTAGTTTAGATTTATCAGTGCTTCTATAAATGCTGGACGTCGGAAATAATTTCCATATCTTCTAATGACTAGATAAATACTTCTTATGTACAAGTTAGTTGGTTTATATTTACTTCTGAGTATGGTCAAGTTATCCTAACTTATCATTGATAAGTTATCAGTCCTAGATTTCTAAAATATTAGAATAACGAACTTAATAAATTCTCTTCGAGTAGTTTGAAAATTTCATAAGCAGTGGAATAAATTACAATTCGTTATTACTTTTGATCTAGGCACGTATATACATAGGAATGTAACTTACGTAATCTTATGTACATATGCATTTTGTACTCCTGTTATGCGATTTATAAATATTTTTTACCATTGCACAACTGTATTATACTTATTAAATACTTAGTTAACTTAAAATTGGTTTGAACACCACGGCGTTAATTACACTTCTTTTCAGGTATTTAATGATGTTATTGACACGTGAAATCTAATGACAATGACGACACAAGGAAGACCTCCGAAACAAAAAAAAGATTTTAACCATAAATAAATATGCATGAGTACTCGACATGTATCCACTTTTTTGCAGCTTTATGAGCAAATGGACCAAAATTATAATAATGAAATGAACAAAAACAACTTTAACAGCAAACATTACAGTTCCAAACTTCTCAGAAACGGAATAATTAAACATTCGTCAAAATAAATCATTTTCTCAGCATGTATAAAATACAGATTGTGCCAAGTCTAAATAGGTTCATAACTGAAGTTTGCAGGGAAGGATACAAAAATTCAGATTTCTTGCTAGAAAATTATCAAATAATTCGGGTAAACAAAATTTCTTCCAAATTTGTTAGCTTCAAATCTTTATGTAATTATAACTTGACCTTTCTAATTCACTTTCAGAAAAGTATGAAGGTTTTTGCACTTCTGGTCATTCTCGTTGCTCTATTCATTGGGCTAACAACGAGTCAAAAGCATGGGGCGTCGTGTACTCACACTGGAATCAAACCGAAAGACGATTCCGTGTGTTCTGGAAATCTGCTCTGCGGGATATCCAATACCTGCGTCTGCCCAGACACTTATGGGTCCTCCCCATTGAATTTCAACATTGCTGCTGATGGATTATCGTGTGTGGAGCGATCTTAAGTTTTTATTTGCAAAACTGAATATTAAATCCTTACATATGTACATATTTAAATTCAAACGGGTATCGGAAAAAATCTGTCGGACTTTTTATACAATAGTTTTAAAACGTGTAATGATTTCGAATTATTCTATTTCGTATAATTTACTCATCATAATTTGTTCATGTTACAAAATTTTATCAAAATTGATTTCATAAAACATGCAATAAAAAATCTTTAGTTATGTAAGTTAAAGTGTCTCATTCATGAAGGCATGTATTTATGAACCCACTTGAACTATTTAGGCGATTTTGTGCTTATTACTGGTAACCTGACTGAAGTTAATGGGCGTACTCACGTCAACGTCTTGAGTTTTTTGTCGTATGCATATTTTATCGTTACGTCCCCTGGAAGTTATAGATAGACTGAAGAAAATCCCTGGAGACAAACCCCTAATAAAGTTTTGATACATTTTCACCCATAATCTACCGCATAATACCCCCCCCCCCCCCCCGCAGTTTTGGCATAATCAGCCCCAAGATTTCCCCAATCTTCGATAATAATTTCGATCCCGACCGCAATTTCCTTGTAAAAGGGGACATAGCAATTCGGAAATATGTAAGTGCACCCCCTAGGCTTAGCGCAGGGGATGACATGATGCGCCATACCAATCGTTTGCACGAGAACTGGTGCAATAATTTGTCCAGTAATTTCCCTAGTACTTATCCAAAAAAGTATATTGATTATAATTGTCATAAATATACCTAGGTATAGGCAATTTGTGCATTCAATTCAATGCAGTTCAAAGATTCTACACAATTTACAGGAACTTACGTAAATACAATGTTTTTGAAAAAAAAAATTAACATGTTTAGGTAGCAATCAGTATTCAGTAGTTTTTTTAAGCAAATAATAAAGAAAAAGACCACCATAATACATAAGTATGTACATATGTCAACTACAAAATAAAATACAGTATGAATACCATGCATTCCATGGATAAAATAGGTGGAATCGCATTTTTATAACTTATATATTAGAAAACTACAATTATAATTATGTACAGGAAGTCAAGCAAAATTTAATTAAGTAAATATATATTTATTATATGTATATAAGTATGTATGTACATATGCATTGTTAAATTGAAGACAAGACAGAATTAAAGGGCAGGTGTGGTGGGGGCAGGGGTCGTGGTCGTGGTGGTGGCATTGTTGACGAGGGAGACGGCACAATTCCAGGCGGTGATGTCGTATTCGATGAAGAGTAAGGTGATTTGTGTCTCTTTGCAAACGCAGGTCACGTTCAGCTGGCCAATGATCGTTGTGTTCACTGCGCCCACAGGGGAGCAGACATTTGCTGAAATTCAATATAAAAATAGTTACATTTTTTGTCAAAATTTAAGAAACTGTGAAAATTCAGAACTTCCATCATCTAATTTGGACATGTGTACATATGTACACAACGATTTTTCTTATATAAGTATTTACATACCTCCAATTGTTATTGGGGTTGACTCCACGGGTAGAACAAGGCTCCCGGTATAAGCCACCAAGGCAACGAGGGCAATGGATTTGGTGAAGGAAAGCATTTTAGATATCTCTGATGTATGTTTCCGAAGTATGTAAACTATGACAAATTTGGAAATATTTTTAAGAAATTTTTTTTGTGGCAAATGATAAATTTATTAGTAAGATATTGCTTGATCTTGACTTTGACTTGTAGATTGGATGTGAATGTCCAGTGTGAAGGACGGCATCTTTTTATTCAAAATATTTCATGCGTAATTCACTTTTCGGTTCTGACGCTTATTTTTGTTTGTCAAAATATTGCGGATAAACGATTCAATTTTCTATTCATGACTTAGCTGGACTAAAGAGGTTCGATATTCCTTATCATAATAACTTAAAATATTGCATTAGGTTAGTAAATTGACAATATCTTTGTCCGTTCATTTGTTTCAACTCCTTGTCAAATTAGAACTTGTGGTACACAAATACAATACTATACATATTTACATTGAGTTGTATATATGCATCTATGTAGGTGCATACGTCAAGACTTATCAAAGTTTGTCCCAAAACCATTTCTTGACCAATTGAGACACCGTGGGAGAGATATGTACTCCTGTATGTATACCTACATAAACGCAAATAGACATAATATGTTGTATGTACATAAGCATTTATTATTTTGCGAATATCTCCGATGTGCGACTGTACATACATACATGCGTCCTTTTAGTTGTCTGTACCACTACCAACTACATAATGTTGTCCTGCTGAAGTCGAGAATAACTGTGAAATACAGACTTATGCACATATCTATTTATATATGTTTCTACATAGGTTTCGTTTATAGTTTATAATGTACATATCCGCGATTTCCTTAGTGCAAACAATGCTACATTGCAATTTACGTAAATGTTCAGAATTGGATTTTTAGTTGTTCATATCTCAAATTTTGTATTTGTAAGTGCATTGTTCTCTGCACAATTACATAGCTTATGTTTGTGTGCAATAAGTAGAAAAAAGAGTAGAGAACTAGTCCATTTGCTAAATATCAAATAAGTGTATGAAAATAATTTTACAACTTTATGTTGTCTCGGAATACTTAATATCTACATATTCATACATGCAAACGTACATGTTCTATATATGTATTTATAAGTACTTATTTATTCATAACTACAGAAGCTTAAGAAAAGAAAGACATCCGCTAGCTTGCGGCTGTCTTTCTCATCCTCGGTTAGTGTGATTAGGAAAATTAATTCATCTTCAATCCTGATAAATTAGCCATCAGCTATAATCTTGACGTCATAACGCCTCATTTGTTTATTTGATTTAAGTATGCACATGCTTAAACATAAATACATGCTACATATATCTTCACTTAATTATGTACGTATGTGTGCTTCTCGTTTCATAACCGATTATACGTGGGTGTTTTATTATTGATTTTCAAAAGGTATGTTCCGCACTGTTTCTGACAAAACTTTTGATGAAATAACAAACGTCAAATACATTTAGGATGCTGTGATTTTTTTCAGTTCTGTAGGTTAACATTAACACTAGCAATAGCTCATCAAAATTTACCTCGAAAATATGCCAAAATTTACGACTTGATTTCATTATCATCAGAAAACCGTTTCCCCCTGATGTCCTTCTTTAAGTTTCGAAACGAATAATAATCACCAAGGGTCATGTCTGAACTGTACGGGAGGTGGTTTATGACGGCGAAGCAATTTCCGTCTGCAGCAGTCCTCGCAAAATGCCAGGTATGAGGTGGCGCTTTGGCGTGCTAAAAATGCACCAACTCTTTTTTTTGACCCCACGTTTTCTTCAACCACAGCACACAGCTCCTTCGGGATTCCTGCATAGGCTGTCCCATTTATCATAGTATTTTTACCAATAAATGTTATAAGGAAGGGACCTTTGGTGTCCTTGAAAATGGGAATCATCAATGTTTTGGCAGGTTTTTGCACTTTTGCTTTCATGGGCGGTGGCGACCCCCCGTGCTTCCATTGTATGAATTATTATTTGGTCTCCGGGTCATAATAGTAAACCCAAGTATCATATCCAACTATTAAAATATGAATCAGGTTCCAGGTTTCATTTGAAATGGCAAAATTTTCATTACAAAAGTCGACTCGATCCTGTTTTTGAGATGCCGAAAGCAATTTTGGTACCCAACGGGAGGAAGCCATTTTCATACCGAAGTCTTCAGTTAACATGGAACAAATTGTTGGTTTTGGAACACCCATCTCATCTGCTAAATAGGACAGTTTCAATCGCGGATCTCTCATTATTGGTTCATCTAGTTTCCTGAGCCTTTCTGTGGGAGAAACAGATTTTGGGCGTCCTAGCGGCTTTTTGTCCGAGACTTCTTTTCGCCATCATTTGAACTTATTGACCAAATTGAATTTGTGTCTTGTGTTGGGCAGTTTTCATCGTAAATTTTAAGCATTCGATCATAAATCTGCGACACGTATTGCCCCTCCAGCATTAAAAGTTAAATCACACTACGATATTTAATTTGCAAATCTGACATTTTTCCGTCGAGGTAAAGTTTGCTGATTTATTGCTAGTGTTTATGTCAACCTACAAACCTGAAAAAAATCACAGCCTCCTAAATGTATCTGAAGTTTGTTATTTCATCAAAAGTTTGATCACAAACAGTGCGGAACATACCTTTTGAAAATCAATAATAAAACACCTACGTATATGTAGGTATCTAACTCAAAATCAGTATAAAACTTTAGGTCATATTTGTACATATTTATATATACGCATGATAATTTACTATTAAAGAATCATTAGCAAAGCTCAAATTTTGTCAGGAACTAATAAGTGAAACAAATGATTTGATCAAAACATTAATTATCGAACCGCTTTAATCCAACTGGGTAATGAATGGCTGAATATCCGCAATATTTTGACAAACAAAAATAAGCGTCAGGACCGAAAAAATAAATTGCGCATGAAATATTTTAAATAAAAAGGTGCCGTCCTTCACATTGGACATTCACATCCAATCTACAAGTCAAAGTCAAGATCTTACTAATAAATTTCTCATTTCCCACAAAAAAAAATTTCTTAAAAATATTTCCAAATTTGTCACAGTTTACATACTTCGGAAACATACATCAGAGATATCTAAAATGCTTTCCTTCACCAAATCCATTGCCATCGTCGCCTTGGTGGCTTATGCCGGGAGCCTTGTTCTACCTGTGGAGTCAACCCCAATAACAATTGGAGGTAAAACATTTAAATAAATGTTCCTGCATAAATTGAAATATATAAGCTGACGATTTTCAATTTTGTGAAATTATTTTAACATTGACATTATTTTATTTGAAAAATTTAACTATTTTTGTATTGAATTTCAGCAAATGTCTGCTCCCCTGTGGGCGCGGTGAATACGACGATCATTGGCCCGCTGAACGTGACCTGCGTTTGCCAAGAGACGCAAGTCACCTTACTCTTCGTCGAATACGACATCACCGCCTGGAATTGTGCCGTCTCCCTTGTAAACAATGCCACCACTACCACCACGACCCCTGCCCCCAGCACTTAATTATGCCCCTTAATTATGTCTTATCTTCAGATAGCCATATAATATTTGTATATTTATTTACCTACTTCATTACATTCTGGTCGACCTCCCAGGTGATCAAGCCTTCAAGGATGTACATATGCAAATATATAATTCACAAAAATGCTATTCCGCTAATTTTACCCATGTAATAAATGGCATTGATTTTATGAATTTTCTTTTATTTTCTCACAACAAATGGATATGCACATTCATCCGAAAAACAGGTATGACTTTAAAAACATAAGAAAATTAAGAGTTTTGACTAGAGATGAAAATCTCAAGAATTTACCCCAAAATAGTAATAAGTCACATTTTAATAATGGGACATATATTTATTTTCCGCAAAACAATATGCAATAGCTGACTTACTTGGCGACGACCGGTAATGTGACGCTTGAATCATCATGAATGACGACCAGAAAAATTGAATTCAACAAACACTTCTGCAATTACATCGATTAATCGGACTGCGATCTTAAATTGTTAACTCAGCTGCAAGTTCGGGGAGATCGCTTATCGAATTATGCATATGCCTCCTCTAATTGATTTCTTATCAATAAATTTATTAATGGATTGACCACAGACAAATCTACTTATTGAACTCGTGATATCAGTTAACGTGCAATTTTGTACTACCTACGCAGTCTTACCAACGAACGTACTCGTACAGAGTTGCGTACGTCCATCAGACAGACGAATTGATGGATAAGCCCATTGTCTTTTGTTATCAAATTGGTATAAAACTCGGTTGCCCCGGTTATCCAAATTCATTCACACAATCCATTTCTTTCTGTACACCAAGTAAGAAAAAGCTCAATTTGATTTACAATTTCAAAATGAACTTCCTTGTTCTCGCCACCCTTCTCATCACCGTTTTCTCCTGCGCCACCGGGGTCAAGCAGTACTTCACCTTCTTTCAGGGCGAGAACTGCACCGGTGACTACATCGGATTTACCTCAAAACATGCCACCCTCACGTATTGGGAACCTTTCATCAATGCCTCCAAATCTGCGGAGTATGTCGGAACGTAAGTCACAGGAATTAATTTAGAGTATTAAAATCGTTATAAAATTGATAAAGCTGTAAATAATAAGCGCACATAAAAAGTACTAAGTTTCGAATTTCTTATATCAGCTGGCACCTCTACCGTGAACAAAACTTTACCAATGTCGTGGCCCCCTTTGGTCCCTCTTACGAGCCGAGATGTTCCCCCACGACTTTTGCTTTCTTAAACGTCAAGTCTCTCCGCCATCAGGGACCTCTTGACACTTCCACGAGCGCTATCTCGGTCTACGAAGAATCAGGATTTTCTGGTCGTGAGGTTATCATCACTGCCCTCTCCGCTAATAACTTTCCCTTCGTCCCTGCCTCCGCGATTAGTTCGGGAAGGAGCAACTGGACATTATGGGAGACAAATAACTTTACCGGAAACGCGACCTGCTTCGAAAACACGTCTGGGAGTGGGGCCGATCATTGGTTAATTCATAGCGTCCCTTTCGCCTCGGTGGTTTCCGGTTGCGCAGGTGCTTAAGAATTGTCCAATTACATGATCAAGTTCAGATCCAGTTATGAAAATGAATAAAGCAATACTTAAAAATAAAATTTGTTAAAATGGATGCTTTGTTCGCCTCAATTTATTTTCCGATTTTAAATCCTAGTTAAACACGTTTACATACATATATTCACCAAATTACAAGAAATGATTTATTTTTAAAAGAAAATTTTTAATTTTATGGCAAGAGAAATTGTAAACCAAAAATTCTAATTAAAAGTTTTCATTAAGTTTATACATTTTGCTGCCTTAAGCTATAAGCCTAATAAGTGGGATTGTTGCCAATCTTTTCCATATTTCCACAGTCATTACTGGGAAAATGAGTAGTTTGTTTACTCAAATTGTCTCCATTAATCATCTTTTCCAGTTAAATGCATCTGTTTTTTTTACAATTGATACTGCTTTCAATAGACAAAATGCATGTTCTCATTAAATTATTCTCATCCGGCGTAACTAATAAATATTCCAATGTACTAATCCTAAGTATGTACAGTAGCTTAATAAGCTGCGAAATACAAATAAATATTTATCAAATTTTACCAGCTCATTCCCCAGTCCTCAACCGCATCATCACATTCACGTCAATTTTATAAGCCTCACAAATACTCGATTACTCTTTACTTGGAAATCATTAATAGTTCATCCTCTTACATATAAAAACGTTACACTCTCATCTTTCTACCTCAGAATACAATCAAACTACTAATAACATCATCTTTTATATCGTCTCACATTCCCCACCAAAATGTCCATCATTCTCACATCCTTTACTCTATCCACCCTGATCCTGAACACCTTCGCTGCCCATCAAATCAACGTAATCAACCGCTGCTCCGAAACCGTATGGGTGGGAACCTTCGGCGACAACCAAATCCCTGCCGGTGGTGGTTTCAAACTTAATCCGGGACAACGCCAAAGCTTCTCCACGATCGATGGCTGGACTTCTGGCCGCGTCTGGGGGAAAACCGGATGTGACTCAAATGGCAATAATTGCGTGACCGGAAACTCTCCACCGGGTGGAAGGACGACTTTACAACCTGTAACACTAGCCGAATTCGGATTCGACAAATTCATGGGGCTGGACTTTTATGACTTGAGCTTGGTTGACGGTTTCAACCTGCCCATGGCGATTCAACCCTTTGGTGTAAACTTGGACCAGAATTGCAAACTGTTGCGGTGTCAGTTCAACTTTAACGTGTGCCCAAATGAGAGAAATTTCCGACAATTTGACAGCCGAGGAAGGATGGTGGCTTGCAATAGTGGATGCAGTGCGAAGAGGGAGGACAAATATTGTTGTACTGGGCCGTACTATAATAATCGTGATAACTGTCAACCAACCGAATATTCGAGACTGTTTAAGGATCAATGTCCAGACTCGTATAGTTACGCGTACGATAAGAAAGACGCGGATTGGGCGTGTAAAGGAAAGTCAGCGGGGTCATCGGGATATGAGATTACTTTTTGCCCCTAGTTTTATTGTTGTTAAATTAAAATTCTATTATTTATTTGAAATAAAGTTCGAATTATATGCGAAACATAGCAATTGATGTTGATTCTCATATGCAATTAATTCTTAGATTGCATGACACATTGTTCTCTATGTATGATGTACCACACTCCAGTGAATGGTGCCATAACATATGTACGTATTTACACAGATATTTATGCATTCATTGAAAGGTATTAATTTTATTTATAAATTGAGAATATGAAATTAAGTATGTTGAAAAGTGGGCAAAGTATTAAGTCCCCATAAAAAAGTACAATATAGTCATTAAAGAGTTTGTTGAATTCTTTTTCGGCGATTTTATCCATATCCTCCATAACCTGAAAATCAATTAGAAAATACCACTCATACATATTTAACAGGATTAATGCTCTCGTTGTAACTCACCACCATATCCTGAAAGAAATTTAAAATAGTTAAATTAAGACAAGTACATGGAATGCTATCAAGGAAATCTGCAACATCAGATTTTTCCTTTGCTCCCCAAACTAACAACTAATCGACTTTTAACTTGCAAATTTTCCCATTAACAAAATATTTAAGATGAACTAAAATTAATTGCATAAAACGGATTATGAAAGAATACCTCCATAACCTGGAATTAGAAAATTTTAATTTTAATATAACGATGAACACAAAGATATTTATTTAGGTCAGGTATGCAGCTTACCACCGTAACCTGTTAAAAAAATTAAACAAATTAATATCAACTAATAATAATTGTTTCAATTATCACTTCCAAATGTCAAAATTCTCACCTCCATATCCTAAAAAAAACAATTAGAAAATCAACATCAAAATTATATAGATTTTAACAAATATACATATGCACAGTAAAAACTAACCTCCATAGCCCCCAAAACCCCCTCCATAACCTGCGGATAAGATAGAAAAATTTTCACTACCGATAAAGCTACTAAGAAAATAAATATTTGTGAGACATATGTATTGCCAGCCCATTAATAAAATTATACATGAAAAATGCATTAAAGGTGTCTTTTGTCTGGTTTCATAATTAAGTTGACAAATGACAAATGCATTTTTATATTTTTTTGCTTAAATAAACAAAAATAAACAAAAATGCAAGATGGAACAATCAATGTTACGTATGTATTTAGGTCATTACGCACCTCCATATCCTGCAATTAATTAAGATTTGTGTAAATATTATGCAATATGAACCGATAATTACATTGCCATACCTCCGTATCCTGTATAAAGAATTACAATACAAAATTATTAGCATCATAGAAAAAGCACGTGGCTTGACTTAATATTATCTGCTAGACAAGTATCTGTGTGCGTACCTCCGAATCCTTTCTTAATAAATCTCGGCTCTCGAATCAATGCTAATCCAAAAAATCAAAATATGATTAAATTATCCTCAATCAACTGATGAAAGTGCGAGCTACATACCAGGAGAAGGGCCATTGACGTCTGGATACGTTAATCCATTATTAACTTCAGGTGCGCCGATTGGATTCCCACGCACTGAATGAACGGAAAACGATAGCAGTACAAAGTAAAGAATTAATTCAACAATCTTATTAAATTTCCCCATTTTATTCAGAAGAAAAAGTAGCAGTGTGCTTTGTACTTTAAGGAAATTTCAACTGGGGCCAGTCCCTGGAGAGAAGCAGATTTATATATTACTCAGACTCCATCAACTTGGCCGGATTCACGGCAAATTTCTAATTAAAAATGTGATCGACGAATTGATATGCTTAATCAGGCAGAAATCGGAGGGTAACTAAAACAATATAAACAATATATTTCTCCAAAACAGTAATTATTCATGGTTTGAGAAGATAGACCAGACCGATGCTTTTGAAGCGACAGGTGAGGATACTAGGGATATTGATTACGAGTTCGCATAGGTATAAAAAAAACGAAGTTCGCAATTTTGCAAAAAAATGGCGAACTCGTACATATGTATTCGTAATATGTTCAAGTAATATATTCATCAAAAATGTGTGTAAAACTGTAAATTTATGTACATTACACAAATAATGTGTGATAATACAGATAAAACACCTGGACTTTTTCATACACAAGTACAGATGTATGAAACGCATGAAAGCGAAACAAAACGCAAGAAACAAATTTTTTGTAATCGTGTGGGATTCGGCAAATCGTTTTTTCCGAAACCAAATCTGGAGATAGCTGGTTTTTTTAACGTGAGCGTGACATATACCGAGACAAACGTGCAAATGAGGTAGATCCGACGGAATTCCCAAAAAAGTAGCGAATCTGAAAAAAAATTCCAGTGAAGGATGGAGATGAGACAAACATACACATCATGCAATGATACATAGCTTTTCTTTAAAAAAACATTACGCAACTATCTATTAAGGACATGGTTCAATTATATTAGTTTAATAAAAGTATAAAAGATTTGGTTGCCTGGTTACATAAAATACTAGAAAATCGGATGACGCATTAAAAACTTTGTCGTTTTATTGATGCAATTGGCTAGTACATTTTTGTGCGCCACAAAGTTTGATCATTCTTGCTTACATTCGTAATTTATAATTATGAAACTGTCCAATAATGTCAAAATCATATCAGAAATCAAACTTATAAATGCCCTATGTAAGCATGTGAGGTACTTACAATGCATATGTCAGGCATATTCTCGTTGATCTTACATAAAACTAGCATTAAATTATGTATGCAATACTTAAGCAGCACACATTTTAAATTATAAGTTTTGGTTCCAAGGCTGCCCTAAGAACCTACATATTTTGAATGAATATATAGATATGTATAGATAAGTTTTTATATGGTCAGACCGTTAATTACTTAGGAGGACAACCCTTCACCGACAGAATCACCGATCTTGATGCCCTTTGGATATGTTGTAGTCCTAGGTGAGTCTAGTAAAAGTGAAGGAGGATTTCATTCCATGGCCCCATTTGCGCCCGCCACACCCACTCAAAGAGGAATCTTATGCCAAACTGGTCGCATTAAAAAATTCACCAAAAATCCATTTTTAATGATAATTTGATAATTTTTGCACCTTTTTGATCCCAGATAGTTGTTTTATCGTATCCGACATGAATTTCAATTTTTTGAATTTTTGAATATTTTCGAAAATTTCGTAGATTTCGAAAAAATCAAAATTTCAAAAAAGTTGAGTTTGCTATTGGATATGATAAAGCAACTATCTAGGGTCACAAAAATGCTTAAATTGTGAAAATCCGACCAAAATTGGATTTTTGGTGATTTTTTTAATGAACCAAAACAGGGTATTTTCGCACCTTTGAGTGGGTGTGGCGGGCGCAAATGGGGCCATTGAATGAAATCCTTCTTCACTTTTGCTAGACTCACCTAGGACTACAACATATCCAAAGGGCATCAAGATCGGTGATTCTGTCGGTGAAGGGTTGTCCTCCTTAGTTACATATGTATCATGTATAATATCTAACTACATTCTTATATGTACGTAAATCTTACTACATACATACAGACCTGCTGGTTTGAAACCTACAAAAAATATTATCTTTTAAGGGAAGCCCAACTCTTGTAAGTAAATCAATAAATACATAACACATACATTGTATCCACGAAAGCATGTAGCACGAAGGTATTCACAATTTATTCATGCCAAATTTGAATTAGGTTTTTACATATGTATGTATGCATGCATGTACATATGTAATATGTCTGACACGCTTCTCTATGAATCCTGTGCAGCATTGGGGTTTGTGAAATATGAAGCATTTAAAATGCTCAAACCTATCCAACAAGTGGCTTGCAAAAGTGAAGTTTCTACATTTTCTGGTGTTTAAGTAGGTGAAAGCACAGACAACACACGAGTCGGGATTATCGATTTTCACCCACACAGGTTGTCCCAAGCTGCACAAACGTTTAGCCATATTTCGCCAACGTTCTCCTGCTGAGAAACATGTGTTCAAATATCACAAGGCCTAGAGAGTGAGAATTATCTTAGAAATATTAATGCCTGTTAAGTATTTACAGAAGTTTACATTTGCATAAGGTAAGCTAAACTTATAAATAATTATGTATTTTCATAACAATTATTTAAATAAGTAATCACTGAGCCCTGAATTCATAAAGCGTTAGCTGTAATACCTAAGCAAATCTGACAAAATGCCTGGGATGGGAGGTGCTGTGGGGTTTTGCCATTCACGAGGGAGCGGTATGGGGCTAAATGAGTGGAATTTCTTAAAATTTTCGCCCCATGAAAATCTCCACATGAGAAGAGAATCCACCTACGATGGAGCCTTAATCAACCTAGTTAAATCCAAACGAAACGAAATTCGGGGCACGGTCCAACTCACGAAAACACTGGATCATTTCGGTATCGAGTTCCTATAATTTACTTGGAAATATGTTTTATCAACATTCTTAAAACTAAAATTTCCATAGTTTAGCTCGATATTTCTGTACGATTTTTAAAGTCCTTCTCCAAGACGTGTGACCAACGAATTTATTGTAAATTATTCCAGGACTTGTGATAGAGCTCGCTGGAAACTTTGAAACACAGGAAACCAAAACGTACCCCTTATTACCACCAAACCATTCCCCCTCCGGTCTTTCCCGCTCCCTGCAGGACTTATCGATCTCCTCCTCCCCCTCTAGCCCCATACAGCACCGCTTCTACCCAACCCACGGAAAAAATGTGTCCATCCCACTAACATCCACCCCCCTGAAAAAGTACCCTTTTCACCTCAAACTCCCACCCAATATCCTCATCCCACCCAGCTTTCAATCCCCGCTCGGCAAAGTGCAGTATTTTCTCCGCGTTCTCGCCCAAAGTAATAAGAACCCCAGTTTCCTACGAGAACTTGCCTGGAAAGAGATCAACTACCCGGGACAGGAGACAGTCAACCCGGGTAATAGCGTTCCCACAAAAAAGGATTTTGTCCTTGACGGGGTCAAGATTTCGGTGCAAGTACCCCGATCTGAATTCATCCTTGGAGAAAGCATCCCATGCACAATATCTGCCCAAGATGGAGAAGAAAAAGGCTCTCTAAAAGATATCACCGTTTGGCTGACCAGGATTATTTGCTATACGCCAGAAATAGGAAAAAATCCACTCTCAACGACAAAAGTCATGCATTGCGTAACATTCAAACGGTTCCTGAAAAGAGAACGGTTTACGAGGAGTGTAAAATTTGCGACGGATAAAATACGAGTTCCTTCGTTTAAGATGGAGGATGAACCTAAATTAAAGATCCGATATATCATACAGGTTAAAAGAATTTGCATATTTAAGTAGTTATGTAACTTTATTAATAAGTTTTGCATTATTTTAGGTAAAGGTCACCACTGCGAGTGAGAAGAGTGAAACCGTTCAGATTGATCTCTCATTGGGGACGGACGCGACCGATCCGACACCTTCTGCCCCCAGTTGGCAACCCGATCCTTCAGCACCTAATGAAGAGAGCGAACAGGTTGAAAAACCAACGGCGCCGGTGATGGGGGTCGGGTCACTCGTGGGGTCGGTGATGTCCCTCTTTCCACCCAGTTATTCTAGCCTCCCCTCCCGAGCGGTGTCCATGGTGTCGTTGGAGACTTGTAAGATTTATTGATTAATTAATTATTAATTGGTTGGTGATATTGATTGGTGATAATTTTCGACATACTTTTTCAGTACCGCCCAATTATGACGACATCTAAACATTTTGGATGCTTGGTTTCGATTTCTGGATTTTCTTAACACTTGATTGACACAATATGTATGTACGTACACTACCAAAAATGCTCACAAATTTACATACACGTACAAATTAAATTGCGTTCAAATCACATTGCAACTACTTAAATAAATTGATCTTTACAAGTGGATATTTTAACTCTGGAGGTTTTTAACATGTCCAAATCTGTTATGCTATTCAAGTTCAAAATATTATAAAGATTAATGCACGTGAAACAAAGGATATTTATTATATGCTAAAACTTAAGATTAAGATTAAGATTATTTTGAGAAATTAATTCCTCAAACTAAATCTTTTCTCATCCATGTGAAATTAACTCTAATTTAATTAATGATTATATATATTTGCGTATGCATCTTAATATGCAGTCAAGACAAGAATTATGTTAGTTTCCATTTAAATACTAATTTATCTTGAACTACAACCTCACGATATAATTATAAATAAAAATTGGTTGAAAAATCATGATGCAACTTGACTTGCATAGATTATGAAAAAGTGACAATATCATATGATTTCATTAAATAACTCATCTCGCTCTCCAGTGATTAGTTATCAGAATCACCATCTTTTTCATACGCGTGCAATTGGAACCCATGGAGAAACAGGAAATATTTGCAATTTCTGCAGTAAGAAAGTCATCAATTACTAAACGCTATTCAAATCCAACATAGATGAACATTACTAAAAAGTGACCTCTCTGCCCTGCTACTCTCCAACCTACATATGTGCTGGTATGCATCAATTATGTAAATTACAAGATGTGAAAAACTGGCTAAAACTGGAAGAGCTGAATCATTAATTTTAACTTGGCTCAATTCCTTATTAGATATGTTTTACTGCCTGGTATCAGTTTCCAGTGAAAAGTGTTACTAAATAAGTAATATTAATAATTGATTTATTGCATAATACCCAACATCCTTTGCACATCATAATGTTTACATAATATTGATACTCATAAAATCGTAAAAATAAATCAAACTAATTATTGGTATGCATAAGTCAAAATATTTGGCGAATTTATGCCAAAAAAGAAAAGTGTTACTAAATACGTAGTTATCAAAGTCCGAAATCTTGTGTTTATGTAGATGAGAAGAATATGAGGCGTGACTGTGGACCTGAAGGCATTTTTCCTCAATACGGAAGGATGCACCTAATTCTGGTAAAATTAACTCCATTCCAGTCAGTGACAACTTGTCACCATGTGGACAAGATTTATCAAAAATTATCGCCATTTGGTGAAGCACATATGTACATATACATATACACCGTTCGGTGATGATTAACACCGGGTTTTTAAGAGTGTACTGGATATGTATGAATTGTGAAAATAAGTCTCACACACTGTACTGTGATAAATTTTGAGCCTGATGACATAAATATTCATTATGATATTCCATTGTGGTATTGTGGTATAAGTATTTATTTTTATATATGTAACCATTTAAATATTTCCACTTGAACAGATAGTGATAGTTTCATTATTGGAAATGTCATGTAGTGTTGTGCATAAATAAATTTATTTGTACAATATATATATGTACATATTTATCTAGTATGTACATAAATGTGAGTATGTACATAAACGCAGTTCGACAATAATTTCTTAGCCATTAAATTTCATTATTTTCATAAAAAATTAATCAGCAGATTAATTATACCCTGAATCCTTTCTCAAAATCTATAACTCAAAATCTACCTCGTCTAAGCTCGTTTTCAATCTTACCAAATTAATTAAATATATACATTAATTATCACATTATCTAAAACTATGCTTAATACATGGACAAATTTTGTAAATCTTGCGCTACTCCCACGCTCGCGATCGTGTCCCAGTTTTTCTTTAGTATGTCATAAATGAGGGCGTAACTTCTGGCGAATGAGATAAGAGAACTTTCCAACGTCCAGAAATAATAGTAGTCGTGTAGTTGGACCAACAATTCGGCATCCTCACTCCACGGATGCTTCTTCAATTTGCAGATAAGCTTCCGCCTCTCCTCGAGGTATATTCCATAACCTATCCCGGCCCTGTTTGTATCCACGTGGGATGCAATTTGATCAATTACTTCAGACCCGAAACTGTTTCCAGACTCGTATTTTCCCTTCTGCAAATCCAGCCAAGTTGTCAGGGTTCGCGTATCGACTAAAAATTCCTCAACGTGGGGCTGAATTTTCAGTACTGCTTCTAATACGTCAGGATTTGTAGGGTATTCAAAATCAGAGGAATTTTGAACAGTTTCCTGGAATGGGTTAAAATGAAATTTCAATATATTGATTTTTTCCCAGAATTTATAAATCCTTGATGAAAAATTTGAATCCAGTACCTTATTATCTTTCGAATTATTGTTGTGGTCTGGAGTACTTTTTGGGTGACACTTTTCCCACTTTTCTTTCAGATTAAGCTCACTCCTTAATTTGTCAAACTTTACTTTATTTTGAATCAACTTTTTGGAAAATATGATCTCCACCTGGTCCCCGAGAGAGGTGCGATACTCGTCAAATATTTCTTGCGCTTGGGTATCAGTCTTCATTTTGTTTGATTGTTAATGTTATGACTTTCAAACTTTTAAAATTCTGCTGCAAATTGAATCAGTATTTATTTATGATGTGGCTACAACAGATATGAAGCTGTGTTTGAATTTCGTTTGGTGAGGGGCTCAGTACATATTTATATTTTTGGTAATTTATCCAAATGCTATAATAACGAGACATGGCGTGTGTACATAGCTAATTCTCATCACCAGCAAAACGTATGCACATACATGCATATGAAAAGCTGGTATGACGCAACGTTTTGGTGAGTCATAACGTTGACATTAACAAATAGTATAAGTTGAATTTCCAAGTAAGCACTCTGAGGATGAGTCCATTAAGTAAAGCTTATGCATATACAAGAATGGACAAAATTGCAGAAGGCAGTGCAAAAAAGTGGATTATACGAGTTTAGCCTACGACGAAATGAAATCGCTTTATAAGTACAGACAGACTTTTTTGCGATACTGCATCACCATGGTCGTCTCGAGAACGATTGAATTGATGCCAGTAAAGGATATGTATAAAGTTGCATGAACGTGAAAGTTACGTTGCCTGTAATAACCTTCATTTTATGTTATGCATTACCTATCATCCTCGTGACCATCTATAATCCCCAGTTGTGTGATGAAGAGTTATTATTAACTTGGGATTAATGTATGAATCAAGCGTTATTTATTTATGAACTTGCTTTAATGCTTCGTCCCATACTTTCTTACAATAAGTTGTTCTTGTCTGAAAATGTAAATCTTCACGCAAATCTTTATGTAAACGCGTACATACCTAAATATCTCGGTCAACCTCCAGGTTAATCGACAATTTCTCCGAGAACTTGAGAAATACTAATTTGTCGGCCAACAAGATATTTTCAACCCCACGTTTAAAAATTTCACAATTAGTAAAATTCTATTTGTTTGGTTTGCAACCATGTAAAAAGGGTGGCATGGAAGAATGCGATCGAGTTCTTCGATTAAGTAAATAAATATTTAGATTTTTAATGACTTTAAAGTGTGATTGCATTTTTGCATGTACTTAAGTCTGTATACCTACGTAAATAAATAAGAGACATTGCCAATGGAAATGTAATATCACTTAATATGTATCTATGGTTTTGCAACAGTTTTCAGAACTCCTCACGTTTTGTCCCCTTTTTGAAATTGCATCAACACAATCAGGTTCGTCACCAGAGTTCCAATGATCTGTGTATGTATTGATAAACCCGTTAAGTACATATTTAGCAACCCACAAAACATTCTAATTCTCATTAATATTGCAGCAAAGTTCAACTTACTGGTGCAATTAGGCCAAGATCAACTCTAAAATAATCCGTGTCCAGCCAAATCCGCTTCAATTTCGGGCTACTTTGCCTAACCAAATAGATCTGACCTTCTCCACCCAAATTTCCATCTTTCCCATACCCACAATCACAACTTTTAATAAAATCATCACTTGCATTCCCCATTTGGGACCCCTTTTTGCAAATCATGAAAATCAAGTAAAGATACCCCATCACTGTAACAGTGTCCGAAGCAATCCCACGACCAGTGTAGTAGGGTTGACCGATAAATGAGGCTATAAAGTAGGACGAAAATATGATTCGCATCACACTGTGCGCCATATCGATGACGATACAAGCGTTAAATAATCGAGCAAAAGAGGAAACATTTGCACTTAAACGATAATATAATTGGATTTTCATTTCGACAAGGGTAAAATGAGACTCTTCCAATCCACACAATATTTCCAGGTACCAGTTGAAAAAGAAGGCAAGTTGGCAAAGGAAGATGGCGTGGATGTAGCCCAGCGTGGAGGGAATTGTGGCGACAAATATTGAGAAGGATGCTAGATAGAAACATTACAGAGTATTATCTGTATAACAGAGTATTATCTGTATAAGAATTATTGTTGAATTAGCACCTAATTCAGGTCACCTAATTTGCATATTTTGACCCATTAGTGAGAGACACATACTAGTAGTTTACTTATTCAACATCGAAAGGCCCGTATCGCCAAAATTGGGGAAATTCAGATTTATCATAAATCTGACTAAATTGTAACGTCGATATATCTACGGGTTTAAAGAAAGTCAATTTTTCTGGGGCATTTTGAGTGATTTTTTTAATCGAAAAATTGCACCTAGGACAAAATTTCTTCGACAAAGATATTCTTATAGATATTCTTATATTCTTATATTTGGGTATGGTTTCAAAATATAAAATAAAGATGTTTTCGACCTTGTCGAAATTTCGACATGGCTGGCGACACGGTCACTTTTTCGAAAAAATGGAAAGAGTAAAAATGTCTTATTTTCCGATTTTTTATAAGAAAAAATCACCAGCAGGCTAATTTTAGAAATGGCTTTAGCATGTATTGCGAAGGATAGGCAGTTCCGAGACGCGAAGAAACCCCTGGATTTATGCAAATGAGGTGACCCAAAAAAATAATCTATGAATTTGAATAATTGCATATTCCCAATTTGCATAAACAAGCTTGTTGAAATGGTTAAACTTTGTAATGAAATAGCGCATTTCAGTTGTTTAAGAAATCAAAATTATTGTTTAATTATATTTTATATGTACCTGCTGCTGGATTTGAAATGTGTGCTTCCCACATGTCAATAATTAGCACAAAGCAAGACAAACCAAGTAAAATTATTTCCACTTTAAATCGACCCTCAAACCTGTTCCGTATCGCAGAACCAGCGTTTGTCAATTCAGAAGTTTTTGTTGTATGGAAAAATAGTGAAAACTGTTCCACCAAGGAGACGAATTCGTCGTAGAATTTCGATAGTTCTTCACGACTCAAGAAAATTGTTAGTCGGACGAATATGATGGTAAAGATGTGGGCCGTCCCCTTAAGGAACACAGTAGCGTAAAAAGTGCTGGAAAAAAATTGCGGGCCAACCTCCGGGGCTCCATAGTGGACATGGTCTGCTTTTATGTGGTAAGTGAATATAAGAATGCAGCCAAACCCAAAGAGGCAAAATAGTAGGGATGGAACAGTGGAAATATTTTTCCTCAAAGCGGTATGACTCCCATTTTCGACGGGTATAGGAAAATATCCCAGGATCTGAGAAATTCGCAAAACTTTTGTGTCAATTTTGATAAATAACTTAACCCTGGATTTATCCATGACTTCTTCGTGAAGTTGGCTAATTGCAGTGTGATGTTGTTGTATATTTCCTCGAGGTATTGAAATTCAGAAACGCTAGTATATTTATTACACTTGTAGAAGGATGTACATTCGCACAATCCAATTAAGCAAATGCATTTGATTGAGAAAGAAATTATATATTGAGATGTGGCATTTATTTTTTAAAAGCATTTCATTTCATTAATGCAGTACTCAATTTATGAATGTGTTCCAAAAGGTTAGTCATGTTTGTTGAAGAAGATATATCCAATAAAGTATACATAAATACATAATATTAATGTAATGTTTACCCAACGATAGGTGTCGGGGTCCCCGACGCCTTATTTCCTCCCGCGCAGTGACTCCGGCGAAGAAATACATTAAAAAATAAATTTAGATGAGTTCTCGGATGAGATGACTGCTTTAAAATAACGCAGACATATTTATTGCAAGCTTTCGATATTACACTTCTAAGAATTATAAAATAATTATCATGCCGATTCTAAGGATAAGTTAATTCATCTACCTTCATGTAATCAAAATGACGAATTCTTCATAACATAATAGATTTTTCCTACTCATGGTGAAGATGTGAAGAGGGCGAAGATTTGAATCGTACCTTTAATTATTTAGGTCACTGATTCCTTTTATTAATAGGTATTTGATAATAGCTCCACATGTACATATGTGCGTCACACATACATACTAACACATTTTTTTTATTTTGGTACAGAAGTTATGCACTCACTAAGCATAAGTTGTCAATTTGGTTATTATATAAATACATACAGCATTAAGAAGCTTACGTAACTTGAAAACTCTGGAGACAAATTTAAGTTACCCAATTACATAAATGCATTAGTTTAAATATGTATGTGGGGTACTAATACAATTTTGATTGCCAATTGTATAAGTATGTACACACAAGTAAATGATTTATGTGCTTAATTATATTAATGCAATACATGGTCTTGATAATTCCGAGTACTTATGAAATTGCTGGTCAAAAATTTTGATAGTTTTTTACGTTAAATTAAGTGAAAAACTCAGGATGCAATTTACACAAGTCAAATTGTTGTACATCCATTTCATGTGCCTGTAGAAATAATAAGCAGGGGGCATGGACGTACATACATATATGTACACATATTTATTTATGTGCTCGTTCGGAACAAACTAATTGCTCAAAAGCATAGACAATCAATTGTGTTAAAATGCTACCTTTATTATTGCAAAATATTCTCAAAATTAGTGATTACACATACTCATTCTCAATTCAATTAACCCATTAAAAATGTACTCCTCTCTAATATAACGCTCGTGGCCTGTCTCTTATCCTGCCCACCAATTTCCTAACGATGGGATCCAAAAACTTATCTTCCGCCACAAACTCTGCCATTGCCTTAATCTCGTTCAAAAATTCTCTACTCTCTTCCGACATTGCCATCTCGAGGCCTTCCCTTTCCTCCCGAATGGTGCAGGCTTGTCGCACCGCAATCATCAATCCCGCCGCCACCTGCTCCGTCAGCTCCAAGACGCGGACGCAATCTCTCGACGCAATAGTTCCCATGCTCACTTTGTCCTGGTTGTGACATTCCGTCGACCTAGAAAACACCGATGCGGGCATTGTTCCCTTCAGCGCCTCCGCCGTCCAGGCCGACACGCTAATCTGCAATCCTTTCAGGCCATGATTAATAGCTGCCCTTTCTCCCACACATCCCGACAGATTGGCGGGAAGTCCATTGCTGTAGTTGGGATCAACCAAGCTGGCCATTTGTCGATCCATGAGGTCCGCCATGTTGGCAACTTGACACTTCAGCGTGTCCATCGCCATCGCAATGTGACCCCCGTAAAACATCGCGCCATGAAAGACACTTCCTCCATTGGCCACGTCGATGATGGGGTTGTCATTCGCAGAGTTTAGTTCCGCTTCAATCACCCCCTTGCAGAAGGGGAGGACGTCTTCCAGGACGCCGATGATGTGGGGCGCGCACCTAGTCGAATAGCGGTCCTGGATGCGGTGCACTTTGCTGTAATCCTTCGGTGCGGAAGAGACCAGTAAGTCTTGCCTAATTCTGGCAGCGACGCGCTGTTGGCCGCGGTGAGGCTTTACGGAAAACAGGGTTTCATCATAATGGAAAAGGTTTCCCTTGAGGGCGAGAATTGTGAGGGAGGTTAAGCGCGTGGCGAGGTGGGATATCTGCTGGGCTCGCTGGTATGCGAGACAAGCTACACCCGTCATGGCGGAGGTCCCATTGATCAGGGCGAGGGCTTCTTTCGGAATTAGGACGAGTGGGGTCATTCCGACCTAGGAAGTTAATTTACGATTAGAATTATTCATGCATTTACATAAATTGCAAGTATTTAACTCGTGGAAAGGAACTATATATGTACAGCGTGGTTTAAATGTCTCGCTATTTTTTTTAATACGATGCAAAATTTTGCATAGGGAAAAGCCCATAAATCTCCATTAGTTAAGAGCATTTAGAGTTCAGATTTTATCGATTATTAAACTCTGATATCAATACTGATGGAGCATAATGAAGTTCTTAAAATTGTGAATTGAATTTCCGATGCAAAATTTTGACAACTAATGGAAAGTTACAAATTTTTTCGATTGAAAAATTCTCCATTGTAGCGAGACATTTAAACCACCCTGTATGACGATGAAGCTAAAAAGTAAAATAAAATTTCTTCACCTTTTCCAACGCTTTCTTCGCCTCCATTACTTCTCCCTTGTAGACAACATCTCTATATCCACACAATACCGCACCAATGTACGACAACGGTGTCAAATCGCCACTCGCCCCGACAGACCCCTCTTGCGGAATTCTTGGTAAGACATCATTCCTTAAAAGACCCGCGATTTGTTCCAGGAGCTCGAGACGCACCCCGCTGTACCCTTTAGCCAGCGAGATAAGCCTCGCCGCCAGAATAGCTCTTGTCTGCCGGTCATCAAAGTAGGCGCCTGATCCACACCCATGAAACTGAATGACATGGCTTGGTAGTTCGGCAATCAGTTGGGGCGAAATTGTTACCGTGCAAGACTCGCCCAATCCGGTCGTAACGCCATAAATTACGTGACCCTCTTTCACCAATTTTTCCACCGTGGTAGGACCCAGGCGAATCCGCTCCACGAATTCCGCCTGTGTCGACAATTCGCAGACGGAATCTTGCAACGCTAGTCGGCCAATGTCTTCAATTGTGATGTGGTTACTCCCAATGGTGACCGAGTTGGATTGATAGTGTCCCATTTTTTAGCAAAAATTATGGCAAGCAAACTGGAAGAAAATTGAAACTTGGAATTGTTCTACTACATAAATACATATAAATCAGAATGACCATATCGTGTGTCTTTATATACGGGGAAAATAATCCCATTTCTCACGCTGCATCCTCCCAGCACACGTAACCACTTCTGCGAATTGTGCATTAACACAGACATTAATTAGATTATGTAAATCTTGTTATTGCATCTGATTTTCAGTTAAATGTTGGACTTCCGACCTAAATGTATGTTGTTGCCAGGTAAATTATGTATTTATTAATGCATACACCGGTATTGCGTTCGCATTTTCACCGAATCTATTACGTTGTTACTTACTACTCGGTAGCATAACAAATGACTCTTCCAGTCAACAAAAAACGTGTTTTCCAACGAATCGATTCCCATTGTTTGACAAAGCTCAGGCACACATCGATATGCAAAATTATTTTTTATTTACAACTACTGTCCGATCTTCCACGAGATGCAATTATCATGCAGATTACTGAGTAGCACATAAATACATACTACTCATACATATGTATTAATACAATTCAATTTCAGCAAGTCACACAGCACCCAACAATAAACAATAAATGGCAAGCAGTGACATTACCGGTTCTGCATGTGCTTAACTTGGTAGCAAATTGTATCGTTTAAAAGTTCAGTATAAACGTTGGCCACGATCACGATAGTATTTCTGTCATTGTTGCTGATCATCATAATCTAAATTAAGCAATTCCGAAAAAGATAAGTATGATGATATTTGACCCAAAAATTTTAGGCGTATTTAGACAACTCTATGCAACAATTGCTGGTACGGAGTGAAGTTAATTTTAGGCTAATTAAGTACAACTTTAGTTTTTTACCTATGCACTAAATATTAATTTAATTACAGTAAATCTCGGAGTATTCGGACTCGGAACTGTTATCGCATGGACGTCACCTGGACTTTCCTCCCTTTCTCAAGATTTTGAATTGTCTTCCGTATCAATATCATGGATTACGTCAATTGTAAATGTAAGACGAGGCAAAATTATGTTTAAAATTTGAGAATTCATTTGTCATTCAAAATTACATAGAACTTATTTTTCAAAATTTCGAACAGATTGGCGGGCTGATATCCTGCCTAAGTGCAGGCTTCGTCATGGACAAGCTGGGACGAAAACTTTCCGCCACGTTGGCCACCATTCCCACTCTGATTGGTTGGTTAGTGCTAATATTTTCCCGCGATGTTTGGATGCTCTACGTCTCCCGGTTTATTTTGGGGTATGCGACCTCATTCTATGGCGTTGTTGGACCAGTTTTAGTTGGTGAAATATCAGAACCTAAAATTCGAGGGATTTTATCAAATATGTACGGAATATTCCTAACTTCCGGAATGCTGTTCAGGTGACAAGAAATTTATTTCATCATTACGAACATAAAATCAATTTATTTCGTTAAATTTTGTTTAGTTATGCCATCGGAAGCTTTGTAGACTGGAAATTGCTTTCCATCATATCCGCCATCATTCCAGTGTTACAATTTGTCTTGCTAATGTTTATTTCGGAATCCCCGCGACATCTAATTCACACGGGGAAAAGAGAGAAAGCAGTCGAGTGTCTGGCCTGGTACAGGGGCACAACGAGACTGGAGGATGTGCAGATCGAACTGAAATCGGTATTGCTTTAAAAATATAAAAGTTTCCGTTATTATGAATTTTTTTCTATATTTCCTATATTCCTCAGATTCCTGAAGAGACTTCGAAACCTGAAAATTCTGTCAATTCTGACCTTCAACCAATCTCAATAATCCACCGTGCCAATGTAATCCCGCTTCTACTTTGTGTCGGACTAGTCTTCATAGAGCAACTGTCCGGATTTGCTGTGATAGTTTCATTTACCGCAGACATTTTTAAATCTGCTGGTCATACCGCGAACGGAAATACGTTGGCAATAATATTTGGCGGGTTTCAACTCCTCGCTACAGCCCTTTCCTGCCTTCTAATCGACAAGACTGGTCGTCGTCCTCTCCTCTTGATGGGTGAAGTTGGGATGGCAATTTCACTAGGTAATTTCACTGGGTATTCTTCAGCAACCTCAGAGCAAGTTTTTAAAGAGCATGAATTTCACTAGGTTTCTTGGGCACATACTTTTACTTTTATGAGAAAGAAGGGACTGTTTTACTCTCATCGTGGGCACCTGTGATATGTTTGGTCGTTTACATTGTCATGTTCAGTGTTGGAATTGGACCAATATCGACAACGCTGATGGGGGAAATATTGCCACAAAGTATTCGAGGTAAAACAGTGGAAATTTGCATATTATGCATACATATCTACATATTTTTACTTTTTGGTCTTGAAATAAAATTTCAGGAGTTGGATCAGCCATTTGCACGGCAGCTTTGAGAGGTTCCGCATTCACGATAACGTTTGCATTCGACGGGGTCAAGGAGGAGGTGGGAAGTTTTGGTGTATTTTGGACATTTACTTGCGTCTGCATTATTGGAGTTATTTCTGTGTATTTCTGGGTGCCCGAAACCAAAGGGAAGAGTTTAGAGGATATTAACAGTATGTTTGTAAAAGTTTAGTGTTGTGATGAGTTTATACGAAAAAATTTAGTTTAGTATGTTACATATGTACGTAAATGTTCGTTAAATAGGTGCATGACAAAGATATGTGCATACATATGCATGCATGAATTCTTTGCACAATTTTATAAAACTTTTTAAAATGCTTTTCGTCTGCGTCTTATTACTGCAAATATTTACATATTTATACACTTTTATAATAACATGATATCCATAAGTCACAAGACAAGAAATATAATGTTAAAATTTAAATACGAATTTTGAACCAAAAAACCTGAAGTCTAGAAATCTTGTGATATTTCTTTGTTCAAGGCTCAAGGGCTTACTCGAACGCTATTTCTATGTTTCAAGTAGCCTAAATATAAATATGAATACCTACTTTATAATTACTTTTTTGTGATATTTATCATTACTCATAATAAATAAATAACATTATGATAAATATACATAATTCCGTGTTTATTCATATGTTTTTTTCTGATGTTAATCATATTATATTTAATCAGGGGCTTCTGAAAGTACGCTACAGATAAACTAATCTCATTGTTTATTTTTTGACATAATATTTTGTAATTACTGCAGCGTCGCAATCGCATAATAAACAATTCAGTCAATTTACCTCACTAACAGTACATACATAAATAAATATGTGCAATATGTATACATATAGTGTTCAATGTTCATGCTCTTTCTCTGCATAATGCATACGTGTCTAATCTCACTGTTGAAAACGTGTCCATAACATTTTGTGTCTGGACTCGATACATTATTACACAACTTGTTCCCATCCTGGGTTCGTCACGTTACGTGATTCACGTACTACTACAAAATTCGAAGGCTGTACATAAAGGATACCACCGGCTTCAATAAAGACCTTTTGGTCACAATAACCTACAATTTCCTACCTACTCTAACTGACTGAATCCCTTAGAAAATATACCACAAGATAAGACAAAAATTGGCAAAAATCTGCAATGTTCATTTCGTGTAGCCCCCAAAGTCCAGTATTTCCAAGGGTGATTCCAGCGCATAACAATATCCAGTAGACTGCATTAGGGACTGTTCAATTATAACGAGGATATTTTCGTAGGAATTAGTGGATAGGTGAATATGCAGGTTTCCAGCATATTTAACCTTGTAATTTGGGTTTATCAATTTTTCATGCGTAATTTTAAATCGGGATATTTTTGATGCCGTAACAAATGAACGTGTTAAACCAGAGCCACTTTTTTCTCCAGATTGGTTTACGTGCCGTATAAAATACAACCAACTGTCATTTCTTCACTGCCTTTAAACTCGTCTGCTTCTCCATAGCAACTATAACTTAGAAACAAGACTCGTACATTTTTATAATTACATATTTTAACTTTCCAATTAAAAAATGGTAAAGTTACCATGTCCCGTGTCCTTGCAAAATGCGACCAGAAGTATTGCAGTCATTCATGGCGTAAGTTTAATCGTTTAATTAATTCGTATGCAATCAAATTTTGAGGATATTCAGAAGGTCTTGGTAACTTTGAAAAATCCTTAAATTGTGTAGAATAATTTTACAAACTTGTACAAAATACCCCATTGATTTGAGTAAGTTTACAAAAATTTGTAAGCTAATTTCACGTAGCTCATAAAATTTATAAAAGTTGGTAAGTTTACAGAATTTACGGATTTTGCAAGGTTACCAAGGCCTGCGTTAATTGCCTCTCTGGAATTCAGTCGTATGTTTATAACCTAGTAAACTGTGTAACCTTTGTAAAATTATTTTACAATGTACGTATATAAAGAGGCCTTTGCAATAGATTGGTACCCTGATATTTGTAAACTTCTAGTTAAGCGTGTGCAGTTTTTTGAATTTTACTGGGTTATGAAGATCGAAGTAAGTTGTCGGACCATTTGTTAAAAAATGTGTAACTTATGCACTTTTTCAGACGCTGGTACTCATAACTGCAGGCTACTTCATGTACACTCTGGGTGGTTTAATAAACTCCAAAGAAGTTAGCCATGTCCACTCTGCGAAAGGCTTGGTTTCCACATTTAACGAATATTACGCCAAGTTGGGACTCGCCAAGCCAAAATCTGTCGCCAAAATGGGAGAGAAAGTGGCAAAAATTTCCCTCGGAAAGGACAGCACTGCCGATAAAATTCTAGATACTGGCTCAAAAGTGGAATTCTACAGCTCAAAATATGTCGATGATCTCAAGGGTGTGCATTAATCGTACATATTATATATTGTACATACTTTGAACATATTTTATAATTTGTGACGAAATTTTGATTTTTGCAGTTCAGCAAGAAATTGCACTTTTACTCTTGGCCCTCATTATTCTTCTGCTCATTTTCTTACTCGACGTGGAACTATTTCAGGGAGCTAACGAGGTTGGTTTTGTGTGGATGTTTAATTTGGAAAATTCTTCGAATTAAAAAATTCAAATAACATAAAAAATGTAAAAATTGAGAATGGTGATCCAGAAAAATGGTTGTTCTAAAATATTTGATGCACAAGCTAATTTGAATTACAAAACAATTTAATTTATGAATTTATAGAAAACCTATGCGCGGATTAATACCTGGTACCGGACCATGTTTACCCTAGCCATCACTGGCCTCACGGTCGCCGTTCCGGTCGTGGTGGCTGCGGTCGATTATGAATTCACGTGGAAATTTTACGCGGTAGGCGCCACAAAAGTGCTAGCCTTCGGATACGTCCTCTGCATCGTGAACTCGTTTAAAGAGCAAATTAAGAGTGGAGGGGGAGGAGGTCGAGCATCCACTGGTGGGGGTGGAATGAAGACGAGAAGTTCCGTCAAGAAATCTGAATAATGATCAATTCCATGTTTGAGCATTAAAATTAACAACTTTGTTGTGCACTGTTTATAAAATTATTTTCCATTTTTTTATAAAATTAATAGACATCGAGTGATATTTTAAATCGTTGTGCTAGTTAATTTTAAAAGTGTGGATCATTTATGCAGTTTATTTTTATAAATAGTTACAAATTACTCAGTTAGGAGTCCTAACTTAGGACAAACAATATGCAGACCTTATTGCAGTTATACATACTTATATTGTTTGTTCGTTTAACGATTTCATAACTTATGACTCATAAATAAGCACTGTCAACTGTACATTCCATTCACAGAAAATAAATATATGCATATATGTAAATTTGAGTGGTTCATGTAATCCATAATGTTTGCATGTGCTTTTTACATTGGTGAAAAAAAAGTTGAAATTTATTTCCCATGCAAATTCCATATTTCTAATTGGGAAATTGATCCAGAATACGTAAATGTCACTTTTGTCGTGCAATATTCATCCATATACAGATATAATCTTATGGAAACAGGGTGATCCAGACTAAATAATTATGGAATTAGTAAACTCATTTTCAGAATATGGCAATACGTATGCATTTATATCGATTCTGCACCACACTGTTTTTGTCATTATTTCGGATAATAATTTGAAATAATATGAGATCCCAGTAGCAAATATACTTAGTTTGTGTAATATTCAACAATTAACAATATCCAATAATAGAAGTTAATTGCATAATTAATTTGTCGCACTCCTTCATGTAAAACTCTTTTCATGTTAACTACATTTTTGCACGTTGATCTTATTAATTAAAAATGAAGTCTAATGAAGTCTATGAAGTCTAGGCTTTATTAAGGTAAAATTTTCATAAGGATTTTTGATTCCAGTAGATTAAAGCGGTTATCAATTAAAGCAATACACATGTCAAGCTTTTGTTAATTTCAATTTCTTGGCGTCCTCGTCCTCATCTCCATCTTCGTCGACATCCTCCGTTGTCGTCGTTACCACCACTGGTGCTGCAGTGATAATTTGGATTTGTGGCGGTGCGGGCTGATGTGCGATTTGTGGTGGTGGTGCCTGATGGATGACTTCCGGCGGTGCAGGTTGATGGATCACTTGTGGGGGCGGTGGAAATTTCTGCGTTTGCAAATATTGGATTTCGTGTGGAGGTTGCGCCTTCATATCTGCAAGACCACCACCTGCCATCTTTGTCGCATTCATGGTTGCGTTTTTTGCAGCCTGTTGCTGAGCCTCTGCCGTTTTTTGATCTGCCTGTTGTTTCAATGCGGCATGGACCGTGTTGACCGGAAATGTGGCCAAACCATTGAAAATACTCGTCAGCAAACTGGACACACCGGCCAACGTTTCTCCAACTTGTTGTACCGGCCCAATTTCTTCGTCTTGTCGTGGTTGCTGAATTGAAAATATTGCAATTAACTTAGTTTTGCAAATAATTCGAATATTTTATTTGTGCGATTACCCCAGACTGTGACGTTGTTCTTGATTCTTGAGATACCGCAAGAACATTAGTCGATGCAAGAATCTGAGCAAGATTTATTTATAACATGGTTTTAAACTTGGCTTTACGCAATTAAAGCTGGTAAAATGATAGAAATTTACCCAAAATGTACACAACGTAGTAACCCACATCCTACAAATATTTCGTTCGATCTTCATTATCGTCCAGTGCGAATTCAATACAGTCAAGTATTGTTTACGATGACGGCAATATGAGCCAGATGAATTTTGCATGACATGATTATTTAGTAGAAAATAAGTGGCATGTTGGAATTACTATACAATTATTTATGTAAGTACTTGCAGTGAATGCGGTTCAGCTTTCCATAATCCATATTAATTAAGTATTAATTGATATTCATCTACTAATTAATAAATTATGAGCTTCGTACATAACTAAAGGCCTGCTTTCTACACTGATTTATTGATCAAAATTCCCACTTAAAATCTAATCGTATTTAACTATTCATAATTTGCGGAGACAAATTTCTTTAATCGAAATGTACAGAAATTATTAGAAATACCAAATATTTCTTAGTATCTCTTCCTCCTTGCATCATCATCCTCATCATCCGGATCTTCGGTTATATTGTCGGGATAAACAATGACTGGATTTCCCCCAGGGGCAGGAAGATATTGGACTACTCGTCGCGGAGGTGGTTTCTGTGTCGCCAAAAGTACTACTTCCGTTTTTGGTGGTGGTAACCTCACTGGTCTTCTCGTAGTTGTCCCATTCTGTGCTTGGGTTGCATTTTGTTGTTGCTTCAGAGCGTGGGCAGCCGCAACTGGAATTAGTTTCAGTCCTTGGAAGATATTGTTGAATAAGTTTCCAACTTCGATCAAGGATTCCGGTGCTTCTTCTGGGGCGGCTGGCATCACTGTTTCAGCATCTCCACCATCTTGACGTGACTATGATATCATTTTATTGTCAAGTTATTCACATATGTGGGTTATTGTTTTAGCAAATTTAAATTGTTTATGTGTTACAATGGATGAATTTGATTCCAGTGGAACTCCTTCAACTATCCCGAAAATTCCAATAACCTAAAGTCACATAATTGATTAAAACTCAAACTGAAATTTATACACAAGCACGTGTACACATTCACATAGGTACTTACGACGCAAATAATAGTGACGAGTTTCATTTTGCCTCTTGGTTGCTAATAAATAAGATGAGGACTGACCAGACCAGACGCTAAAAGTACATTCTGTCGTAGTGAAAGTTCGGTGGAATCAGGAATGTGAATAAATGTATGAAATTCCATAATGAGGACAACTTTCATCATGATACAATAAGATGTGTGCAAAATGTCATAAATATACATTAGATTTTCGCTTATACATGCACATGTGCATACATGTACATATATAGAATAGGAACTGAAATAAGCGTTTAATTGGTTGAAGAAAGTTCGATGACGAGTACATATTTACTAGTAATACACTGGATATGTGCCAGTAATGCTGGATTAATTATTTTAGGCTAAATACATACTTCTTTACTAAACATCTAGATGCTTTGTGAATTTTGTATGACGCAATTATAGTATTTCTAAAATTGGACTAAAATTAATACTCTTTCCAGCCCAAATTAATCACTACTTTTAGACCATTAAATAATTGACTTTTGAAATTGAAAATTTTAATTTCTTCTGATACACATACTTACTTCTATCTACACTCAAGAAATTGAAGACGGTGGAGCTTAAACGACGTATTGAAACACAATACTTGCAACTAGTTTCATTTTCCAAAACCCTAGCCAATAAAAAAATCTAAACTTAATTATCTCCAAAAATGAAATATCTTCAATCAAATTACATACTGTAAGCCTAAACTTTCTCAAACAGCGTACATACTCGTTTTCATTATATATTAATTGAAAGCAACGCATTGACCGTGTAATCCACATAAATCGAGTAGTAACTGGCCCTGGTAGACTTTTCAATCTTAAAAAACCTATAATCACCCACCCCAGCGAACATGGCAAGCGGTCTCAGGGACTCTAATTGCCTCACAAGACATAATTTTCTGTCAGTTAGCGAATACGAAACAAACTTATTTTTCACAATGTCACAACTATTCTCAAACAACCGAGCGGCCAAAGGAAGCAGTTGGTCGACCAAGAAAGGAATGAAAACCGATAACATCGGCATGTAAATGTAAATTGTTATGGGCAACTTCCCATAAAGCTTGAGACTCCCAAAATTACAAAATATCCCGACAAGTTGTCCAATAAACATTTCACAAAGGATGCAAAATTCTCCAATTCCGGCAAAAACGGTGTACCACAAGGTATAGGTGTTGTAATAGGCAAAGAAATCATTAGGATTTTGTACCCGTCCGATCATTTCTCCCGCTTCGAGAACTGCCCGGGTAGTTACCAACATCCCGGCACACATAAGCCAAGCAATTCGCGCTGCTTCGAAGGTTGCCAATGCCGTTAAGACCAATCGTGTGGAAAACAGCAGAATGTAAGGGTAGCCCTGAAGAGAGGGGAATATTAGGTGAACGACGTAATAAAATGGCTCGATCCCGATGGCAATTCCAACTGGAGCTGATGAAAGTGCTAGTACGATGCAGACGTAAACAATCCTGCGTAATATTTCGGATGGGATGTCCGATTTTGGCGGTTTGTACGAAACACCTAAGCATCACAGATTTTACTGTACGTATTTATCAAATGGGAAATGGGAAAGTTGAGACTAAATGTTCACCAATTCTCAATTTTCCCAAGAAATAATAATGATACCCTGTAAATGCTTACATTTTCTGAGATCTTTTTCCAACTTGAAGCCACATCGGGTTATCGCAATTACCAAGTCCCGTTTCCAACATGTCGCAATATCCAGCATTAGTATAAAACTTCCCGCCGTAATGAATATAATTTGAACGAGGATAATCCACAACGGAATTTCCTTCGATATTGGTAAATTTTTCCATTTCCCGATAACCATCACGGAAGAGCAACAAATTGCTAGGAAGATCGAGGTACAACTGGATATTAGTAGTTTTTGATCTGATAGTTTTTCAGTGGCATAAAATTCCCGTCTGGGTGGGTTCACCATGATTGGATAATTTCCAAAGGTTTGATAAACCGAGGAATAGGAAGAAAACGCTTTCCAGACTTGGCGAGTCGACATGGTGCCAAAGAAAGTTGAACGTAGTAGTTTATGTATGTATGTTTAAGCAATTGTCCGTTGTGACTAACAATTTCTGGTTTTACGAAGATGTACGTGTTTGTAGGTATGTACCGGAAAGCAATTTGGGCATTGACTAACAGACATTTCATTGATTTCATGGCTCAATTTTAAAGCAATTACGAACGATAGGCATGGTAGGACGTAGTACGGAAAAAGTCTTGATTTTGATTAAAGAAAGATTGGAATAAGATGATTAATTTTGTACTCAAGTCTATTATTACAAAGCAAAAAGTGCGTATTGTTCAACTGGTAAAATGTATTAACCTTTAGCAATTGTATATCGTTGCCTATACAAAAATATCTTCAGATACATACTCTTAAAAAGTTCAATTTTTACAATCAAACACTAATAACTTTCTCAAGTATTCATATAAATGTTACATGTATGTAAATATATACCAATATAAAATTACAATTAAAAGTAAGAAGATTACTTAGGAGGAGAGCGTCACCACCTGCCCTTCACAGATCTCGATGCCCTTTGAATATGTGGTAGGGTCCTATGAGTGTACTAAAACCCTGAAGTGGTTTGACTCCATGGCCACATTTGCGCCCGCCACACCCACTCAAAGGGATGAAAACCACAAAAGTTACCATCTTCAAAAATCCACCAAAAATCCAATTTTGCGCGGATTTTGATAAAATTTGCATTTTTGTGATCCCAGATACTTGCCTTATAATATTCAATAGCAATCTCAACTTTTTTGAAATTTTCGAAATTTTCGAGCTGATGAACTACTCGAAAAAATTCAAAAATTCAAAAAATTTGGGATATCTACTGGATATGATCACACAAGTATCTGGGATCACAAAAATGTAAATTTTATCAAAATCCGAGCAAAATTGGATTTTTGGTGACATTTAAAGTACATGAAAACAGGGTTTTTTTCGTGTTTTTGGCGCCTTTGAGTGGGTGTGGCGGGCGCAAATGTGGCCATGGAGTCAAACCACTTCAGGGTTTTAGTACACTCATAGGACCCTACAACATATCCAAAGGGCATCGAGATCTGTGAAGGGCAGGTGGTGAAGCTCCCCTCCTTAGTTATAGTATAAGCACAGTTCCATACATACATGCGGGGTCAAATTCAGTTCATTTTAAACAGATTCTAATAATCAGAGGACTCCAATTGTTTGTGATGTTTTAGTCGTTGATAAATAATTGCAGTGATTTGCATGTTCAAATCTTCAACAATTTCTGTAGGCAATTGTTTCAACATGCGGTCGAAATTTAAATACATGGAAGAGTATTTTAAGGATTCCGTAATGTTAGAAGATGGTGTAAAGCCGTTTGCTTGATTTTGACACGCCACTACTTCTTCGATTCTCGTATGGCTACTGTGCATTCCATTTTCTCTGGACTGCTTGCTTAGATTCCATTGTGGTGGCTGCAGAAAAGGCAAATATTTTGATTTGCAATTGTCTTATCGAATAATGTGCATGTTAAGTAAGTGCATATTTAGCTAATAAACAAGGCCCCAAAAAAGGGAAATCTTAGTGAGGCTTGGTGCGACTACAACTAATAAATAAAATTAGATTGCAGAATTTTTGCATCACCGCTCTCTGTACCGTTCTTTACTGGAAGTATTAAGTAATCATTAGGAATAAATGGTTCCCCTCAAACATTCTTGTAATTTCATGAGAATAAGAATTAAAAGGATATCCAGATTATAGGATTATCCAGAAAATATTCAAATTAAGTATTTGCAACTTTTGTAGCATATTTGCAAGTGTTTGCATCTTAAACTTAAAGATTCGTAGTTCACAATTATTTACCCATTATATTTGTTCCCAGTTAATTTACCAAACTTCTCGTTCACTATTGCGGTGCATCGAAGTCAACGGGACGGATTTGATTTGAATTTCCACCCGCCTCCAATGTTAATCAAATTGGCACGTGATTTTGGCGCGTTGAAATTCTGTCCCGTTTACTTCGATGCGCCGCAATAGTAAAAACGTCTTCTTAAAAGCCCAATTAATTCAATAAATGTAACAATGCATGTGCATGCAAAACAAAATTTATATTGGATCCAGTAAGAACGGTACAGAGAGCGGTGATGCAAAAATTCTGCAATCTAATTTTATTTATTAGTTGTAGTCGCACCAAGCCTCACTAAGATTTCCCTTTTTTGGGGCCTTGTTTATTTAATACTTGTAATTGAGTTCTTTATATATTTAATAATAAGCACCACACATTCCTTAAAGCTAGAGTTGATTAGAAGATTTATTGTCAACAACATTAATGCGTCGCTGCAAAAATTTGAAGGTTTTCTAAATTTAATAATCTCTCGAGTTCTTAACCGATTTTGATCATCCGGTAAATTCACCAAATCAGTTTGAATGTCATTTCTAAATTTCATAAGAATAATCGGTGCAAAATGTCATCAAAATCGGTTGAGAAATGACTGAGATATTGAATTATTTCTGTCAGTTTTTGGGGTGGGGTCAATGCACACAATATGTAATTTTTGTTGCCAGGTATAAAGTCACTAAAAAATTGCAATTTTTTAGATTTCAAATTTGAATAACTTTCTGAGTTCCTAACGGATTTGGATAATCATGGACTTAAAATAACCGGAATGACTTTGTCTACAATGTTTTCAATGAGAACATGTTTGGATGGCCCATTAATGAACTATGAAAAGAAATGTTCAGTATGGGGCAAATTTTCGCGTATTTTTGCCAATAACTCTCTCAAAAAACAAAAATTCCAAAAGGCGACTCGCACATCGTTTTGAAATTATCTAACAATGATCGGTGCAAAATTTCATCCAAATCGGTTGAGAAATGACGGAGATATCGTGGGTGGTCACTTTTTTGGGGAGGGTCAAATGCATACTTAGTAATTTTTTTGTTGCTAGGTATTTGCCTCACTAAGAAAAATAGTAGTTTTGCCTCACCATGAGTGGGCTGGGTTTACAACTTGTGGAATGTGTACCGATGAGAGGCATGACTTTACTAGAAGGAGCAGAACGGGCTTCAAAATTGTTTATGGTCAAATAATCCATTATTTGTCTGGTGTAATGGCTGCATTATATTTTTCACTAGTTCTGCACTCGAAATCTGCAGTCTATACGGATTTTGACAACCAAATAAATTTGTTAGTGCTTTATTCAGTTGTCAACCATATAAACACATGTGTCAAACCTATCGGCTGGAGCAGAATTTAATGTTGAAGATGAACCAATCTATGATTTGAAAAAATTGAGTTTAAACAAGTGTATTTAGAACTCTAAAAACATAGAACTTGAAACATAAATACATATTGGACTCACGAACCCAATATTTTGATAAATTGTCTGAATTTGGGCTTTCCAAAATTTCCCCCAGGGATTCGTTCCGGATCCACTTGTTCATACGAAGCTCAAAAACCCCCTGAAATCGAAATACCTTTTAAAAAATTAAATTGTAGAATTGCATAACCAAAGAAAAAACTTTACTAACAAATATTTTAATTCTGGTCATTAATGAAAGCGTTTCATCGCGAGAAAGAGCATGCAACATTTCGAAGGTAGCAGTTATCCAATTTGTAGATAAGTAAATTGGTTCTCCCATCGAGTTTGTCTGGGTGGAGGAATTTCCCCTTGTTGTAACTTTTTGTAATCTACTATCCAACTTGGCACCAACGGTTGTGATCAGTACGCACAAAGTCTCCACGTTCACCTCATCCTTCATTTCTAAACGAATAAATAAAATAAATATTACAGTCTCAGTCAGTAGTCAGTAAAATATTAAATAAATATTACAATCAGTAAAATTTTACAAGCTTTGATAATCTTACGTAATAACGTTTCACAATTTTCCATGAGCATCTTATTCGTTATTAATGAAAGGTTGAATAACTCTCCGATAAAACGGACATTTCCAAGTGAACGATTCCTAGTTTTCGGCTTAAATACGTCTAGCTCAGCTTTCAATTTTTCGTAAGAGACCCCACTGCCCAATTTCTTCAGGTTATCCTCGGCACCACGTATTTTATCAATCTCATTTCGAAGAACATGAAATTCCTGTTGGCATCCCTCGATAATTTGAATCCTCACATTTCTGGCTGCTGGATTTTGGGATGTGCTAAACCGTAGGATCTATGTATATCGAAGGGTAAAAGGTCATCAGTGCATATTTTACTTAAGTTGACTAAATAAATAATTCATGAAAATAATTACTAATTTTGCGTATTGTCCACAAATATTAGGTCTTCTAGCAGCCTTCCCCAAAAGTATGTCCACCACGGCATTTATTCTGCCTAGATTTGCTTGAAATAGGAAATTGCCAAATTCTTTACTTGCTATTTCAACCTTTTCCGGCTGGTACAATTTATTTAGAACTAGCGTATAGCCCGGCCAAGGCCGGGTTCTAGAGTTCCAGTGGGGGTGTGCCCAAAGCGAAAAATCCGTCATACTATACTTTAAATAATTCCCAGTGGAGACTTTGTCATACCACATACATACATCAGAGTGAGGGTTTGCCCAAGTCATACTGCATTTTAATTAACCTGGTCACAGTACAATTTAATTTCCCCCTGTGGGAGTAGTTGAATAGCTAATTACTTTCCTTAAATTCCCGTCGCGTGGGAGTAACTGCATAGCTCACTATTTAAATTCCCACGCTTCACGCTCCCGTTAAGTTCCATAAACCCCGTTAACTTCTACAATTAACGCCAAGCTATTGACGGATTTGGGTTCAGCGTCAAAAATACATTCGAATTGATATGCGACATCACGAATAAGCCATATTTGAACACCACGGTCACGGCAAGGTCAAGGGGGCCTCGGAGGTCAAAACCATTGAGCGTTGGATTCAGCGTCAAAAATACATTCGAATTGATATGCCACTCGCTGTGGGTGGAGTTTCTCACACTAAAATAATTAATTAATAGTGGTTAATAACCACTGGTTATTAAGATCACTTATCATGATAACCACTATTGATGACTCATCAATGATGAGTGATATATGTATACTGCTCACTCACTCAATTTACTTGCACACTGTGTTTATATATTAAAACATTTAATTTGAGTTTGATGGCAAGTGTACGTACGTGAAAGTCACGTGCAGGCGAAGTGAGACTCATGCAGAAAATTCATGCATGCATTGGTTGCTCCGCTTCCCTCTTTGTCTACTCTACGGGGCAACTTGCATTGAGAGCCACAGGGACTCAGTCAGCGACTTAACACTAACGCTTTATTAGAGTGGATTTGACGAATGGTAAGCTCTTGAACCTATACGTGGGACAAAATCTAGTGAATAAAGGTCACGGCAACGACATTATAATTACAATAAAGTGACGTAAGTCGCTTTAATTATGGTCATCCTTACCGGGTTCATTTTTATTAGTTAATTTTAGGTTAACTTTTCCGTACAAAGAAACAACCCAATTGGATTGTTATTCCCAATGCCGTGGCAATTGTGTCATTAACGCAATTCATTAAATTGTCATGCGAAATAAATTTTGTACAAAATATAATTTACGAAAACAATGAACAGCCGACAACCCAGTTGCGTGTCGTTGCCTACCCGGGCCCCCGCTCTATGAGTCATAGACTATGACTTGCAATCTCCCCCAAACAAATAATTATGAAAATTATCCACGAAAAAGTTAATATCATATTCGATCTTATCGTAAACTATTTTTCCTTATCCTATCCCATAAATCGGCAACCCTGATATGTATAGATATTTGTTCCGGACTTAGGAGAAGGGAACCTCTCAATGTATGAATTGCAGATTAGATATTTGTATATACCCTTGGATAAGGCCATTTTGTAATACTTGGCGAGTGTAGAAAAAGCGAAGGAGAATTTTATTCCATGACCCGATTTGTGGCGTGATTTGCCACACCCCCTCAAAGAGATTATAACCACTGGAACTGTCATTCAAACATGTGTAAATAAAACTCATGCACAAGATACTATTCGCTTGCCTAGAAGATACAAGATACTTCTCAGGCAGGTAAAAGATACAGTAAAAATCCTACTTGGTATCTTGTATCTTCTATCATGTAACTTGGCAAAGTAATGTACCCACCCCTGGTATTTATGGTTTAGGGATGAATGGAGTGTGTATTTTTTACATATGGATATAAATGTGTGTAATTATTGTTATAATAATTCAATAATTGTTAGGATTCCGTACACAATATTAATGGATGGAAAAGATAAGTTCATGTCTTTAACTGTGGCTTTTTTCTTATGAAAAATATGGAAGTTTTCAGTGAAAACTTTGAGCATGATTCATGTCTCATCTTGACCATCACACCGCTTGACTGGATAATTTCTCTCATTCAATGCAAATGCACCAACAAAACACAAAACAAATCTCATAAAACTAAATTTTTATACTAAAAGTTAATTGTAATTTCGAAACTTGAAATTTAAATATATTTCTAAGCTCATCCCAAAATCTTAGGACACCATCGTCTCTGGCAAACATTGACTAATGAGGTATATTTTTAGTTTAAACTTACGTAAATAGTAAATAATCATTCATTAATAATGAATCATTATGAATCATAAACGATATAACATAAATTCAAAATTTGTCAATGACAAACTGTCATCAGCTCTGATAAGCCATTTCTCATAGCAGCTATATTATTTTGTCAATTGATTTACTAGTACATAAATCTGCCCAAAACTATGGACGACAAGAATTTAAAAAGGCGACGAATTTCACCTCGGCGAGGAGCAAAGCCTGATAAAAACCCGTCAATTCTGCTAGAACGAGGTCCAATTAAGAAATCTCGTATCAAAGATGATGATAACGATGTCGTCCAACAAATATGTTTCTCTTGTGGAATTTCGCCCATTGCGTCGAAAAGTCTTCCACGACGCCGCTACCTGGAGCAGACCGCAGTCTTCAAGAATCTAATTATGGATCCACAATTTCAAGCTAAACTGTCCCCATCAATGTACCGAGATTTTGCGGAGAATGAGGAAAGTTGTGGAAAATGTTGGGCCAGGATTAAAGAAGTTTGGGGTCTGAAGCAAGAAATTATTTCCATGCAGAAAGAGCTGGATGAACTTGTGGAAAATGGAAGGGAAAGTGTGCTAAAGATGAAGAAATCGAAAGGAAACGATGGACCAGAGAATGTTGATGGTATGTAGTTACGTTATAATTATGCATGGATTATTAACTGGACATTTACAATATCAAATCCTTATTTTGTTGTCTGACTTAGAAACAAGAACGATGACGACGCGAGAGAAGGCACCACGGTCCCCAAAGAGGAAGAACATCGCCTCTAGTCCAGGATCAAATATTTCACCACAGCCCCAATCACCACCAATTTCTGACCATTTTGTAATAAAGTGCGAAGTTAGTGAGGATGATGACGGCGAACATGTTGGTCTGCAGAAAGATGCGATTGTCACATCAGATGAGATGGAAATCGACGAGAAAACGAGTTCCAAAAAATCGTCTCCAACTCAAACTCGTGCGAAGGAAAGCACATCTCCGCAAAGACCAACTCGAAAGAGCAGTCGGATGGCTGAAATGAAAATGAAAGGAAAGTTATCGGCCAAAGATTCACAGGTTCCAGTTGATCAGCTTGAAGAGTATGAAAAATTATCTTGTATTTATACGGCATTTAAGTTGCACACGAGCTGTGAATAATCAATATTTGTAAATTTTCAGGATGAATGACCAGTCGTATAATTCCGAAAGTGACGGACACTCTGATAATTCTGAGAGCCCTGATTTCAAAAAAGGAAAGCGTCGCTCCCAAAATAAGGCAAAGTTAGAATGCTCCAAATGTGGGAAGCCCTGTGGCCGACTAAAGTATTTAATTCAACACGAAATTGTCGTCTGCAAAATTCACTACGATGACAATGAGCTGAAAAAGATGAATATCAATTTTTTTCCCTGTGAAGTATGTGGTAGGCAATGCTGCACAAAGACTGATCTCGACAGGTAACATCAAGAGAGGTCTAAAATAAATTATTATGTAATGAAGGCTGATTATTTATTTACTGTATCTTTCAGACATATTTTAACACACACGGTACGAGAACTTGGATCGAAATCTGATAAACCTGACTCACCAATGTCATTTAAGAATGACGATCCCGACCAAGATGATAATCCAACCATGCCAACCAAGGAGAAATTTACCTGCTCAAAATGTGGAAAGGAATTGCACCGTCGCCTTCGACTGATCTCGCATGAAATTACGGTCTGCAAAGTTCCCTACGACGAGGTCAAGCTTAAACAGGAAGGCATCAAACTATTAAAGTGCGATTATGACCAATGTGACCGCGTCTTCGTTCTTGGTGCCGATTTAAGAAAGTAAGTCAAATTAATTTTTAATTTAATTAACCTATAATTTAATTAATAATTCATGACTTGTACTTTCTCTAGACACATTCTCACCCACACCGGAAGTAAACCCTACACGTGCGACAAGTGTAGAAAATTCTTCACTCAACCCACGAGCCTGAGACTCCACAGAACAATTTATTGTTCAGCTGGGAAAATTGATTCCGAATTACGAAAGAAATTTATTGAAAAACAAGTTGAAAATAAAGCCCACTGCAACAAAAAGTGTCCCCATTGTAGAAAACGGTTCGTCTCCGATGATAGATTAGAAAAACATATTGCCACTGCCCACACCTCCAACCAAGAAGGTTTCATAATTTGTGAATTTTGTGGAAAATCAATATCCTCCAAGCCTGGTCAATTAGCTATTCACATCCGTCGCGTTCATCAAGGTGTTCATCGACATTCGTGCTCGTACTGCGGGAAGGGATACTTTTCTGTAGCGGATTTGACCAGTCACGTGAGAAATAATCATGAGAAGAATTCTAAAGCTGCAGATGTGTCGAATCCTAAAGAACAATTCTCTTGTGATCAGTGCCCTAAAACATTTTTGTATAGTCGTACTCTAAGCGACCACAAAAAGATGGTTCATCTTGGAGTTAGAAGGTTTGAATGTCAAACTTGTCATGCGAAATTTTACCGTGCACCCGATTTCAAGAAACATGTGAAAACTCATAATAAGCCAATTCACAAGTGCGAGAGATGTGGTCAGGAGTTTACCAGCCTAAATGGGTTCCATAATCATACAAAGCTGGCCAAGACGGACTGTCGCCTACTAAATGGACAGCGACGGAGGGGGAAGAAAACGTTGGTTGAAAAACAGTGCCCTCACTGTCCCCTGATTTTGATGGGAGCACTCAAATTCAAGATGCACATGAGGCACGTTCATCCAGAAGAAGGACAGTTGAAGGACATGGACAGTGAAGAAGGAAAAGATGAAGAAGGTTCAGCCGACATAACTTTTCGCGAAGGGGAACAAGAGGCACCATCGTCATTTGTTGTTTTAGATGATGCTATCATAGAATGTGAAATTGTCGTTACATGAGTGACCTCACACGACTTTGTGCTGATTTGTGATTTGATGTTAAACTCCAGATTGATACATTAAATAAATACAATTTTGATCGGAACAATTGTACTTGAATTGTAATTGAATCAGACCAATATTTTTACATTTCATAACCTACTAAAATATAAGTTAACTGTTTTATGCATGCTGCAAATATGTACATGTATATATTTACCATATTGAAGCTTTACGGGTCGCCGAACAAAACTTTGATGATTCGGAAACAAGGCAACTGTTTGCGCAGCTTGTCATCATTTGGCAAATGGCATATCATTTCATTTTTCTGTAATTTGTTAAACTGCATACACGCGTTGACTCAATGCTGATCTGGAAATGACGTCCCAAATATGACTCATGTTAACCAAGTTAACAATTAAGTACACCGGACCCATTCAATTAGTCTTATCTGCAATATCGTCCCACCGACAAAGTCACATCCTCATTTAGTCAAGCGTCCGGACAGATTTTAGTAACCGACTAATTATTTAATTTTCGGCAGATAACAGATTTCCGTCGCACTCATAATTTTTCCAAGATTCAGTCCCTCACTCGTTCCCTATTTAAACCGAGTACAACTTATGTCATAGGAACCACTAATATTTCACGCATCCAAGTTTACTTACTCCTCTGACAAAATGTCTCAAGTAAATTATCCTGAGCCTCGAACCCTTCAATGGGTCCCGATGTCGAGGGGGGCATACCCCGAGTGGTCCATCGAGGCTGGCATCGACACAGGGAAGAAACTTTATGTTGCTAGAGCAACCCACCAGTCGGGATTAGTTCCTGGAAAACTGCACGTCGGACATTCCGATGTTTATATTGCTTTCGATGGCAAAGAAGTAAACAAGTCGGAATACGAGGTTTGTAATTTTTTACATTAATAAATATTGGGCGTACTCACCGCAGCTTCTTATTTCTCGTCCCAAGTCGCAACTCATTTACGTAAAATAAAAACTCGTTTTGTTGTGAAAATTTACGAACGAAAATATCATGGTTTTCCAGCAGAAAGTTTTGCTAAATCTCGTAAATTTCAAAACTTAACTTGTACATATGTTCAATTTGCGAGAATTTAGAGCTGTGTATGTACATGCAGGATGCCCATTATTTTAACAAAAGCACTAACTTTGGTATAAACATGTATGTATGTATATCGTTTAGGTTTTAATTGGACCAACTGCAAGTTTGAGTTGGATTGAATCCAGCCATGGTCAAATTGCTCCGCATGCAGTGGTCGGAGGTGAAATTTATATACCGAAATAATTTACATGTATTTATTCAATTATTGTTCAGTTTAATCATAAATTTTTACAGGGAAGGACCCAAATGGTGAGACGTATTATATTGGTCGTGTTATAATGAATGGCACCATCACTGTGGGAAAAGTGCATCCAAGTCATAATGCGTGCTATGTTCCATACGGTGAGTAAATTATGCAACATTACGATGAGATAAATAAGAAACAAATTAAGAATTTAAAAAATTCTTCAGGTGGAGAAGAACATAAGCACACGAGCTATGAAATATTGGTTCGAAACTTGCTGGGACGAGCTTTAAATGTATAGATTAAGAGTCCAGAGCATGGAGCATGCATTTTATTTTAATAGTAACGACTATTTTAAAATACATAATTGTTAAAATATTTTTGTGTTACAGTCAGTCAAATAATTTGCATACTCTATCCGATCTCATACATATGTACATACATCTGAGCCTATGCAAATTGTATAAAACTTTATATAGCACCGTCCATCTCTCAAATTTAATAATAGTTAAGTTAATACGTGCATATGTACATATGTACGTATGTACATTCGTGCATGTAAACTACTGAGGATGCGAGCTTAACTAAATCATTTTGTTTCGATTCAAATTTCTACTGTCTCATTCATTGTATTAATGCAGGCTATGAATTTAAAAATTGCTTTCATATAATTGATTTGCCATGCAAATACTTAAATACAATTATCTGACTACATATTTACAAATATTTAAAATATGAGTAATTAAGCAGATTTTCGTTCAATCCTAATACCCGCATTCGTATTTAATTAAATTAGCTTTAACCCCATGTAGGAGCAAATAGTTATTAAATGTTTCCAACACTCGACCCCAGGATCTTGGTGGTGGTGGCTCAGGATTTTTTACCGATTGATTTGCTCCCGTCTTGTCATGGATTATTTGATTTGCGGATGATGCCACCCGATCAATCGCACCCCGGCAAACGCACCCCACCATTGCCACCCCCGATCATTCGCACCCGAGCAATCGCACCCCTGTAGATGCCACCCCTTATCGGGGCGGTAACTCAAAATCTCACTCATGAGATAATCCTAGCATTGTTTTGTAACCCCAATAAATTCAGCAACATATCGCATATTTACACTCATTTATTTGTGCCCAAAAATTTGTCAAAATCTCACAAAATCGGGGGTGGGATACTCCTAGGGGTGCGATTGATAAGGGGTGGCATCTACAGGGGTGCGACTGCTCGGGTGCGAATGATCGGGGGTGGCATCATCCTAGGGGTGGCAATGGTGGGGTGCGTTAGCCGGGGTGCGATTGATGGGGTGCGATTGATCGGGTGGCATCATCCGCACACCGATTATTTTGTGCTGTTTGGTGAATAAATATTTGCGTCATCCGTTTGTGCATATATTCCTACACGCATTATCCAGTCTTTTCTCCTTAGGTTATTTATTTTTCTCCTTAGGTTAGTCTTATGCAATTAAAAATTATCGTAGGAATGTGAAGTTTATTCATTTTGATTAAGTGCACTTACGTATACCGAAAATGATGAGGCATAACGATAAAACGCCTCAGGCAGGTTCATGAATATCCATGTTATTCATAAACACAATTCTGAATGATCATTTATTGTCGAATAACTTGTAGATTTTTTTGTCTTTCTTTCTCGCATAATTTTTTGCACTCTCATATTTCATATTGTACTTTGCCGAGTTCGAGCGTCTACATATGTAAGCGAGCGTCTTAATTAAATAGCGTCTTAAATAGTATACATATATATTTTATTTTCATCCCAGTACTAATGAATTTTTTATGAAACAAGTTATAAAACCCAGGTGCCCGTCTATGCAAATATGTAGACGGATGACTACCATCGGCAAGTAACTCATTTATTATCTACTTACATATGCAAATATATAACGCAAATGACCAAATTCTAATGACGTCCGAACCAAACTCTATTTTTTACATTTTCCATCCGTAACCGCTTCATCTTCCTCCACTTGAAGTTCATGACCAATACATAGAAATTCAATTAGCGGGTAACACAATGTACACGTTTCCAGGAATTTGATTCAAAATACCGATGTGCTAAAAGATTGACAAATATTTTTCTCATCTCGATCTTACGTTATGTATGCAAGTCAAATAAATTTTGGATATAAATATGAGCCTATTTTCGCCCAGGTTCAGTATTGATTACACCACGCTCTAATCAAATATAATCTTCATATGCAATTTTTCGACAAAATGCACTATTTTACGTTACCACTCCTTCTTGCTGCCGCCACTCTGGGTCCACTTGCCGCCCTTGCGAGATCTGGCAACCCCACCGAACCGACTTCCACGCTCCCACAAAGTTATTACCTCCAGTTCATTCTCGCCAATTCTCTCCAACTCGGAGAATCCTGTTCCTGGAATGACGAAGCCTTCCGTCAAGCTGGTATGCGCCAGATGAGAAAATTTCCCAAAGATAGCAAAGAAAGCGACCAGGTTTTCGATAGCATCGTGTCCAACACGGTAGAAAAACGGAGGACCTTCTGTGTATTGAAGGAAATGCTGGTGTGTGACAAGAATACGGCAACATGCGTTTGCGGGGAAGTAGATGTTCAGGTAAGTTGGGATGAATTTTAGTGGAAAACATGTAAAAAAATTTTGGAACTAATTTTATTTTGAACATAAATATTTCAGGTCAGCCTGGGAGTTAGGTATAAACCGACGGATTACGTTGCAGAATTGGACGCCAACACGGGAGCAAACGTGTGTCGTTATTCTCGAGGGACAGCCTGCATCCCTGAACAAGCCACAACAGGGGCTGATACCTTTGAGGCGAAATGTGCTCAAGGTCTGAGCTGTACTTATGTCAAGGATGGAACCACATGCACTACTGCATCAACGGTCAACTATTTGGTGGATTCGCTGCAAAAAAAGCTAACATACGAGGAGTACACGGAAGGGATTTTGACAGGAAAGATGTGCCAGTGTGCAAAGGAAGATAACACGGGGACTGATGATAACAACAATTGGAATGGAAGGTTTAAAAGAAGCCTGTCTGGAGATGATGATACGTATGCACGAGCAAAAGCTGCATTGTTGTCGCCGAGAGTGATGGAATTGTAATAATCTTGAGGGTAATGGGTTCATAAATAATTTAAGGGATATAAATGAATAAAAAAACATAGTTTTCATTTGGAATTTTTTGAAGTAACGTAGTAGTATTAGTGAAATGCTTTACGTATTATTTACGAAAAGTAGTGTAAAATTTCGTTAAAGTTACAAATTGGGGTTTCCTTTGCGGTCAGACTTTTAATTTCTTGCTCATGGAAAGCGTATTAAATATTCTTTTGTGGCAGATATTCCAGAATATTTAGACCCAACCTTTCACATAAGTTGTACTTCGTCATGTCAAAAGGCAAGCATATGCCGTCAATGTATTTTTGTGATGGGATTCGATGGGGATTGATAAATAAATACGTTGACGTGGTACATACGTAGATATTTGCATACACGTTATCTCACCGTGTTTTCTCTTTATGTAATTTCAAATTGTGCTAACTATACAAGCGAATTGATTCTCCTCAAGTACTTATATATTTACAATTGGATGAAACATCATCCATTTCTTGCCTCCGGCATGTTCACGAATACCCATATTATTAACGAGGAGACCTAACTTAGGTGAAAGGTAGTTATTGCGATCAATTTGTCCGTCGGTCAGCACAATGGCTCTCGAAGGAATCAACTTTTTTCATTTTATTTTCGGATATCGACACCTAGTTTTACAAGTAAATAAGAGAGAGTTTCGTTAACCAGCCTTGTAGGTCAAACGGTCACGATATCTCACCACAGTGGAAAAAAGAAGGAAAAAGAACGGTTTTATACATCATTCCGGTTGGAGATTTCAGAAATCACCATCATTTCGACGTATGTACCTTTTGACAGTCACCAAATGTCAAAATTGTCGAAAACTCAAAAAGGCAAACTCTCCTAGCAAAGATGATTCACATTTGGTAGATATGTTATCATATCAATGCAATCCGTTTCTCCTAGTTTATTATATCTGTTGCTGAAGTTTATTAAAAGAGTGGACTGCAATGTCTAAAAATATTGCCTGCATCATAACTCACAGAGTACAGATATTTTTGCCTTGCTTTCTTCTGATAATTTTTTATCAGAAGCCACTTGTCATATCTATCTTACATTGTACAAAGTATTGTTTGTCTAACTAGTGTGCTGTATTCCAGTGTTTGTGAATTCTAATTTTTACTTTGCAACCTCGATGTCTCCGATGTAGATATGTACCTGCAAATTTGTATTGATGAATATTACCCACGTGCAAAAGGTCAAATGCAATGACGTTTGAGTATTACAAAGAACCCTATTTTTTGCAGTCTCTGCTCAGTAAAAGCTTGCAATTTCTCATAAGAATATATGTATGTACATGTATTTACATATGTCCTGCGGGTAACACATGCCCCATGCCAATATTTTCAATTACTTACATATATAAGATTAGCAATAAATAAAACATTGGTCTAAAACGTTGACGCGTGCACATCTCATTTTATCTTTTAATCTGCGAATAAATTTCGCTATAAATACCAACTCATTTTCTCATCTTGTCCAGTATCAATTACACATTCGAATCGAGGCAAACTAACAATCTTTGCATTAAAAGTATCGACAAAATGCTCTCTTCCACGTTAGCCCTCCTCCTCGCTGCCGCAACGCTTGGTCCACTTGCCACCCTGGCTCAATCATCGTCAAACAACTCCAACGAGACTGCCACACTCCCAGCAATTTATTATCTTCAATTCATACACTCCAATTCTCTCAAATTAGGAGACTCGTGTTCCTGGAGTGATGAAGTCTTCCGTCAAGCAGGTACTCGTGCAATGGAACGGTATCCCGAAGACAGTAAACCGTACGACCAGGTTCTCGACAGAATTGTGTCCAGCACAGTAGAAAATGACAGGACTTATTGCCTAGCAAGCGAATTGTTGGTGTGTGACCAGAATACGGCGAGATGCGTGTGTGGAGCAGCTACTGCTCAAGTAAGTTCGGAAGAATTTTATTAAGAAACATATTTTCGAAAAAAAATGCTTATTTTATACCATTATTTACTTACTAGGCCACCCTTGGAGTCAGTTATAAACCAACCGATTACGAATCCGAATTAGAAGTCGGTACGGGAAGAAAGGTGTGTCGTTATTCACGAGGGGCAGCTTGCAGTCCTCCATCCTCAGCCCCAAAAAAGGCTGGTTCCTTCGTCCCCAAATGTGCTCAGGGTCTGAGTTGTACTTATGTCAAGGATGGAACCACATGCACTACTGCGTCAACCTTCAAATATGTGCTGGACTCGATTCGAAATAATATGACGCGTGAAGAGATGATCGAAGGCATTCTGACAGGGAAGATGTGTCAGTGCGTCAACGAGGACAACGACGTAACCGATAATGCCACCAGTAGCAAATGGAATGGGAGATTTAAGAGAAGCGTGGGTGACGAGGATAGCCTGCATTCACGAGCAAAAGCTGCATTACTATTCCCCGGAGTGATGGATATGTAATAAACAAATTTTGAAATCATGTGCGTATAACACACATCATAGACTTAATTAATATTAGCAATGCTGAGGATTTCTTGTGATGCATTTAAGAAATGCGTGACATAACACCCTTTATTATTTACAAAACATACAGTTGACAGTATGAACTTTTTAATATCATAAATCTTTGAAAAATCTATCACTCACACCCCGGAATTGGATTTTCTTCTCTTGTTATTTTTATTCCAGATTCGTCCAAAAATTTTCATTTCCCAAAAAAAACTTGTAATTTTCAGATACTTAATATGTAAATTATGGTGCGGAATATCTGCTACATATACAATTGTAATAGATAATTTACCTTTTAATAAAAGCTAACCAGCGATGCACAAAATTGTCCCTGAATTAAAAAATCTTAACCTATAATACTTGATATCTACATATGTACCTACATAAGTACTGGCCCATATCAGCACCCATAAATAAGCTTAACTACATACATACACATCTGTTTACATACATATTTGTGAATAACACAAGCACAAAAGTTTTCATTTGAGATCTAAAAGTAATACGATTTTTCCGCAATTTCTGCCGGATCATTTGCATTCAAATTTAAAAACCGCTTCGCTCCGGAAATAAAATACCTCCGCTTGATAAGCTCGTTAATTATGGTCCTAGGTGTTTGGCGTCCCAATGCTTGCGTCACGTAACTCAACGGCACTCTAAATGCACGCTGGACGATACCCAATTGGGCTTTCACCCTCGGACATGGAATTCCAATTGTATCCTCAATCGATAGCAGTAGAATTTGATGCACAGAAATTATGCTGTCACCAGTCTGACCTAGTAAATTCCGGACGAATCCCTGCAGGGAAGCAAACAATCAAAAAATTCAAAGAACCGCAAATATGATTTAACCATTTATAATCAGAACCATTCGCCACCTACTCGGTAAAAATGTTCCAACATCCTTTGCCCATCCGGCTTAGCTTGGAACAATGTTGGGAGGAAATAAATGTTAAAAATGTCCTGGTAATGTTTCTTCGCTGCAGATAAGCTCGGCTGAAGTCCGACATTGTAACGATCCTCAATTCCTAACCCGTTTCCTAAGACGGCCCAAAGATGCATATAACCCAGCAAGTCCTCTTCCGTAGCATCACTAATTCCAAATCGTTCCGGCATTAAAATTGGAATTGAACCACACGCCCATTGTACCAAACTAAACAAAAGTTGGTTCATTGTTGGACCCGCGGTTTTTGGGGAGTAATATTTCACGTGATCTGGGTAATCGCGGTATTGTTGGGGAACGTTTGAAGCATCCATGTCTTTTTGGAAGGCGTCCCACATTGCGGCGTCGTACGTGAATGCTTCAGTGTTCTGAAATGATGTTCCAAAATCAGTTCTTAATTTGACGGTGTCACTAATTAATTAATTAGTTAATTGTATAATTACTGACATGTGGGTCTAAATAGGGCGGACTGTCGCCATAGAGCATGCTTGCATTCAGTCTGTTTACGGCGCGATGTATTCTTCGAACTTTTGTTAAACTTTTAATTATATGGTCGCTAATTTGTCCTTTGGAACTGGCCTTTACACCTGTAATTGTTGTACACGTTTAATAAAGTAATTAAAAAATCAAATTTGACTTCTGATTACCTTGTTCAAACCAGGACTTCATTTGCAGCATGGTAGCCAAGTAGCGGACATTTGAGGTGTGTGGCGTTCCCGATTTCCCAGTCCCAATGACGACTGGCTCTTTCAACTTGTTCGTAATAAACATCGATGCTCCCGCAATCGGACTTAGAAAAACGGAGAAAATATTTTTCTGTGCGAATTTTTGTCCAATATTCCACAAAGTTGAGTTGAACCAGTAGGGAAGTTTGTAGTCATCGTCGAGCGGGGCGATGGGGACGTACAGCCCGCTTTCTAACAGACTCACGGGTGCGGCACAACTTGGCGTGTAAGAATCCAACTTGCTGAAAAAGTGTGAAAGTGTTATTATGCAATTATAAAAATTATTCGAATTTTCCATTTTTTATCGGAATAATTTATCACTTGGATATGTCCCGATTCGGATCCCATGTTTCACACTGCGCCTCCTTTACATATCGAGACCTCCTATTTTGACCATGTCCCGATGCGACGCTACAAAGTAAAATGATTGTTAAAACCCTAAACCTCTCCATGTTTTTTTAAAGAACGTTTATCCTTTCTCAAAATTAAAACCGCATTCATGAAACAGAAATTGCAAAATGAGTCAATGGTTTCCGTGTCACACAGTATTTATATCCTCCGAAAACTCGTGGAGTCCAAACGCGTGGAGTGAAAATCAAGGGAATCTAGTTTTTTAGGGAGCTTTTCCATACCCAACACGTGTCATTGTATAATAATTCATTTTTTACTGTGCATTTTATTTATTGAAAGAATATCGACCTCCCAAAGTGTACACGTATTAACCAAATGCACAAGTAGAAATTTTGTTATTGAATATTCATATATCGAATTTTGAAATCAGTTCAATTTTAGGCTTATTTACATATGTACATATGTAAGTACAGTACATGTTATAGCACAAATCCAGTACAAATTATTTGTAATGAAATGCAAATTGATTCAATTATGTAAATACATCAGTTCGCTAAATGAATGATTTTCTCACTTTGTTGTCCCAACATCAAACATATCTTCTCAAATATGAAATTCCATCCATCCATCCATGAATAATTAATTCCCACATTCCGTTACTTTATAGATGATGAAACAAGTTTCATTATATCTCCTACACTGAGGGGATAAATTGTCCGTCACGGTTTAACATAGCTATATCTCGTACAATTTCATAGATATCAATTTGAAATTTTGCATAGTTGTAGACAATCGCATTTGTGATGAAATTGGACTCATAGGTTGAAAAAATAATGCAAAGGTCAAAGGTTACGATTTTTTGACCTAAAACCTCAAAAGTCAGCTACATCAAGAAAATTTTTTCTTGGTATTTTTATTTTTATAAAGTTAGGGCAAGTCATCCTGAGCATTTTGATATGTTGGTCACCTCTGTGCGATTTTTTTTGTGCCCACAGCGATTTTTTGAAAAGTGATGTTTTGAAAAGTTTTAACATTGGGCTTACGGGAGAAAATCTCAAAACATCACTTTTCAAAAAATCGCTGTGGGCACAAAAAAAATCGCACAGAGGTGACCAACATATCAAAATGCTCAGGATGACTTGCCCTAACTTTATAAAAATAAAAATACCAAGAAAAAAATTTTCTTGATGTAGCTGACTTTTGAGGTTTTAGGTCAAAAAATCGTAACCTTTGACCTTTGCATTATTTTTTCAACCTATGAGTCCAATTTCATCACAAATGCGATTGTCTACAACTATGCAAAATTTCAAATTGATATCTATGAAATTGTACGAGATATAGCTATGTTAAACCGTGACGGACAATTTATCCCCTCAGTGTATCTAAATATATATGCATATAAACATATATACAACATCAATCAGAGTAATGGGGACAACTATTTGACTTGGGGTTAGAATGCAAATTTCCGAAAATACAAAAAATATAATTATGTTGAAGATGCATCAAACCTTTAGCCATGAATTACGCTAAATAAATATACATTTTAGTTTTTTATAATGCATACATTTATTTCTTTTAGTCCTAAACATTGAGCTTTAAGCTTAAATTAATGGTGACAGACAGGACAGCCTGTCCTGGACAGGTAAAGACGTACTGGTAAAAGCTGAACCCCAAACTGGTTAAAGATCGGAAAAGAAGTATGTACATATTCTTACATGCAGTAATTATTCCAAGTTAGGATGCATAAATTGCTTAAAAAACATAATAGTGGACTCGTAACAAAGCATGTAAGAGGCGAGGCCGATAGAAATTGTGCACAACACTATAACGTGTTTTTATTCCCAAAATTATTTAATCAACCTGATAACCTGATAATGTTTGCGTGGTGAAACACGTGCTTGTTTTTATGATGGTAACGCAGCTCAACCTGGGATAGAGTGCATAGGACCCATTAAATTTCACCTCTGTTAAATATTATCTTCACAACCTTTTTGCATTGTAAACAAATATGACTGCATATACAGCAGAATATATGTCTGTAAATTATATCTTAAACAATTGCGTGACACAATCTGGGATGCTGGAGAATAAGGAACACTTAGATACACAATTACATTTTTTATCTATTTACACGTGCCTCGATTTATATATAACTATATGTACTGCGTATGCAAGTATGTACATATTTTAAATTGTCATGGGGTTGAATAAGAAGAATTAGGTTTAAATTGCCGTGCAATCATATTATGATGATCTTCTAAATCAATACTAAAGACATTTAAAAAATAACTGTTTAAGGAAGATATGATAAAATACATAAACTTGATAGCAATCTGCCATTCATTTCTCGCGAATGTTATTTCCAGCAGTTAACGCGTTTCAGTATTCAGACATTCAGGGAATGAAACCTTAATTGACCTTTCTATGCTTTACAGTACGACAATCTATATTCCGATTTCTTATTCTGATGCAATAATAAGGGTTGTAAAACGGTAGGTAATAATATACCTTTAATAAATTTTTCATTTCAATATCAACTAAAAAGCAAAAACTTAAAAAAATTATCTCTCCGTCCGATGTCGACGAGTGGACAAAGTTGTGTCGCAAAGTTCTCGACTTGTCGCCCAATTTGGAAGAACTTTGCCTTGAAGTTCCCGTGCTGGCTACTTTCTCCTGGTTTCCGGTCGAAGAGAGGTTGACAGGGTTAAAGATATTGCGACTTGACATACTTCCGGCCACGTCGGAATGGGGGAATGACGCCATGGCGAAAATTATCATGCAGGAGACCCCCAACCTGGTGACGTTTACATCATCATATTTTGGGACCGGACTGCACACCAGTATTTTAAAGTTGTTAACCGGAAGTGACGAATTTTGGCCGAAATTGACAAATATTGGGTGTCCCCGGAAAGGGAGGAGGGAAGGGTATTGGGGATGGTGAAATACGACAGATCTTGATTTTTTGGCACGAGTTGAGCGAAAATGGAAGAAAATTTATTTTGGGAGGATGTCAACAAACCAGTTGGAGCAGGTACAAGCTGTGCTGGATAAGCACTGTGAAACTGTTGAGCTTATCGAGCTGAATCCTGTGTTATCGCTGCGACTCGTACCAATGGATTTGCCGAGGATTCCAAGTCTGAAAAAGTTGGCGATTTGGGAGTACGATGTGTCCGAGTATGAGCTGTATAGTTTGTTCAGTCAGATTTATAAGATGCCGAGGGGTGTGGTGAGTGAGTCGGGATTAGTTTAGTGATTGTGGAATAAAGTTATTTTTTAAAATTTGATTTCATTTACAATTTCAGAACAAAACGTGGCCCCGTGCAATGACTGGTCGAGAGAGAAGTTGGACTTTTTCAACTTGTTCGACTTATTTGGAGTAAGTAATGAAAATTTGAAGGTTTTTAAAGGATGATGATTTTTGCGAATTTTTGAATGTACATATGTACATACATATACAATGAATCATTTGCAAATACGGAAAGCCCAAAAATATTTGACACAATGCATGCTACACTTTGATCGCATTTTATGCAATTCGTTTTTTCTGGTAATTTTATGCGAAAACTGTATCGCCAATATATTTACCTATGTATTTCTATAAAGGCTTTTTAATTTACTGAAATGGTACAAAAATCGTAATTTGCTCGCAACAACAGCTAAAATAGTTGATTCTAAAAAATTATGATTTTTGAATTATTACAGGACATTGAAAAATTTAAGGATCGATTCCCATCCCTGCACGCTGTAATATTCACTGTGCCCTCCGGTCGGTATGAGAGTTACGTGTACAATGCAATCTTTCCAAAAAAGAAAATAGCAAGTTCGCAGCAGAGTATGTCCTAATTTTAAGAAAGTACTAATATGTAATCTGCATTCATGGTATGGTTATTATATGCGTGTCCAATTATACTATCTATTTACACAAAAGGTCAAATGTGTGCACTTTAATTTAAATATTACACTGTATAAAAAAGAAGGTATGAGTTTTTGACGTCTTCAGTTGAGCTTAAAATATCGAAGTATGTAGTTTCATATGAAGGAAGATTTTTTGTTTTCATGTTTTGTTTCTTCATTTGATCAATTTTATCCTATCTGTGATACTTCAGATGCATCATTTTAAACGCATATGTACACATGTGTGTATGTACATAAACATGCCTGTATTTATGTTTTCACATGTACATAAATAAATATGTGGGTATGTAGATGTGTTTGTTTTATAAAGGGAACTTGACCTGACTTATCCTTAAATAAGAAATTCAAAGATTTTGTACCACGTCATTCCATTCATAGTAATTTATTACGTATCAATTGCACAAAATTTAAAATCAAAATAACAAATTCACTCAATATTCATCAAAGCGATTATATTTTAATAGCGCTATGCATCCCAACACACGGGCCTTCAATATAACCTGGTGATTTTATGAAGGCTGCAATGGCTGGAATTGCCTCGAAATTTGTCATGTAGTCCACCAGATTAGCGTGATCGCTGATCAGATTCTCCCGATACGCCTTCAACAGGTAAAAGTATGAGAAGACGAGAAAGTCAAGGTAGCAAATCTATTTATTTGTCAAAATATTCAGAATCAGTTGGAAGGTTTCATAAATTTTTCAATAAAAAAACTAACCTCATCTCCCAACAAGAACTTCTTGCCTCCCAACATTTTCGAAAGGATGCTCATTTTTGAGGGCACCGTATTTTCAAACATCGCCTTCGTTTGTTCCTGTCATATTTAAATACATACACAGGCGATTTAAAATTTGATCGAAATATTTCTAAATATTTGCATACCTACATACCTGATCAGTGTAAATGAATATTGCAAAATTTTGAATGATGTCGCCCAGTATTCCTTCCATCACTTCTGCCCTGGCAAGATCACCAATATTGGACGGGATCAGACTCGGTTTATACTTTCGGATCACGTACATCAAAACTGCTCGAGATTCGGAGAGCTTGATCGAGTCATCAATCCAATATGGGAGCTAATGTGGGGAGAAAGAAGCACATTTAAATCTGCATGCTTCTTACTCTTAAAAAATATTAAGCTACATTAGGAGAATCGAGTCCAATCTGAGTCTTCTGATGCTTCCAGGTCGACTCCCCACCGTCGCCTTCTTTCCCTTGCGTGTACACAAAGTAGTCGTAATCAACCCCCATATATTCCAGGGCAAAACGGATAGGATAACCTCGCTATGAAAGCAAAATTATGAAAATTTTATATAAAACGTAAGTATATTTTGATATGAAATATATAGAAATATGTATGCATACTCCGCGACAGTCCCAATATGCAAGTTGAGGTTTGCTCATTTTTGTGATACTGCAAATTTCTCAGGGAAAGGATGCGATCTCTTCAACGGTGTTGTGCTTACTGAAGTGATGGTGAAAAGAAAATATTTTCCATGGATCTATCCAAGGACGAGGAGTGACTCGTGGAACTGGAAATTGGATTGGACTGGACCATGTAATCAAATTAGACGGTAAGATTCGTTATGTAGCATTGTTTTGTTTCCTACTATAGTTTGACTAATGGTAGACGTCACGAAGTTCACCGTTTTGTCGTGAAGTAGTTTTCACGAATATCCATATTATTAACGAGGAGACCAAAGTGAAAGATAGTTGTTGCGATCACTTTGTCCGTCGGTCAGCACAATGGCTCTCGAAGGACTCAACTTTTTCCAGAAGAATTTCTGTATCAAAATTGTACCAAAAACTAAAATTTGTGTGTGGTATAATTTTTTGGGATTAACAAACCTTAAATCAAATCAAGAATCAAAGCTTTAAAAAAGGAATAAAGAACGCATTAATTTTTAGCACGAAAGTGAAGTGTCCACTTAATGAGGGGTAGATAACATTGTAATCGGGACCTGTGCAAGTGGAAGCAGGTCAACTAGTTAGATTTACGTGTGCTTAGCTTGTCCTAGCCCGATGGGTCCCCAAAGTATGCAGAAAACCAAACGAGGAGTTGAATGTGCCAGGCCTCCGACTAAATTTGCATTACTCCAGAGTTTCAGTTATGAGGTGGGGTTCGAAATCACGGTCGGGGACATGTCATGTTAGTTCGAAATAATCGACGGACTCGTGTTAAAAGAAGTCTACATGAGGATTCAAGGTTGAAAAGTTATCAAATATGCGATAACTTGTACAGCAATGAAGCTTTCATTTATGGTTTTTGTTCGCCTACATTTACCTCCCCCAGATTTGTTGTCTACTTTGCCGTCACTTTTCCATTTTCAGACAGCAAATAGGTGTTAGATGGTCCATACTATATTTCTAATTAATGTTCTGAGCAATAATTGGCTCTTGAAGACGATTCTGGTGGTCGGAGATAATAATTTTCCCCAAATTAATTATAGCTCGGAGTATTTTAGGAGTGATGATTCCAGGTTATCTATAAACGAGAATAAAGGCGTGTAAAGCTTCTGGAGCAAAGATTTGTACATGATCCTGCATTATTCATTTAAATTGCAATGTGACAGGTACTGTGGCGTATTTTGAAAAGAATCTCTGTGTCCAAATAATACTTTGATGTGAGTTTTTCACTTCTACTTGGAAAATGCTTGAAATTTTCCGTCTCAAAGTATATATATTGATCAAAGGCTTATGGATTTAGATAACCACGTACTCGTGTGTCAAGTCAAAAAAATAATAAGGCCAACTTTCCAAGAAATCATAAAACTATGAAAAACCTGCTCATCACTATCAAAATAACACTTTTATTAACCGTATGTCCTTGGCTACCGATGAAACAAGTCTACATACATACATACAGCATCAATCAGAGTAATGGGGACAACTATTTGACTTGGATTTAAAATGCAAATTTTCGGAAATACCCAAAATATAATTATGTTGAAGAGGCATCAAATCCTTAGCCATGAATTATGCTAAATAAATATTTTAGCTTTCTATAATGCATACATATACAAACACATGTGCATACATATTGATATGAAAAAGATTTCAAATTCATTCACTATATGCAGTTGTACAAGTATTTATTTATTATAGTCCTAAACATTGAGTTCTAAGTTTAAACTAATGGTGACAGACTAGACAGGTAAAAACGTGCTGGTAAAAGCTGAACCCCAAACTGGTTAAAGATCGGAGAAGAAGTATATATGTACATATGCTTACATGCAGTAATTATTCCAAGTTAGGATGCATAAATTGCTTAACAAATATAATAGTGGACTCACAACAAAGCATGCAAGAGGCGAGGCCGATAGAAATTATGCACAACATTATAACGTGTTTTTATTCCAAAAATTACTTAATCAACCTGATAACCTGATGATGTTTGCCTGGTGAAACACGTGCTTGTTTTTATGCTGGTAACGCAGCTCAACCTGGGATATAGTGCATATATAGGACCCATCAAATTTCACCTCTGTTAAATATTATCTTCACAACCTTTTTGCATTGTAAACAAATATGACTGCATATACAGCAGAATATATGTCTGTAAATTATATCTTAAACAATTGCGTGACACAATCTGGGATGCTGGAGAATAAGGAACACTTAGATACACAATTACATTTTTTATCTATTTACACGTGCCTCGATTTATATATAACTATATGTACTGCGTATGCAAGTATGTACATATTTAAAATTGTCATGGGGTTGAATAAGAAGAATTAGGTTTTCAAATTGCCGTGCAATTATATTATGATGATCTTCTAAATCAATAAAGCGAAAAATCTAATAGATATTCCCTTAAAACTGTTAAGCAAACTAAATTGACGACAAATGTCGAGTAATGAGTACTTGCTACGGGATAAGAGAATATCGTCTAATCGTAAGTTCGCCTACATACATATGTTGATTTGCAATGCGATAACATTAAAAATTAGATATGTGCATGATCAAAAGTTTGGTTCAAAGTTCTTAAAAAATTTTATGACACGAATAAAAACTTCATTGACCTTTCTATTCTTTGCATTTCGACAATTCGTATTCTGATTTCTGATTTTCAGACAATGATATGCGTTGGGACACATTGGGTGATATATATAGGGATGTATTTACTTACGTAAGTATACAGATATACACGCGTTTACACAATCCTTAATCAATTATTCGTTTCAATGTCAACTAATTACAAAGTTTGTAATAAACTAATCCTCAAAATTCGAAATTCTTAGGTGATGGACAATTATAAAATTTGCATATCTCTGTCTATCATTAATTTCCTACTGCATTTGCTTAAATTAATTGTAACATGTATCACACATTTGTACATACCCATGTAAGCATTTATTTGATTAGAATAAAATTCCTAAGCTGACCCGTAGGCACTTTGAGTTTGAGTCACAATGTCTGTGCCCACGAGAAACAGACATGGAGTAAGGCAAAAAAGGGTCTGTGGGGTACCAGGTAAAAAATTGAAACTCTGTGACCTGGGATTAAGGGGATCATTGCAGAGGATTTATGTATCTACCTCGCCTAAGGACGCCTCTTTTAAAAATGTATATGAGTTAACACCCCGTGTAAATTTCAAAGCTGGTAGCTATGAGACATATCTAAGTAATGAAGTTATTGATGTAATCAGTGGCCGCGTAAGAGTGTTGACAGAGAGATAATATGCCCACGGTTATTAGATGTCCCCATCATGCACCCATATTATACAAACCCTCCTTTTCCTATCCTAAGTACAATGTTAAGGTCCCCCGATATCCCACAGCTTCCACGGCCACTGAATATAATGACATTTGCGAAATTTCGGAAAACAATGGTATCATTTCATTGTTCCAAGGAGAGAGAGAGAGACATAAGGACGCATATACAGATAAAAACCCGCAGGTTCATAGCATTAAGTATTCATTCTCAAGAAAATCGATTTATTTGGAAGACAAAATGGCGAAAGTTTATCTCATTCTGGTCGCCGTGTTCATGGCGTTGGTCTTCATTGGACAGAGTGCAGCCAGTCCTGACAACGGTGAATTTAATGATGAATTGGGTAGGTTCTTTTCTACTTTGCCAAAAACTTTTTTATAAATTGATAATTAACTTTGCACGCAATTTTTCTGCAGATGGGAAATTGACGGATCTGGCCACCCGGTTTAAGAGACATTATCCAGGTTACTATCGTGGACGATGCGGGTGCGGCTGTTCGGTATTTGCTCCCCCTTGCTGTTGCTTTCCGGGATGATTATTGTCAGCCTCAATCATCGAGTTGCTTTAAAGCACATTCATCTGCAAAATTTTTATCAAATTGACGTGATCTAAATAAATTTTTGTGAGCATTGTTTTGCCCAAAATTGAGAAAATTTGTTGATTAAATTATCGTATGCTCATGCAATTATTACACATTTACACACTTCAATAAAAGATCCGCTTCTCATCTGTGCACTTTATGCTGCCCTGCGTGGCAGATGAGGGTTTTTTATACCGTAAATTTACATTCCATCAGGTTCATTTTATGATGCATTTACAATTAGTCTGAATTCCACCACTGCTGGCGAACTTTTTTTGTGACTAAATAAAACTTAATTAATCGTTCCTCAATTAACACTTAATCTCTTGCATTATATTATCCAAACTCTTCAATCAAATCTGTCTGCCTTCTTGTATTCACAGTATGTATCTTATTTAATGCTACGATGTGATATCACATTCAAATTAATTTTTTTCAAGAACAGAGGTAGATACTTATTTCAAAATTACTTTTATAGCATTTATTTACAATATAGCGGACTACATAGTGACAAGTTTTTTGAAAGAATTGAGATACATAAAATTGTTGAATCTTACGAGTATTTTAATGTTCAAATATTGTGAATTGCAGGTTGCTTACATATGTAAGTATAGCCAAGGAAGTGTAACCGGTTCATTATTGTGTGCAAGTGCACTATTAACCTTGACTAAGTTTTACACAGCTTTTAATTACATACATAGACTCGAAAACTAGTGAATTAACTAGACCAACTCTATCTCATTGGATGCAGTGGTCATATGTAGTAACTTTCGAAATTCATCCCTGAATTTTCCAGAATAGATGTATAGATAGATAACATTACTGCAGGAATAAATTGACAAAGAAAGGTCTCGAACGGGTCTTAAAATGCTCTCGAACAACAACATAGTTGTGCTCTGGCCACAATAAATTATTGAAATCCTTGTTACAACATGGGGAAGATTACAGAATATAAATGTTGCACAAATTGCGAATAACAATTTACTAATCTCTTTGCTCTCATCCACGCTTACACTGGAAATAATCGAACGTCTCCTTTCAACTGACTCCTTCACCTGTGACACAAATTAATCCTCAATTAACTTTGTATAATATCTGGTATGTAGGTGTCAAGCTTTAGAAATGTGCAATAAACAAAAGTAGATATGCTTCAATACTTTGACGTAGATCGCTATATTTATTGAACTGACGAAGCAAAGCGGGATGACATAACAGATCAGTATATCCCCCCAGGTGACCAGATGAAGAGACTTGTTTTCCGGAAGGAGGAGGAACCAATGGATAGGGACAAGGATGCAACAGAGCACGGTGCCGATGATGTTGACGAGCCTTGACGTGCATACACTTCTAGCATAGAGTGGGAAGTATACGGCAACAAACCTTCGTGGGAGGTTTATCAATTAGTTGTCAAATTGCTGGTCATTAGATAATGTTGCGCCAAAGTGAACTATACATAATATATTTAATACCTCTGGAAGCAAATGAGTACAACGTAAAAATGGGACAATAGTTTAGCTGAAAAGAAAATATATTTTTTAGATGCTATTTACGACTGCATTAAGGGTACACGGACCCCATGACAAATTAGACGATTTCTGCCATTCAGAAAACTAAAAGTTTGATGTAAATTTCGTAACAATGTTGTTCCCCAAAGGTTATACGTATTAAGGATTCAAGTGAATGTGTGAACTTTTTCAGAATTATTCGATGCAGAATAGCACCTGCACTGATCTTTTACTAATTGTAAGTACTGTACATACGTACTTGAATCCAAAAATCCATTTGCCGTCGTTACATAACTACTCTGCAACTATCTATAAATGTAGGTAGATACATAAAAATATAGATATTCATGCGTAATAATTGTAAAGAGCCTCATTCTTTTTGTCAACTTTAACGAACTTTTTGCTTTAGACATAATCAAATAATCAAACTCGAACTTGTTTACTTTTGACTACATATACCAAATACCAATATGAGGTGACCTTTCATAGAAAAAAAGGGGTCACCTCTTCCCCCCGTCTGCCCAGAAAATTTGAAATTTGAAAATACTTTTCAAATGTCCTCGTCTATTTACACGTATGACGTACATATACATATGCACATTTCGGACAGAGAAAAGTATATAATTTATGAAGTGCCCAGTTACTGGTTGACAAGAGAAAGGATTTTCTTTATATGTATTTTGCATGGAATATAATTTGTGATACTTGCAATTTTCTGTTATTGAATTGCAAAAAAATCATCAGCAAAACATTTGTATGCTATTATAAATAATTGTTAATTAGAAATGAGTTGATTTAACCAGCTTACCAAGCTGAAGTAAAAGAGTGTCTGCATAGTCGGATCTCGTAAAATCAATTGCTTATTTCCAGGACCTGCAATGATTGTAGAGATTCCAGAGAAAAGCAAAATTGCACAAATACAAAAGTCTGAAATTTGTAATAAGATTAGTACTCTCGTAAGCGGTTGTTGCTAAGCTGTTTCCTGCATAGCACTATAATACCCAATAAAGTTAAAACTAAACTAATTAATGAGACAAGAGTGACAATAATTCCATTAAATATAAATTCCACGATAGTAACACTTGACATTTTATGAGAACCACAATTTCGGATGCTAATAAGATCAAATACTTCTAGACTTTTATGAGTGTAGGGTGTAATAATGGTTCCAAATTTTTCGAACTTCACGTAAATATGACAGGGGAAAGCTTTTCACGGGCTATTTTATTTCGTATCCTAACTGAGTAAGTCAGAGAAAGCAAATGATGAGAAGTGCTAGCTGTTTGAAAATGACAGATATCAAAATGCAGATAAATACTTGCATATGTATGTGATGTAGTTATCAATTTTACACATCGTCCTGCATATCTATACATACTTAGTTCCGTAAGACATTCAGAATGAGGTGAGTGAAAGTAATCAATATGTAGTAATAATCGTGTGCAAACAGATAAAATTAAAGTGTGCCGTAGTTTAATGTCCTTTTCTCGGTTACCGGTAGACAGTAGGTGCAGTTTCCAGCGGTATCCACACTGGACACAAGGTTGTGCTTCTTCCATTCCGGAGGTTCCGGAGCGTACTTAACGCTAACTGATTAATTTAGGTAAGTCTACTTTGGAACTTTCACCCTTCAACCCCGATTCCAAACCCAAGAGACTTCTTTCTTTAGGAATCTGCTCTCCCAAGGGGGGTAAATAGATATGTATGTAGCGTGTAGCGTGTAAAGTAAAAGCGTGAGAATGTCACACATTGTGATCAAGTTTTTTCCACTTTTTCATAATGCACATCGTTATTTTATGGATCTTTCCAATTGATGCAGGCCTTGTTGATTTAATAACCTTTGATGGTGTTGGTGGATTTGCACCGATGTATTGGTTCAAGTTGTTGATGCATGTAAATATGTATCTACATATTTAGATATATATGTGCGTATGTATGCAAGTAAGGCTTACCCACAATTTATTTTGATTTTTTAGCTACATACATAGTTCCAAATGAATTGCGGTATCGAGTTTCCCATATTTGTGAGGAATTGCACACAAGTGAAGCAATTCTAGTCATAATCTCGATGTTAATCTCGATTAAACTTTGGGCATACGACTCATTAAAGATTCTATGTAGGAGGAAACGTGCCGTATGCTGAAGCCCAGAATTCAATATTTAGGATTAATTTTGTCGAAATTCAGATTATGTAAAATTAAGGATTGAGATTAGTTAATCCTTAATCATAGGGAGTATTCAATCGGTTTTCTCGTATCAGAAATTCTTCCAATTCCAAAATGCATTCAGAAATTTAGAATGAATTTTCTTTTCCCGATAGATGAATAACCGGTCATTAATCAGAATCTGAATAATATCGGTTCCTCATCTTCCAAATTTCAGGTAGACTTATTGAAATCGAGAATGTATAGAGTGTCAAAGTTTCACCTGAATGAATTGCATACTTACACACTATTTAAAAGGGTACATATGTGCATACTGAAGGATATACTTTTTTTAATGGAATAACGTAAACCTATATATTTACATCTCTGCGAATATAATTTATACTACCTATATGCACATACAATGAATAAACGCCAGATTTTTTTAAAGGCTATACATACATACGTATATATTTATGTATGATTTAACTCAAATTTATTTATGACGGGACACCTGATGAAGGTATTTGTATGCACTATGCACCGAATGCTTGTCAAGATTAAATACAACTTCAAAACCATATCCTCTAATGTCGTTCAATCTAATTATATATATGCATTTATTTGCATCTACAGATATTCTGACTGGTTTTAAATATAATATTAAAATTTCCTATTTAACTGCGGTAGAAGGAGGAATTCTTTGGTGCGTCCAATAACTATTTATTATAAACAGACTTAAGCAATAAAAGAGTATCTGAATTGTTCAAGCTTCAACGAACATAATATTTGTATCATATCTCAGTTGATAGTTTCATAATTTTAACAGACTAATAATCCGTACTAATCCTTATTGGCTGCCTGCCTAGCTATCTCGTTTTCACGATATGCGCTGAAATACATACTTATCTACATATGCCATTTTTTGCTAGTTTAACGAGCATTCTTTTATTTAATTTTGTACACATATGCAATTCTTTTTATTGTCAGTTTCTCATTTTTATACTCAAAGTATAAATGTCACCCTCATTACGGGAAAATAAATAAATATTAATTAATATTATATACAACCTTTGCTTAATGTTCCGTACGCAAATATCTTAGACGCCTTCATTACCAAAACTCGTTTTCTTAAAATATACTGAGTGTGTAGCGCTTATTAATAACATGATTTAATTACTAATGTGAATCACAGGTTGTCGCTATTTTTAATAAAAATAAAGACAAGACATGCGTCTCTAGATAGGATTACGTATGTATTTATGTATGTATGTACGCCATGAGTTGTATTGCTCAGCAAAACTTTTGATAAGCTCAACACAACTCATGACGTATCCTATTTATCGCACAGATAACTACGTATGTGTTTATATACAACTAATAAATTTTTATCTACATGCTATCGTTGTACTAAATGCGATCGCGTCATTCTTCTGCTCGTCATGATTCAATTGAGCATCCTCCCTTAACAAATGGCCAAACTACGTGCCGCTTCCATCACGTAGCCTACATAAATTTTGTCGGTTAGAAATATACATAAAAATTAAAAATTAATATAATTCCTGCCCCCCACTCACCATTCGTTTTTCTGTCGCCCGTCTGCTTGATCGCCCCCACAAGAGATTTCCAGGTAGCATTGGCCCCCTCGATGGACACCCACTGCACCATAATTCTGAGAAATAAGTCCTCGTACGTAATGTACCCCATTTCCACCAACATTTCGTATTCCCGCTTCGTCAAGTCGTCCAAGTTTAAGGCGTCGTACAGCTGTGTCCATGTCTTCGCCGCGACGGGACTCCGCCTCAGGGCCGCGGCCACCATTTTTACTTCAATTGGTTCTAGATTTAAGAAAAATGAAACAGTTTTATATCAACATTAACTTTAATAAATTGAAAATTTTTACTATGAAACTTACGACATAATGAGAGCATATTTGATTTTTTGGGGATTGAGTAGAAATAGTTTTTACATAAAGTAAAACTTTACTTTAAGGAGTGTGGAATAAATTTACGTATGGAATGATCTCGACTGGTCCACTTGAAACTTTGGGCATTTGGTTGCCAAGCTAACAAAGGTTTGGCATTCTGCTCGTTTAGGATTTAAGATAAGCGAACAATAAATATGCGCAGAATGGAGAGATAACGTCAGCATAAATAAGTGTTATGTTTGTATCGAAATGTTTGTCCACGAGTCCACTTTATTGTACAATTGGATTCAATTTTTATCCGTTGTACATTAAATAAGTAATGACGAGCAGGGGAGGGGAAGCAGAAGTACGTAGGGGGGCAAGTACGTAAAATTAACTGGACGTAAGTAGTTATCTTACCAATGCTTAAGTTTCATCGTTTATCATAATATGAGTCTTACTTATCCTTGTTTGGGGGCCGTGTTGATGAGGCATGATTGATAACCCATCCAAACCACAGGGATTGCTTTAAATATCACAATGGCGGCGTTGTACATATGTACGTTGTTGTGAAGCAAACGATGATAACTTTGTGTTTTCGCATCTTTTCGATAACCTATAAATCTCACCACGTTGCAATCTTTCTACTCGATTACATACTCGTATTCAAAAAATGGTACAAAGTTATAATTAATGCATATAAAATATTTATAAAAGGGTTGCAGTGTCAGTGTCAATAATTATTAGGTGCAATTAATTTTGTATATCACGTTCATGTCAAACATGAAAAAACCACTGTTGAGCAAAGCACATTTGCAAAACATTGTAACTCAACCAACTCATAAACCGGAAACCAAACCACGACAAGAAATACTGAAATTGTTGAGAAGTGGGGAGCTTCAAAATTTAAACGTTCGAGACGAAGAATTTGGGATGACTCCGTTACACTTAATCACCATTTTGGGTATGTCATTTAATAGCCTAATGTTACATATCTATATTTTCATTTTTAAATTTTCTAAATTTGTAAAAGTTTTTGAAACACTAAAGTTAATTTTCGGTTTTCTCGTTTCCGAAGTTCTAAAAAACCTATGCATGATTTAATTTGTCTCAACTCTTATAATTTGCTATCAATTGTTATTTGCTTCCACGTGTTGATTTTTGCAGATAACGACGAAGGGGCAAGTTTAGCAAGGCACATTCTTTTCGCTTATCCTTCCGAAGATCTCCAAAACTTGATAAATATACCCGATAAAACCATGAAATACACTCCACTGCACCATGCTGCTTACAAGGCGCGATGGAAATTGGTCCCAATTTTCATGAAATATCCAGGACTTAATCTAACCCCGAGAGATATTCATGGCAACACGCCCCTTCATTTGGCAGTTTTTGGTAACTCACCAATATTTGCGTATAAACACCTGGCGTGCTATGGATTTTTCAATTTTACTTCAAAATTCTAGGACAATTCAGCAACAACAATAACTGTCAGTGCGTCCACGAATTTGTCACCCACGCGGAAAATAAGGACCTCGTGAATCGTGCCAACAATAACTTCCTAACCCCGTTCCATATCGCGATAGCGTGTGATTTAAGCGAAACTGTGGAAATGATCTTGAAGAACGACAACCTTGACATTTCAAACATTCCGAATCGACTCACTCAACAATCATATCTACATTTTATATGTTCGGAATCAGGTTAATTTAAAAAAATTATCGGTTTTATTAAGAAATTGTGGGTAGACACACCGTGGGAAAATTTTTTCACGCTTAAAACTTGCCTTGAGCAAGGACATCAACACTTTCAAGCTCCCCCCCACATACGTTTTAAATTCACTTTCTCTTTTATGCAGCAGAACGCCCCGCATTAATTAAGACTGCGGAAATGTTGCTCAACTTGGCGGACGATGTCCAGCTGCTCACCCTCTTTCAGCAAGATATTCACGGCCAGACGCCGTTCCATTTGGCGGGAAAGAACAGAATGCCCACAATTCTCAAACTGCTCACTGAAGTTAATAGTATCGACATGGATAAGACCGATAACTGTGAGAGGACTCCGTTCCATTATGTCGCCATGAGTTGTAAGTACGTGAAAAAAGTGGAATTTGGTCTTAAGAAATCCCCCATTGGTTTGATTCCCTATGGCTGCGTTAATACTTTACTATACATAATTTTCATATCCTCCAATGCCATGAAAATATATTTCTAGTGACATGATTAAATATAAAAACAGCATATCATGTTCATAAATAGCTTGGCATCCTGACGGCCAGAAATGCCTCACCATCATAGCTGACTACATCCATGACGAATATCCGGACACGTTTTGTCAAATTTACATGTGCAAGGATTCCGCCGGATACAATGCTTTGCAATACATTTGTAAATATTGTCCGAAGGACTCGCTATTCTCTCACCTCTCTAAAATCCCCTCCTGGCAGCAATGGTATGTTTGATCCAAGTAACTCTTTAACAAAAATTCTTTCCCAATAGTCACAGATAAATTTAATGTGTGTTACAAATTTTCCCGGAAATTTTCACCCTCTTTTTCCACTTCAGCAGTCACTTATCAATCACATAATTTTGCATACATTCAGGTTGGAGGATTACGCTTCCATGGAGTTTCTCTATAATGAACTCCCCATTGTGGTCGAGTTTCTCATGAACAACGCCTTCTCATACCACAACACGCGTACCCATACCAATGACGAACTTTGCTGTGATTTCGGGTACTACAGACAAACAAAAAACCAATCTAACAATAAATTCTATGTTATTCATAGGGTGATTTCTTCCAGAGTAATTTGGGGGTACGGGAATAACATTCAGAAATCGGCATATCTCAAAAACGCAATTTCTGGATGGGGGTTTGAAACGAGGAAAATAATTCTACTCCATCCCCTCGTCAGGTACTACATTTATGGACGGTATCGTAAACAACGTGTCATTATCGGCCTCATGACACTTTGGCAGGTAAGAATTCTACTGACATGTGACTGATTTTTCGAATTTTTATAATTTTGAAATTACTACTTCTACTAATAATCTGCATGATAAGTACAATTAATTATCATGGGATCATCCCATTGGGATGCCTTGACCCCATCCCTTTGTAAAATCTGTCACATCCTTTCTCCAACGTCCCAAACTTTATCTACATGAAAACTAAACAGATGCATTTTTTCATAATTTTTTAGGTTATCTGGTTAATCGCTTATTTTTGGTTTGCCAACAATTTTTGTACCTCTTCTCACCACGCTACGGTCTTCGACATCGGGACTTACGTCGTTATTTCGACCCACACAGTATTTTCTGTCATCGATATTATCCGCTCAAGTCGACAACAACGGCACTGTTTCAACCACTTTTTCATATTCCCAAATATCCTCCAACTCCTGCAAATCCTGTTGACCTTTGCTGCAGGAATCTTGGCCTTCACTAATTTTACGGCAAATTGTGACATAACAAGAAATATTTTGGCAGTAAGTTCCCACATTTCTAATTTCCTTGATAGCACACAATTTGAACTTTCACTCTTTTATCAGATTGGAATTGTTTTGGTTTCCATCTTGTGCATGAGACATACCAGAAATATTCACCAATCCTTCGGCTTGGCAGTGGACATATTGAAACAGGTAGAAATTGGGAACATCGCCAGAACGGATGGTTCTGTATTTCTGGAGTGATATTTGAAACCCTGAAACGAAACAATGAAACATGATAAAATTTGACATTATAGGTGCTAATCCAAGTGGTAATCGTACTGCTTGGCTGCCTCCCCATCCTGATCGGATTCACGGGAGCGTTCAGAATTATTTTTCGGCAGAAAACGACCTCGACCCACGAGTCAATAACGTCCATCGACTTATGCAATGAGACGTACAACTGCACTTCCTTGGTAAATTTCCTATTTGACATGACTCAGAATAATTCCATTGTTCATTTAATTTTTCTTGAATGTATTTAGGAACGCATAATGAGCTCCACGATTCCACTCTCCTTCCTCAAAATCCTGGTCATGATGACCGGCGAGCTCGAATTTGACCAAGTCTTTGACCGAACACCAATCCTGTGGTGGGACAAGCTGCTCTACTTTATGTTCTGCCTCGTCATCTCGTTCGCATTTTTCAACCAACTCACGGGCGTGGCGTTGGATAAAGTTCGGGTGAGTGGACGCTTTACATTTGCAGGAAATTAAATGTTCTGTACAGTGTTTCGTTTCTTGCTGTTTGCTACATTTCTTGGACTGCAAAGCTAGGTGCAAGAAATGCCAAGAAACTCCAAGAAATATGCGACATCCAGCAACGCGCCCTACGAACTACAACTGCGGGAAGTAGTTTCTTGCGCCTTGCATTTCTTGAAGTCAAAATAGCGGAAAGACACCATTTTCTTGCGGTCATTTCTTGCAAGTGGGTACTTGCACCCGAAACATTGTCTGCACATTTAAGTACTACAACATTGGCTTTAATTGCCATAAATGTATTAACAGTTGGGGAGGCAACATTAATTTAGAAATATTTTAAATAAATAACGTTCTCTCGATATGTTAACCATATTTTAAGGAACTCACAGATCGAGCCGAAGTTAGCACAATAGTCAACCAGATTGACATCATCTATAGTCATCAATATTCTTACAAGACACTCAACAGACTTTGGAAACGGATATACGGCAAAAAGCCAAAAAATCAAAATGGACAACAGTTCGTAAAGAATTATTATTTGCTGTTTGATTATCAAGACAACAGAAAATAATTACCACTATGTTTGGCAGGTGTTATAAAAACGGACAGCGTGTTGTGGACGTTAAAACGGTTCACATGCAACGAATAACGTCGTCTCAACGGATCAAAGTATTTTTCTCGGCGCTCTGTGGAACCCCAGAACTTCCGCACACCGTTTACCAAGAAATGACCAAACTTGCTTTGCATCGCTCGCAAGTTGTTCAAAAGTCGTGTGTCTGTGCAGGCGTCGATTACACCAAAAAACGGCTGCTAGAAACTTGTCTAACCTCAAATCAAGCAGGCTGGACGGCCAATAACATGTTGCCGGATAAAAATCTTCACAAAATTGTTGGGAATAACTAAATTTATTAAGCAGATAATTTGCGAATGCTGGAAATCCAGATCACTTTGAATTTATTTTTACTCAATAATTTATTTTTAAATGATGCATATAATAAGCAATTAAATAACGGGTATAAGAACATATGTAGTGGAGTGTTTAGTTCCTTCGATTTACATATTATTGAATGACATCAATATGAAAACAAATTGGCAGAAAGGTAAATATTCATTACATAAAACAATGATCATACGAAAAAACTCAAACCACTGCAAAACCAAGTCTATATCTGTTATCCACATATTTAGAATTATGTACATATGCATGCATCTAATAAAGCTTACAATTAATTAGAAACCAAATAAAATCATATTTCTATGACTCAACTCTAACATCCTCTTAAGATTAATTCGGCTTAGCTAACTTGAGAGTTATCTGTAAACTTGAAACACAACTTCGTTATAACATCTCGCACTCTGTTATAGGAAGGATAGGGATAAATTGCGAACTCTAGCAAGTATGAAATAAATACATGTGACAAGTACTGCACAAGTTGCCAATTCTCCATAGCACATGTATTGCAAAAAGGATGAGCTAACAAGTTATAAATGGCAAGATGCAAACATTCGCATAATATCCCAGCACAGATTCACTTCGTTTCTCCAGTAACGATAATTTCAATTCTTCCACATCTACTGCAGCTATGGAACCTCCCAAACTAAAAAATTCGGACCCCATCATCTTAAATTATCCCCTCTATGTGCTTGGAGTTGTAAGAAACAGCTTAGCAATAAAATATCCATTAATCCCATACCGACTCCAAGTTAAGTTAACTGCATAAGTTTTTTGCATAGATTTTGGGGTCTCTACACTTGGCCTTAAGTTTCTATGATTACCGGAGGTCGCAATTGTTCCTCATAATCCCATCCGTGTTCATGTTAGGTCACACGATCCTGGTCGTCATTGTATTTTCCTGGCACACCTTCCAAACTTCTTCAAGAGGTGTTGTATCCTATGTAAGTTATTTCTGGTGCATATTTTCTTTCTGATAAGTAAATTACTAGTATATACCAATCCTGACTTAATAACTGTTGTGACAGATTTATTATCTAAACAACTATGCAGCACTGGTGATTGGAATTGGAGCTGTGATAAGTCTTTGCGATGATTTCAGCATTTATTATGAACCCTTCTTAACAAACTGTCTTGCCGATGTGAGATAATTAGTATTTTAATAAATATTATGGCCTATAAACATGTGTAAAATTATTTGAAAATAATTAGTTTTATTATATAGGCTTTTGGATTATTTGTCTTATCAGCGGTATATTTTTGCATCGGGTGCTCAATTCAGACCGGATTTCATAGTACGAATCTTCCCCCTAAACTGATTCCTACTAATCCTAAGGATGGAAAAGGATCGTCTTGGTCACAGCTAATTTTTTGTGAAGTATAAGCGAACATGAATTCCTAAATATGGTAAATTATGGTAATACTCATGATACACAATGTGAAGTCAAACTCACCCCAATACATTTAATAGACAAATATGCATTATTATAACAATATGTATCTACCTCCTAAAATAATACGGTCAATGGATAATTATTTGTATATATTTAACACCTAAGTAGTCCTGTTCTGTTTTATAATCAGGTACTTCGAAAATTAAAGTCTTCATAATTCTGAAACTATTTACGAGTCTGATCATGATCATGATTATAATCATGATTAAGCATTATGTGTAATAGTGTTCAAAAATACATATACGTTGACCTTATTAGTCATGCCATCAAGTCTTCAGAATTATCAAACCAGGCAACTTGGTTTTACTATTTCTTTCAATGAGTCATACATAATGCAGAAACCGATCAGACAACTGTGACCGTACAAATTCTGTCTGTATTCGCTTGACAAGAAAATCTAGTACATGTATACTCGTAAATATGTACGGCCATGGTCGCTTAACTTTTCTAAATGATGAGTAAAATGTAGCACAATCTATGTAATTGTACTCTGCGAACAATTTATACTCCAATGAATAAAACTACATCATACACATGCAAGTATGAGCATATGTATGTATGCGTAATTTTGCATGTTCAGTAAGCAACGCTCATCGTATTCTTGGCGACTCTACCACCAATATATAGAATCTTTTTGTAACATGCTCTTACGTATTTATGTAAGCATGTATACATCAATACTAATACTTGTGCGTTGTATGTGCATAAACCAGTCTTACTTGTAAGTTTTGCAAATGAGTCATTTATGTACATACTTTGTATCATGCATTTAACATGCTTTGTCAAGTATCAGGACTCGAAAGAATTGTCTACATAATTTACGTCAAGAACTTCACCCTTGCTCATGCAGCAATTAATTTTATGGAAATTAAATACCTCCCCAAAAACGAGTCTCGTTATCAAACATTTTATAACATCACAAAATGTGAATCAATAAATTAATCGGTGCAATGAAATGGAATTACAATCACATCAATTTACTTAAAGTAGAATTTCAAATCATTTTGTCAGGTGAGTGAAAAGCTTAAAAATAAACGGGACAAACATATTACAATGAAGACTTGTACTTCCAAATTGACAGTCTTCACCTTGGTAAGCACCACTCCCACTGAGGACGACTGGATTCGGAGATGTGACCAATTTTACGATGACGTAGATTTCGTTGCAAAGTGTTCGAATGGGAAGATAATTTGCAGTTGTGTTTGCCCCGGAAAAGGACCACAGAAAAAATACAGTCCCACGTGCTGTCCTGAATTTCCAGAAAAATTTCCAACCCTGTAAAAATGATAAATTTTATAATACGGTTAAATCTGCATAATTATTTTGCAGTGATAAGTACATATAACTTTGCATCTTTTAGTGTGACCATTTCACCAAAAATAGAAAAAACGCGTCAACCTGCTTCTCCTCTTCCCACCGGAAATTGCACGCTTTACCGAATGTTCAACTGTTACAAGAATGCAACTCGACTTTGTACCGATGACGGTGTCATACTTAAATCCAACGAGACGCAAACATTCCAATTTGCAAATGGAATTAGATCCATATCAATCCCTTCAAATTGTCATGTAACGAGACGCATAAAGGACTCGATGTGTCCGAATACTCCTCCAACTGAGGAAATTACAACGTCAGGAAATGTCAATAATGCTGTGAGAAAATTAATAGCTTTTCACCAGCTTTTATTGCAATTTGAATTTCTTGATAATTGATAAATTATTTAAAATTGTTTTTAAATAGTTAACAATAAATCAGGAAAGTTATGAATGCCAGTGCTCAAAAGATGTACCGACCACGACAACGTCCACGACCACCGAAACGCCTACAGTTATCACAACCACCATGATTCCTTATCCGGAAGAAGAAGATAATTTTCCATGTGAGTAGCATAATTTTGTTTTATCTGTAATTATAAAAATTAAGTTAATGGACATTACTCGAAAATTACAGTTGGACTAATCACTGGAATTATTGTCATTTCTATAATTTCTGTCTTGGCATTGTCTACTGTCTTGCTGGGGGGTTATCTAGAAATTATGAGCAACGCTACAAAAAATGACTCCCTACTTTCCTCAAGCAATGACGATGAATTTACAGAGGAGAACATTTCTCAAAATTGTGTTCAACAAGCAACAAATTATGTCAACGAAGTTCGAAATGACACGAAAGGTAAATAAATACACACCTCGATTTATTATCTTATCTTGTTAAACTGCATCAAAATGACTGAATTTTCAGAAACAAAATGGCAATCCGTGAAAACCTTGCGTCTCATGTCACACACCCCACTAGGAAAAGGTTCACATGGAGAAGTATGGAAAGCCGAGTGTACCAAAACCGGGAATATTTTCGCCATCAAGCAAATCAATTTATACGAAGCCTTCCGAAGATCTGAAGAAAGTGTGTACAACGTGCTAAAATTTAAGCGCGAAATATCAAATTTGCAAAGTATCCGTGACGATAATGTTGTCCGCTTGGTAAATTTCTGGATCGAGGATTGCGATGGCAGAGCCTACAGTGATTTGTCGATGATGGACATGTCCGAAACGTCTTCTGGACGGCCATCCTATATTTTTATGCAAATGGAGTACTGTCACCTCAGTTTGAAAAAATGGTTGACAGATAATCCTCTAGAAATCAGAGACTTTGCCACAATCAAGCGAATGTTTCTGCAAATTGCGAACGGTCTCAGTGTTCTTCATATGGTTAAGATTGTCCACCGCGACATAAAACCGGACAACATTATGTGCAATCTGACCGGGAATAGTTTCATCATGTGGAAAATTGTTGATCTCGGATTGTCGGTTAAGTTGGATAAGAAGAAGGATGAGTATTGTTCGGTCGCAGGCTGCGAGTTGTACCGAAGCCCGGAAATGACCCTTAACCAGGTTGACTGTAACGAAAAGACGGACATATTCAGCTTGGGACTTTGCTATTTTGAGATTTTATCGTCCCCGATTACAAATAAAGTTAAAATTTTTGATCAACTGAGAAGAAATGAGGAGAATGATGTTTTCAATGACTTGGGAAAGGGTCAGGATACAGCCAAATTTGAACAATTAGTCAAGAAAATGCTCAAAATTAGTGCCAAAGATAGATCTAGTATTTCTGATGTTAAAAATGTATTGGAAAACATATGCTAACTTCTAAAATTTTTTATATTTTATTGTTTTCGAAAGTTTGATGTTTTTAAATTTGTATTCGTGCATGGTAAAGGATTTTTCCATTCCTTCTCGAACTGACATATGTTGTGTGTATATATGTATGTACATATTTATAAAGTCATTCAAATAAGAAGCTTCACATCTAATTTTTCTAGAAATGTTACATCTCTATGGAGTTTTTAACTAAGGAATTGAACATAAATTTAGTTTACTATATACATATACAACAATAGTATAAATATGTACAATGAAATATTCAAATATCGATCGATGCGTGTAATTTGTAAAATATATATACATATTTCTGTACGCATAACCGATGTGCAATATGGACATAGCTTCGTTGCTTACATCTCCACATGTACGTGGGTGTTTTATTATTAATTTTCAAAAGGTATGTTCCGCACTGTTTCTGACCAAACTTTTGATGAAATAACAAACTTCAAATACTTTTAGGATGCTGTGATTTTTTTTCAGTTCTGTAGGTTAACATTAACACTAGCAATAACTCATTAAAATTTACCTCGAAAATATGCCAAAATTTACGACTTGATTTCATTATCATCCGAAAACCGTGTTCCCCTGATGTTTTTCTTTAAGTTTCGAAACGAATAATAATCACTAAGGGTCAAGTCTGGACTGCACGGGGTGTGGTTTGTGCAGGTAAAGCGATTTTCGTCTGCACTAACCCTCGCAAAAGGCCAGGTATTTGGTGGCGCGTTGTCGTCTAAAAAAAGGCCAACTCTTTATTTTGACCCCACGTTTCTTTTCAACCGGAGGACGCAGCTCCTTCGGGGTTCCTGCATACACGGCCCCATTTATTGTAGTATTTCCAGCAATAAATTTTATAAGGAGGGGACCTTTGGTATCCTTGAAAATGGTCATCATTAACTTTTGGTCAGATTTTTGCACTTTTCAATTCACGGGCGGTGGCAACCCCTCGTGCTTCCATTGAGGGAATTATTATTTGGTCACCGGGTCATAATAGTAAACCCAAGTACCATATGCAGCTAATAAAATATTGAGCAAGTTCAAGTTTTCATTTAATAGGTTAAAATTTGCATTGCAAAAGTTTACTGGATCCTGTTTTTGAGATGGCGAAAGCAATTTTGGTACCCAACGGGCGGAAACCATTTTCATACCTAAGTCTTCAGTTAACATGGAACAAATTGCTGGTTTTGGAACACCAATCTCATCTGCTAAATAGGACAGTTTCAATCGCGGATCTCTCATTATTGGTTCCTCTAGTTTCCGGAGCTTTTCTGTGGAATAAACGGATTTTGAGCGTCCTGGCGACTTTTTGCCCGAGACCTCGTTTCACCATCATTTAAAATTATTGACCCAATTGAATTTGTGTTTTGTCTTGGGCAGTCTTCATCGTAAATTTTAAGCATTCAACCATAAATCTGCGACACGTATTGCACCTCCAGCATTAAAAATTAAATCACACTACGATATTTAATTTGCAAATCTAGCATTTTTTCCGTCGAGGTAAAGTTTGCCGATTTATTGCTAGTGCTGTTGTTAGCCTAAAGAACTGAAAAAAATCACAGCCTCCTAAATGTATTTGAAGTTTGTTATTTCATCAAAATTTTGGTCAGAAACAGTGCGGAACATACCTTTTGAAAATTAATAATAAAACACCTACGTATATGTATGGGTACATATCTACTTGTACTTTAACTGTAATGAGAGTTCGCATTAAATTACACATTTAGAAATTAACTAATTTGCCCACAGTGTAAATAACCGAATAAATTAACTAATTAAGGTGACTTACCGCATTGTTGTTGTTCAAAGTGGTGCAAGTTTACCTTGTTTTCTTATCTTGTGTAAATTGCAATAGTAAATAGTATTTAAGCATAAGTACCTTAGGTACAAACTTACATAAGTGAGTAGGGACGTGAGAAAAGAGAAGTTCACGACTTCCTCGAAAATACAAGCTTGTAAGGAAAATAGGAATACACAGATAAGAGACATTATTTTCAAATTGATCAGTTTAACACTCAGAAATAATTACAGCGTTCAAATTATTACTTAATTTGATCCATTACACTGGGCTGTCCCACATATGAAAACTACTAAATTTGCAAGCTACTTAATTAGCTATATTGCATATGTATGCATGTGTGTAGCGACTTGCTGTGTATAAATATGTGTATCTATGTACATAAGTAGACATTTTAGTACCCCATTAGGTTGAGGTATGGAAATTATTAATATAAATACCGGAGTACATAAAAAGGAAGAGGCGCACGATACGATGATCTGACACAGGTCACACGTAGAGCATTATCCATTCAGCTTACCGCAAAAATAATTAAGAATTTCAAAATCTTGTGAGAAGCAAGAAAATTCAATTGAAATCATGGCACTTCGGATAAAAAACGGGTTTAAACGTTACGGCAAAGGAAATTATATTCTCAACAACCTAAACGTTAATATTTCCCCTGGAGAAATGTAGGAAAAAATTTAGAAAAGTAATAAATAAGTTGGTTAATGTATGTATACACATTTCAGTTATGGACTAATCGGTTCGAGTGGATGTGGGTAATTATAAAAATTGTATTTTGTTTGTGTAAATTTTTAATCTTATCCAGTAATATTTCAAATTTTGGTTTGGAAAGTTCACATGGATAAAAATTTAAGTGCTATGCAAGTTAAATCGATCCAATAATTTTATATGTTTGCATATTTAAAACCGTACCTGCATAAATAATCAAAAATTGACGTACATAAACCCCCAAATTAAGTATCTATATTTAAGAATTTATACTTTGTCTTCACCGGTATCCCCAGAAGTAGAAGCACTCTGACTGGAATTACCATTTATATTTTCCACATTCCACATTAAGCAACACCTTTCGTAATTATGTTCAGATATAAATATATGAGATCTCAGTAAAGATATTTCCGCACAAGGAAATTTGTAGAATTATTTATTTATGTAATTAACCTCATAGCTAATGTGGTTTTATGAATTTGCTCGTTATTACCCATTAATTCAGCTTGTTTTGTCCAATTAGAAAAACCACCTTGATCTCCTGCATAGTCGGAACATGCCAACTAGATTCTGGGGAACTGACCTTATTTAACCAACTCCGTCCAAAAAACCTTGGCAACTTTTGTGGATACATGCCGCAAGTAAAATCTGATTGATTGTCACAATTTCCTCTTCGACATAATTTCCTACATAGGTTTGCATGATTTTCTTAACCTTAGGATGTTGCACTCTTAAACATTCTTACGATCAGAGAAGTCCTCAAATATTATGGATTGATTTATGGCATGAACACAGAATGCATAGAGGCCAGGATATATTTTCTCACGGCGACACTTGATCTTCCTCACGTTGAAAGCGTAGTTCGTGAATTAAGGTTCGTCTAATTAATAACTAATTAGCATTTCTGCCAGTGCTTGACGCCATAATGCATATTATTTGAACTTAGCGGTGGTCAAAGGCGACGAGTATCACTGGCAGCAGCCATGATCCATAACCCACGTTTACTTATCCTGGATGAAGCCATGGTCGGTTTAGACCCACTCGTGCGACTAAAGTGATGAGTAACATGGTTCAAATATCCTGTCACAAAAAACGTTAGTTTAACGTCCCAATTTTTTAACTAGGATTTGGGAACATTTATCCGACATTTCTCATAACAAAGGAGTAACTATTTTAATGTCCACGCATTACACGGAGGAGATGAAACTTTGCGATAAGGTCGGTCTTTTCGCTTATCATGTTATAACGAGATCATCGTTGGGATTGTGCACAATTGTTAATTTGCGATTATATATTTCAGGTCGGATTCATGCGAGGTGGTTATATTTTAACGGAAAGCAGTCCAAATTCGTTATTGACAAAATATAAAGCTACGAAATTCGACGACATTTTTTTACACATGTGTAAACTCAAGAAGCGAATGCATACCAAGAGCTTGAGTCAATCGATATGAATATTTGTGCAACTGGCGATGAAGTTTTCGAAAGTTCTGCAGTCAATTACTTGACTAATGATCTACTCGATATCCGAAGGAATAACGCAGGCATTATGCGGGCATTGCTTTCAAATTGGTGGTATCGCACTCCGAGGGATCCAAGGTTACAATATTTTATATTTTTAGTGAGGGTGTTCATTATTTCGTAAAATAGTTTATGAACAAAAAACAGGGAGAAAGCTACCTACAAATCGTAACGTGATTTTTGATGACAAAATCTGGTACATAAATAATCGTCGTAGTCGTAACTTACTTATTTTATGATACGAAGAATATTAAGGATATGAAATAATGAACGCCCTCAAATAATGTCATTTTCAATGTACACAATTAACAACTTGCTGCACTTTTCACAGGATCTGCTTAGGACAATTTGTACTTCCCATTATTTGTTCAGTTGTTCTAATTTTTACGGTTGGTCATGAGCCACGAGGAATCAAGACTGGATTACTGCTGAACGATAATGCCGATTTTAATTTCACTGATCACGCTGAATTACAAGTGGAAAAAAATATCAAGGGATCAAGAAGACGAATGTTTAGAGAATGTAGGAGTTTGCAATTTTATAGATAAATTTGGTACAGACAAATTGATTTGGGTGAGTACACTATTTTATAAGCGGAGTTGAAATGTATCAGTCTATCTATTTGTCACTATCTAATGTGATAAGTAGATTCCCCTAAATTCGTACGACGATGGACTCAACCAAATAAAATTTGGAAATGTCATGGCACTAATTGAGTTTCCTCTCAATTATATGGAACACTTTAAAAATCGACTTGTGCAAAAAAAATTTGCGGATCCCAAGACAATTTCTGGATCCACAATATCTATTCGAATGGATGAGACAAGTAAGACCAGGAATAAAGCATGTGATCATTTTAGGGGTCAAGGCATCCTAAATATCTCTTCTTAATTCTTATCATTCCGGAAGTAAAAATATGAAATGTGGTCAAAGATAGGGGCAAAGGTGTGTTCTACTTGCCTGAAAAAAATTTTGATAACGAAATGGAACACTAAGTCCAAGAATTCAGCAGAAAACTTCAGGCAGCGTCGTCATATCTGCATTGATGCAAGGGGAGGAAATTTCGAAAACTAAAAATTATTTTCTACGCAGAAATTAACTGGCCTTCAATTAAAATTGGCTAGAAATTTGTAGCACAAAAACTGTGGAAGCTATATTACAGGGGTACAGTTTCAGTGAGGCACCTGGTCACATCAGGTGATATGGGTGTAAAAAAAATCACTGGAAACCGATCACATGCTTTATAAATAACCTTGTCGCTGATAATTATTTAGCTCCATATGTACACACACGTGGAGTGTCCTTTGCATAAATGTTTGTTCTACACAGATGATATATTATCCTTTTGGACTAAGGAAACTATAATTCGACAATACCTCCATTACCTTGAAAGTATCGGGGAGGCTTGTTTCGGACCTACAGATTTTATTCGGCCACCAATTATTGTACTCTATAAAATAACCTAATTTGCTTATTGAAACATTTTATTTTTGCATATGTTCATCCATGTACTACCATTTCTAGTTCAAATCAGTTTATGGCAGCCTGAATGCGTTTGAAGCCTTATCCTTTATACGTCCGGGTTTTATAGTTTTGTGAGTAAAAACTAATATGTAAATGAACTTATCTATGTAATTCATTAGTGAATCCCTTGATGCGACAGTATATTGTTCGGCTTCTCCACGTGTGTGGGAGAACTCTGGACAGAGGACAGGCTTGCCGGAATAGGTGGGAGAGACCACGTGGCTGGTGTGCGTCTATGGCATCGCGTCATTGACATCTTTGCGTCACAAAGTTTGACAATTTTCATACAAATTGGAAGTATGTTGGGGATCTTGTGCGGTTTGCATGGAATGGTTATCAAGGGTTCGTGGATTCTAGTAGTGGGACTTATATATCTGGCTTCCTTGACTGGATTATCGATAGGTAGACACGGATTTGTTCGTTATATATGAATTTATTTACTAACAATGGAATATTTTTTCAAGCTACACCGGGATTGTCTAATGAGTTATATTAAAAAATTGAACCAAAAATTAGGAATCACATGGCGCTTATCCTTCCGTTGAATGGCCCCTTTGAATAAAAATATTAGCGGTCAAAGTAGCCACACACGTGCGCCTTGGTTTTCGCCTAGAGGGAAAATTAACCAAAAAAATTGAACTTTGCCACCAATACTTTTCTTCAAGGGGCTATTCAACCGAATGATACGCGCCTTGTGATTTCTACATATTGGCTAAATTTTTTGATATAACTCTAGCTAGAAAATCCTTGGAAAAAGGTTCCATTGTAAATACATATTCAGAATATTTTCTCTCGCAGGTTTAATGATTGGCACATTGTGGAATGGAGTATTGGAAAATGCTATGGTTCTAATTTGGATTGCATGTCTACAACTTACATCGAGCGGTAGGCACATTTTTAGTCATCTACTTGCACAGAAACATCCTTATTACATATGCACGATAACGTTATAACAGGAATATCATTGTCTTTGGAAACCACTCCGTGGGCGCTTCGTCAATTATGTCGCTGTATACCAACCACATTGATAATTGAGTCGGTAAGATCAGTTTGCATCAGAGGTTGGGACATTACACACCCTGTGGTTTTGGACGGATTTATTGCAACAATTGGTTGGATATTGTTTTCATTAGTTGTCCTATTTGTTGCAGAGGGACGCAGGTACAAGTAGATACTGAAAATTGCATTTATTGGTTGCATTTAGCTTTTATTGTGAAGACGTTTGTTAGCAGATTTAATTTTTAATCCGTTTGAATTATAGTTCGTAACTTAATAAGCTGAGATATACAATTTAATTAGTTCAAAATTGATCAGAAAGGGATGTGGAGCGTGTAAAAAATATATGTAAATGAATAGATAGTCAAAGGTGTAAAAGTTTAGAATCAGTTCAATAAAAACATTGTTCGATTAAAAAAAACTAATTATGAATTTTTTGTTATTTTTTGTATTTTGAAAAATTCTTAGACTCGGCAAACCTTATAAATTTCCATTTCAATATAGAGTTTTGTCAACATAAGTGCGTACATAAATATGTTATACTCACTCATAATAATGATGTATTTAAATACCACAACTCTATCAGTAATTGAAATTCAAACACAATGCGTAACCAATTAACATTGTTAACTAACCATAGTGAATACTAATAGGCTATTTTATAAAGCATAAAAAGTAAAAGCTTGGCTCCTATTGTCATATCCCGTCCCATAGAAAGTGACCTCAATTGAGCACAAACTAAACCATAGAGTTTTTGCACCACCGAAAAATGAAGTTTGTTTTTATTTGGGACAACCAAGTCCTCAGACGGGAAGGATCAGACAGACCACTTGATGACTGCCACGTTGGACTTAGGTAAATAAGATTAGATGATAACATTATAAGAAACTCAGCATTTTACTACTAATTTTTTTGGATATTTTGTCACAAAAAGTCAAATTCTGAGAACGGATCAGAGCTAAGGACGTGTAGTAACATAATAAATATTTAATTTAATTTACAAATTTTTGTCAATCCGAATATAGTTTCCGGCATGAAAGAAAACATGACTGCTTGGTCCAGGAAATCGCAACGACGTTGCTATAATTGTTTATTGACATTGGCAATATTAGCGACAATGATAAGTGTCATTACTATACTTGGATTGCACCAATCAAACTATGACGGGTCAACTCACCTAGAAGAACCTATACGTGTCCCCGAATTTGCCAGCCCGGTGGGCGATGAAATCGACATTTTTGATGTCAACACATTTATGTCGGCCACGGATATGCTAGTAGTCAAATACCTCTATCAACACCGTCTGTACCCTCCCCCCTGGGAAGACATAACTGTCGACCGGATCCCTCCTAGTCACCTTCCTGCTACTGCAATCGATCCAATGTTCAAATTACTAAATGCATCGGTATTTACATAATCCTTGTTCTTGCAATATTTGTCGGATCAAAGAATTACTGGAAACTTTTCGAATCAACTATCCGATTGGTTCTTGATTCTACAAATATTACACGAACAGCAATGATTTAATTCCTTCCAAAAATAAGATTTGGTTTCCTTTAATGAATATTTCCGACTTTATCAATGTTTAGGGAGGCGGATTTTTCATCGAGTGTGGCGCAAATGATGGAAAGTTCTACTCAAGGACGTTGCAACTTGAGAAGGATTTTGGATGGGGTGGCCTCCTTATTGAAGCTTCTCCATCACTGTTTGGAAAATTAAGAAAAAGTAGACGGTCCGCTTGGATGGCAAATGTTTGCTTGAGCGGAAAGATTGAAAAGGTTTGTTGTAATCTAAATGGTAACAAATTATTTTGTAATGACAAAAAATCCACTAATTTAGGTTGAATTCAAAATGAATTTTAACACCAGCAAAGATTGGATGCCCGGGACTGGGTTGATTAATCCTGGATCGAAATATAAAGCACCAGTGAGTCAGTAACAAAAATCATGACAGAAATATTACAACGATCAAATAACGAACATTAATAAAACTCGCGTCTTTTTTATTTAGAATTACAAACCGTACGGACTGGACATTAATGGATTTACATCTGAAGGAATAATTGATTGTTTTCCGTTACAATCTTTACTGGCAGCGATAAACAGGAAATCAGTGGATTTATTTGCCCTCGACGTACAGGGTCACGAGTTCCAAGTTTTGCAGGGGATTCCATTTGATCAGATGGATATCAAGGTACGAATATCATTTGAAATATGTATGTATTGAAAATGTATTTTTTTAAATAGATTTTTCTTCGGGTTTAGTTTCTAATCGTGGAGTATTCACTCACACCGGAAGGAAAAAACAGCATTTTGGATCTCATGCGGAAATATGGATACAAAACGGTGCATGATAACGGAGAAGATGTCTATTTGAAGAAAATAAGGAAATAAAAAATGTAATTATTGCTTTATCGTATCCAGTTTTATGAGTTTATTCTTTACTAAATTATTAATTTTTCAATAACTGCTCCCCACATCGTGGGAAAGCTTATCCTGGTGAGACTTGTGAAGGTCAAGGTGCAGGCAACTTAAATATATTTTAGATGAAGAAAATCACATAGCTACATATTATTTAGAAAAACAATTAAACAAATTTCCACAATTAAATTTCAAATTAACATATTCTGGCATTTATACTAGTATTTTTATTTAAAATCACACAATTTCCCGTAATTGCGAACAAGTTTAATTAAAGTAATTCTCACAATTTGAACATATTCTACAAACTAAACACACCCCATCAAAAACTTTTACCTTCAAGACATGTTCCAAATCGTTTTATGTTATAGAATAATGCCAGTATTTTTAAACTACCATTAGATCTAAATATACATATGAGCGTACTCGTACATAATTTGATCAGATCGACTGGACAAGTGCCGCGACAATTTTCTTAGCGCATACTTGAAACTTCATCACTTTTTCTGTAACAGGAAATTTATCTCAAATTACTGCATAGAAAGTCGTTTTCATCGAACTATTTAAAGCAAACTTACTTTTCCAGGCTTTTATAAAAACCGTCATTCCCCCTTATTTTTACCATAAGACCGTTATCGAAGGCTTCCTCGTTTGTAAGTGTGCCACCCAATGAGGTCGGCAAAATTGTCCTAGACACGTGTTCATGCAAGGAATCAAGCTTCTTTGAGTGGACATGAATCTGTAAAAAAGGTGCTTTTAATTTAATCAAATTACAAATGTTATAATTTTTTTCGACATTTCTTACCCGTTCCCGTAGTTTTTTGCTCAACAAATATTTCAGAATTCGGATAGCTCCATTCATTATAAAGTTTTCATGTATGATATGCGCCGCTTTTGGCGCCCAGGGAGGCATTTCTGATAAAAATTTAACAATCTTTTGTTCAAAAAATAAATACTTCTACAGCGCATTTAATACGAGCTTGAATTACCAGGTACAATTCCAGTACTTGGAAGGCAAGTCGTGGTGTGATGACTTTGGCTTGCTCGAATGACACGCCTCCATAGTTGGCTATGAGTACAAATTCGTCGCTTGTCGCAACATAACGTCTTATCGCTTCATCAAAAATGAACAGTCCAGTTACCACTACTTCTTGTAGAGAGACCAGTGACGGGTTCCAGGCAGCTGAAACATAGGGCATAACGTGACGATATTTCAATTACTATACAAATTATTTTATTTGGAAGAAAAATCACGTGCCCAACTTGAGCTCCATAATAATATTCGTGCCCTACAACGGTGACATAAAAGGTAATCTTTGCGAAGGTTAACTTGGGGGAAAATGAAAATTATGGAATTGTGTGCATAAAATTAAGAATTGTGCATATTTAGATGTGAAGAAATTTTAAACTGGAGATAAAATATGAAAATGTGGTGATATTAGTGTCTACAAAGTTAAAGTGATTTAAACCAATTGTTGCGCTTTCTGTCTTTACATATTTAGTACAAGAATGTTAACAATTTAATAGTACATATTCAAAATATCGATCAAAAGTATACCATGAGATTTACAATACTTTGTCCAAATTGTGACTCAACATTTTTACTTATCCTTCATCAAACTACATACATATGATGTGCTATGAGTTATGAAATGAAAAGTGGGCATGGGAAGAATAATTCGCACTGTGTAGAGGTTGATTAGGTGTAAATTCCCCCCCCCCAAGTTTTCCCCGTAAGTTCTCTTTAGTTGCTTCAATATTTCCAGAGCCGATCTTGAAGTAACTCTTGATTGTCCTCTGAACATTTTTTATATCTGCTCCGGAAATTTCGACCAAACTCAAGCACGGAAATTTTAAAAACGTAGGTTTGCTAACTGCCTATTTAATATAGATGCACCACGATTTTCGCACTTACAAATATTAAACACTGCAACATGTCTCCCATGATGATCCCTGCTAGATAGAAAATTAACGAATTCGGTTCCCAACAAACTTGCTCTGGATGGTAAGAAGGGTTGAATTAACTTCCTGTACTTGACAGTTCGCAACTCAATGTAATTTTCCAGCTATAAATTAACTTTACTAAAATTGATGTTTTTTAAGTAACTTTAAATTAGTTATTATGCAATTACACAAAAAATTGTCTCATGCACGTCATATTTTTTCCCTTCCAAGAATCCATTTACAAATTTATCGTCCAAGATGTCCGAGAAATGACAGAGTTTTTCGTGAACTGAATTTTTAAAAATGTAATTTTAAATTTACACTTAGTCAAAAATAAATTTCCTTAAAATATTTTTGTAGCAAGCATTAAAATGAGGCTATACCTTTAATTTTTGACCTAAGCTCAATTAATTTGTCAATTTTCTGATTACTTTTCAACTCCATGGTCAACTTTGGAATTTCATTTGATAAGAATCGGGTTTAAGATAGATAAGTAATGAAATGAAGATGTTGAATACATGTATCACTTAACGGGTAGCTCAACCCAATGCAAGGTTATGCTCTTATTATGCATCTTTTACATAAGGAAAATTAAATTAGCATACATATATTTGTTTCTTCCTCATAAAATATAATTCTATCCCACAGTCAATAAATAATTTGTTGAGTATGTAAATCGTGGTACAATTTTCAACTCCGTGTAAAGAATCTTGTATGAAAAAAGTATATATAAGTTGCATGGTCAAACATCTCACCAGGAATGCAACACGTCAAGGTCAATGTTGCATGTACAAATTTGCGTCTTGATCAAGTTGTCCGAGGTCATCAACAAAGTAATATTGCAAATAATTCACATTTTACAGTCTGTCCCGTATAGATACACGATATACTTACATACATACATACAATTCTGTAAATCTCGGTTTTTGTGCAAGTGCCCATACAACTTATAAAGCTTGTTAAAAGTACAAAATAATATAACATGCATTACATACATACATACATACATAAATACCCTACCTAAGTATGCATATAATTGACTACATTCATTATATGTACATACGTATATATGGTAAATATGTGCACTTATGCATATGAACATTTCAATTTATTATGCTTGCATGCAACATCTACAATAAACATTATGCAAACCTAATGCAACCAGAATACGAAGAAACAAATCAAATTAAATCCTTAAAATAAATTTATCTCATGGGTTCTTTCAAATGCATATGTCCCTGGAATGATTCCATAGTTTGCAGAAATGTGTAAAGAAGAATGTCCGTGGAATTTTAGACATGTTTCCGAATGCTTCTTGTAAGTATTTAATTGATGTTTTTTTTCAAAGTACTTGCAGTATTCATACCATAAATACGATTTTAATGAGATTATGTAATGCATTAATACTCTGCGAATCAAATTTACACTCCATATAAGCTCTCTCTTAACTAAAACAAGATTGGATATAAATGTATCCCAAATTATTTAGTATTTATAGTTAAGGTTTTATGTTCATAAGTAATTGGTTAACAAGAATTTTAAAATCTTTTACACCAATATAAATACATACATACATTACAAACATTTATAAACATGTCCTATATACAAGAGAAGTATATTACTTTTAGTTATGCATATTACAACTTGTCCGACCTGCAGTAACAAAATTCCAAAAATTATTTAACGATACAAATCTTTACCGACAATAAATATCTTATATGTATTTAAAATATTAAACTCACGGCCAAATTCCCTTGTAGAACTTATCATTTTCCCGAGCACCGTTTATCAGGTCACTGTCGTAGGCTTCCTCATTGGTTAAAGTTCCACCTAAAGATTTCGGCAGGATGTTTGGCGCTACAAATTTATGAAGGGATTCCATATTGGACGAATGAATATGGACCTAAATTAATAACGCTAAGTTTAAAACAAGTCATATTTTTAAGGTAATAAATAATGACATTGTGCAAATACCCGTCCTCTCATTTTCTTGCCAAAAAAACTCAGCAAAGTATTTAAAAATCCACGATACATGATGTTTTCATTCACGTAGTGTATCTCTTTTGGACTTGCTGGGAGGCATTTCTGGTCATAAATTATAAAGAGTGATACGAAATTAAATATCTGATTAAATAATTATACATTAATTTGAATCAGAAAAAATTAGCCTCACGTACAAAGAATAGGTCCATTGTTTGAATGATCTCTGAAGACGTTACGGCTCGAATTTTCGAGAGAGTGGTGTCTTTGCAGTCGATAATTACGACGACGCCATCCGGCTTGTGGGAAAAATAGCGTCGCATTCCTTCATCAAGGGCGAAAAGCACCGCTGCGATACTTTCCTGCACGGAGGCCATCTCTGGATTCCAGACATCTACATTCGAATAAATAGTAACTCCATAAATATTTAATTTGTATCAACATATAAAATTATCGAAAAGTGGGAAAAACTGTGTACACAATACTCGTTAAATAATTGGTATGACTTCATATTTCGTAAAAATGGTGTTCGTTGTTAAACATTTTCTATGGAGCGACATATTTATCCTTCATTTGGAAAATTATCATTGTATTGAGTTTTACGGTAAAAGAATTTCTTTATTAATTCTGGTAAAACTTTTACCAGAATTAATAAAGAAATTCTTTAAATTAAATTACGTAGTATGCGGACCTCAATTGATTAGTTAATAATCGAACCTTAATTTATTAATTTCAACCTTGGTCCGTAGTTTCACACTTACAAGTATTTAGCACCGCAATATATCTCCCATGTTGGTCCTTGTTACGTAACATTTGGCTGAATTCAGTCTCTAGTAAGCGAGCCTTGGACGGTAAGTAGGGGCTCATTTGTTTCTTATATTTTACGGTCCTCATATGCATGTACTTTGCTATCTAATTAATTTAGCGATATTATGTATTTTATCTGCCCGAACAATAAATTGACTTTTTTATAGTTAAATGTACTCACATAACTCAGAGCTACGTCCACGTCAAACCCTTTCCCTTGTAAAAACACCTTGAGAAACGGATCATCTAGGATTTCACTGTACGGACCAAGTTTGTCATGTTCTAAAACACGGTAAATTTTGGTAATGAGAACAAAAAAATGTATAAGGGAGAATAATACCTTTAATTTTTAATTTTAGTTCGGACAAACTCTGTTCAAGCCTTGTGTCAGATTCCATGGCGAAAGTTGACTGATAATTAGAGGAAAAAATTACTTATGTGTGGATAACATCCTCACTTATAATGATTATCAATTTGTAGTCCATTATAGATGAGAACGCACAAGGCACATGTTATGGAACAAGGAAAAATCTTGTGAAACTAAAATTATTGCATTTATCAGGATTGATGCATATCGGCTTTTTCATCAAGAACCAGTGGATACATATGTACTATACGTATATATGCGGCGGTTGCACAATTAATATGGAATGAGACATCCACTCCCGTATTGGACAAGTGAGGGTATTAGATTTAACCAGAACTTGATTTGAATCAAATTACTATCTTTTTCAATAAGTTACAGCCAAGCCAAGCTAACTTGAATTCGTATGCTTTACAGAATATTCACTTTTTGCATACTCACAATACTATTGGGGTTGATGCACTACGTACTGACAACATCCCGACAAGGTTAAATAAGATGTTCGAGTATTACGCCAACTATTAACTAAAGTACACAAGCTAAAGATAAAAGTGTCATGAAGTGAGATCCATCAGTTAATTAAATCTATATACCTACATATGTAAGTACGTCACGTATGTAAATATTATTGATAATTTACAGTCCGTGGATGATTCTTCTGTACTGGATGGATGGGTAATGGGTAACCAATTTTGAATGCAGTTAAAAAATTGGAGTGCAAATTAACTAGATCATATTTTGGTTTTAGTCGGATTCTGGCGTGAGCAACAACACTTTGTGCCTCGGATCACTATTGAGCCTTTCTTCATTCTTAATCTACTGATAGTTCTCGGAGTATCTAATTCACTGATTTCATGATCAGTGAGAATACGATAGTAGCTTATCCAAAAATTTTTGATTAAATATGTAATTACCTAATTGATTCGATATTACATAAGTCGTTCCACATTTTTAACAGGTATGTAAATTCATCATGTCAAATACCTCTGCACATTTCACCTCTATCGACTATGAACATGACAAAACTAAACTTCTTTCGGAACAAGGAACCAAGGACTCCACATACAGAATGAGCACCACCATATGTCTAGAACCTGCTAGCGCCCCCACTTCCTCCTCCGCTGCCGGTTCCAATAGTGAGCTTATTGTGGGGAACGTGTCTGCTTCCCTACAAAACATGCCCCCACACAGAATCTTCAATCCTGAAACATACTGTGACCTTTGCAACAAGGAATTTTGCAACAAGTATTTTTTCATGACACACAAAGCCAACAAACACGGCGTGTACACGGAAACATCTAACGCAGCCAACTCTTCGTCCAAAACTACATTCTCCACTGGGGTTATCAATACCACCACCAAGTCAGTAAATTCCGGAAATGTTGATACCCCATTTACTCTGGAAAACAATGGAGACGCCACTACTACTGAGGGCGATTTTGCGTGCCTTTTGGGCAACCGATCCTGTCAAACGGTGCACCTTCTTGGCCTGCACAAATCATACTTTCACCCTGACCCATCCCATAATTATGGAGGAGGAGGAAAGCAAGATTCTGAAAACTATGGCACATCAGTTTTTTCTGTGACTCAAGAGGAGTCAAATCGTTCTTCTCGACGACGGGGAGAAGGTGCATGCGAAGGTGATCTGGCAAATTCAGAGGATGGAGGCGAAGTTGACGAGCAAGGATTTCATGCTGAACATGACGAGTCCGAAGGTAAAAAAAAATATCACGATCGTTAACTTGCTAACAATAGGAGTTGAAAAATATTCTTTTATTGCAGAAATCGAGGCTAGTGGGGATACCACCTCAGATTACGATGACTTGCGACGCCTCCAAACAATGATAATGGAATTGAATCAGACTTCTTCTGCCAATATTGCAGGGAATCCTCCCCCCAGCCGAAGCTACTGCACAATTTGTCACAAAGAGCTGTGCAACAAATATTTTATGCGCATCCATATGTTAAAAGTGCATGGAATTAGCATCGAGAGTAGCACAGGCTTGGGTGGCGTCCCTTGTGACATTTGCAATAAAGAGCTGTGTTCAAAATATTTCCTCAAAGTACACAGGCAAAATACACATGGGGTTGTGGATTAGGGACAGCCACCTCCCAATCCTTCTACCCCAGGACCTGGGCCCTTGGCCAGTTTGCAAAGCTCAGCCGCATCCAACATTCCTCAATTTCTAAGCAGCTTTGGCGGTGGTACTGGTTCCCTGACAGGACAGGACTCATAGAATTTCTCCAATAATTCGGAAAATACTTCTGTTTCTACTCTTGATGGAGACAGTCAATCCAAGAGAAAGTAAATGTTAATTGCCGCTTGGAATTCATAAATATTTACGTCCAAGTGCGTACATGTATGTATGTACATACCACATACGAAGGACTGCCAAGTTTTGTATGCATATTAATTTTAGCTTGATAAATACTTTATTACTTAATAACGAAGCAATTTAAATTTTGGTAGAAAGTAAAAATTCTTAATTGATTCTTACAATAACTTGCCACATTTTGTTACTTGCATTTTATTCTACTTTTTCAGCGTTTTAAATTGAATTTAATCCTTAAGAAAAGGAACTCAACAATTCGCGTAAACATAAATGCAAATAAATGTATATGGGTATAAATATTTATGTACATAAATCAAATGTGCCAATGAAGAGAGACGAGGAAGATCATGATTTCACCAATTCTTGGTAGTGGACACGTGTTTATCCAGAGTTCACCGGGATGATATATTGGTGTCACATAATCTACATATGTATGTATATGTAGCTATTGGAGATAGATTAAAATTAATCTCCATACAAGGAAAGTACAGCGATTAATTCGATGCACAATAATTCACAGAATTATCTAATATATGACAGTAACATTACTTACTGGCGATAAACAGAACGTCGGTGGATTTATTATACATTTATAATTCCATTTTTTAGCGCATACTTGAAACTTCATCACTTTTTCTGTAACATGAAATTTATCTCAAATTACTGCATAGAAAGTCATTTTCATTGAACTATTTAAAGCAAACTTACTTTTCCAAGCTTTTATAAAAACCGTCATTCCCCCTTATTTTTACCATTAGACCATTGTCGAAGGCTTCCTCGTTTGTAAGTGTGCCACCCAATGAGGTCGGCAAAATTGTCCTACGCACGTGTTCATGCAATGAATCAAGCTTCTTTGAGTGGACATGAATCTGTTAAAAGGTTGCCTTTTAATTTACACAATTTTCAAATTTTTAACATTTTTTTCCAGCATTCCTTACCCGTTCCCGTAATTTTGTGTACAACAAATATTTCAGAATTCGGACGGCTCCGTTCATTATAAAGTTTTCATGTATGATATGCAACGCTTTTGGGCGGCCAGGGAGGCATTTCTGATAGCAATTTATCAATCCTTTATTGAAAAAAAAATAAATGCTTAAAACGCATTTAATAAGAGCTTGATGTACTTACCAGGTACAATTCCAGTATTTGGAAGACACGTTGTGGCGTGATTGCTTTTGCTTGCTCGAATGACACGCCACCAAAGTTGGCTATGAACACAAATTCATCGCTTATCGAAACATAACGCCTTACCGCTTCATCAAAAATGAACAATCCGGTTACCATGACTTCTTGTACAGATATAAGTAACGGATTCCAGGCAGCTGAAATGTAAAACGTGACGCCATTTCAATTACTATGAAAAATATATTTTATATATTTGTAAGGAAATTCACGTCACTTGACAACTTGAATTCCATAATAAATAATATTCATGTCCTACAACGGTCACCATCAGGCTTCAGAATTCCATCTTTTTCTGAGCAGAAAGGGGAATATACATACGACCAGAAAGTATGATCGCATTACATACAGGCACAAAAGGACATGGGTGGGAATGTGAAGGTTTGTTTAGGTGTAAATTATGGAATTATGTGCATAAAATTAAAATCATGTAAATATAGAGAGGGAAATTTAAATTTGGGATAACAAATTTACAGTGACGTAATATCAATGTCCATAAAATTAACCAAATGCTGTGCTTGCTGTCCTTACATTCGTATGCACAAGAATATTGACAATTCAGTAATACTACAAATCTCAAAATTATGCCATGAGATTAACAATAATTTGTCCACGTTTTAACGTACAATTTTTACTCGTCTTTCATCAAAATTTAGTAGGATAGGCTTTGAGATATACAAAAATGGTCATGAGGCGAATAATTCACAGTATGTAGATTTTAAGATCTAATTGAATATTGAAGTTTTATATGAAATTGTTGTATTTATATGGAATACATATTTATAACTGCACCACGAGTTTCGCACTTACAAATATTTAGCACTGCAACATGTCTCCCATGATGATCCCTGCTTGATAGAACATTAACGAATTCGGTTCCCAACAAACTTGCTCTGGATGGTAAGAAGGGTTGAATAAATTTCTTATACTTCACAGTTCGCAACTCAATGTAATTTTCCAGCTACAAATTAACGTGGCTGAAATTCGTATTTTTTTTAAGTAACTATAAATTAATTATTATGCGTTTACGCAAAAGATTGTCTCATGCATGTCATGCTTTTTCCCTTCCAAAAAACCAATTACAAATTCATCGTCCAGGATGTCCGAGAAATGACAGAGTTTTTCGTGACCTGAAAAAAATATAGCTTCAAATTTACATTTGCTCAAAAGAGTATTTCCTTAGATATACGTATGTAGTACGGGTTAAATTTGGGATATACCTCTAATTTTTGACCTAAGCTCAATTAATTTGTCAATTTTCTGATTACTTTTCAACTCCATGGTCAACTTTGGAATTTCATTGACAAGAAAGTGAGAGGAATCGGGTTTAAGATAGATAACTAATGAAATGAAGATGATGAATGCGTACACGTATTTATGTATAACTTAACGGGTAACTTACACAATGCTCTTAGAATGTCAAATCAGCATTCATATATTCGTTTCTTCCTCACAAAAATATAATTCTATCCCACAGTCAATAAATAATTTCTTGTGTAAATCATTGTATAATTTTGTACTCCGTATTGTAGAATCTTGTATTAAAAAAGTAAATACATATGTACATAAGGTTCAACTTGCATGGTCAAACATTTCAGCAGCAATGCAGCACGTAAAGGTCAATATCGTATGTACAAATCGTCGTTTTGATCAAGTTGTCCGAGGTCATCAAGAAACTAATATTGCGAATCATTTTATATATAGTCTGTCCCATATACACACTTGATATACATGTAATTCTGGAAATCTGGGACCTGCTTTTGAGCAACTGTCCGTATATAAAACCTGTTAGTGCAAAATGATATAACATTTATATACTACACAAATGCCTTACCAATGTATGTACATATATAGCTTACCACATTCATTATACATAAATACATATGTACATTTACATGTGCATATGAAGATTTTGATTTATTTGGGCTTCATACAACATCTAGGCAAACAAACAGCGAGCAACCAGAATAATTAAAAAAACAAATTGTCCAATCCTTAAAATTAATTTATCTCGTGATTACCAGCCAGTAATTCTTTCAATTTTAAATTCGCTTGACGTTGGATTTCAGAAATGTGCAAGGAAGTATGTATATCTTAGAATTTTAGACATGTTTCCTACGTTGATATTTTTCAAAGGTACTTACAGTATTCATATCATTTTAATGAGATTATGTAATGCATATTCTGCGGATATAATTTATACTCCATACAAGTTCTGAACTAAAACATTAGGTATAAATGCACCCCAAATTATTTAGTATATATAACTAAAGTTTTTTGTTTATAATTAGTTTACAAGAATTTTTAATTCTTTAACACATATACGTATTATATGCACAAGCAACATGCTTTAACTTTAATTATGCATACATATGCACTACAACTCGTCCGAACTGCAATGAAAAAATTTCTAAAATTATTTAACGCGATAATAATCCTTACTAACCATAACTTAGATATATTTTAAATTATTTAAATACTAAACTTACGGCCAAATTCCCTTGTAGAACTTATCATTTTCCCGAGCACCGTTTATCAGGTCGCTGTCGTATGCTTCCTCATTGGTTAAAGTTCCACCTAAAGATTTCGGCAGAATATTTGGCGCAACAAATTTATGAAGGGATTCCATATTGGACGAGTGAATATGGACCTAAATTAGTAACGCTAAATTAAAATAAGTCAATTCTAATCAAATTTTTAGAGGCATAAATAATGACACTATGCAAATGCACCTTACCCTTCCTCTTATTTTCCTACCAAACAAAGTCATGAAAATATTTAAAGTTGCGCGATACAAAATGTTTTCGTTCACGAAATGTATCTCTTTTGGACTTGCTGGAAGACATTTCTGGTCATAAAATTAAATATCTAATTAAGTAATTATGCATGCGTGCACTTTAATTACAAAAATGTATTTATCCATATTACAAAGATTAGGTCGACCACTTCAATGAGCACTGGAAGCGTTCCGGCTCGAATTTTAGCGAAAGTGGGGTCTTTGCAATCGACAATTAGGACGACGCCATCCGGCTTGTGGGAAAAATAGCGTCGCATCCCTTCATCAAGGGCAAAAAGCAGCGTTGCGATACCTTCCTGCACGGAGGTGGTTTCTGGATTCCAGACATCTACGAATAAATGGTAATTATAGATAAATATTTCATTTGAATGAACCATTAATTTGTCGTAAAGTTATAAAGTAATTGGTGTGAATTCATCCTTACATGACTTCATATTGCATATTTCATATTTCATAAAAGTGGCACTCATTATGAAATATTTTCTACTCAGCCACACATATATATATATTTATCCTTCATTTGCAACATTGTCATTTCAGTGACTTAATTACCAGAATGAATGAAGAAATTACTTACGATGGGGACGCAAACCATGTTCGGTCAAAATTATTTTGACCATCTCACAAGGGAACCTTAAGTACAGTCACCTCACTAAATTATCCGTCGATTAATGTTATCTGGAAGGAAATCGAGAGGTGACAGTACCAAAGGTACTTAAGGCTTAAAGATCTTTAGAAGCAACACTTTATGCGGCACTTTGTGGATGTGTAAAATTCAACTTATTGGCGCTGCAAGTTGAAAACGCTTGGTTTTCAAACGGAACAGACATTTAGTTCCTTGCGGCAACAACTATCATTTTCACGAACTTGTGTCGCCCATAACTTGCTTAATTTTGCGCAAGTGCCGAACGAAATGTTATCTCTAAAAAGCTAGTCTTTACCAAAGGGTGATTTTTCTGCTGGTGACGAATTTGTCGTTGAATAACCCGGGAACGGTTTGTCGTAGCGGGTCAAAATTTTGAACAGAGGAGCATGTTATCCTCAAATAGTTGTGTGCAAAAAAACCAAATCTCTACTTTCAAAAATGCCTCCCCCACAGCCCCCAGAAGGTGAAACACTCATTTTTACTGTTTCCAAACTTAAATGCTCATACAACCGAATTACTAAGCATTTTAAAAGTGAATAGAAAACAGTTTCGAAATCTACAATCAATAAGGTATTGAAAAATATAGGTGAAAAGCGATAAATTTTGAGTAAAGGGCAACCACCACCCCCTGAAAGAAGGCAAAAAGTGTTAATTCCGACCGTGCATAGGAAAATTGACCTCCAGAGACAATCGACCAACCCAAAAGGAAATTTCCCGTAAGGTTGGGATATCTAAGCGTTCAGTGAAAAGAGAAATTAACATTTTTAAGAAACGACTTGGGTGGTAAAGTCGTGTGCATCAGCTGACCGAAAAGCAGGAAAGAAATCGCGCCCGTGTTTACAAAAAAAATTATTAGAATTTTCTTTGAAGGAATAGGAGTGAGTTATTGGTGACATTTGACGAAGCACTAATTTCTCTACAAGTTACTAATTAGGTTCGAAGAGCTTACTACACGATAAATGCCGAAAACAATTCACGCAAGTTGATGCTTCCGTGTAAGGAGAACTTTTTTAAACAGTTGATGGTTGTGGGTGCAATGTCAGGTCGTGGTGTCCTCCCACTTATCAAAGTCCCCCGAAAAGTGAAGGAATCTGTAAAGTATTATGTGTACCGTGTACTGAAACCACTTTTAGAATAACATTTTCCTAAATTGCACGGTAAAAAAATAATTAAGGTGATTTTTCATCATGACGGAGCGTCTTCCCAGACGGCAAAGTTGACCCACGATAATGCAAAGGACCTTGAAGCTGGATTCGGGATAAAAATCATTTCGAATAGTGAAATACCTGTACAATCCCCAGATATAAGTCAAATGAACTTATTTGGGGTCGGATACTTGAAAACAAAAATTTTTGTGCGGAGACAGAATTTTTTAGACGGAGTTTGGAAAAAGTAAAAATGAGTGTTTCACCTTCTGGGGGCTGTGGGGGAGGCATTTTTGAAAGTAGAGATTTGGTTTTTTGCACACAACTATTTGAGGATAACATGCTCCTCTGTTCAAAATTTTGACCCGCTACGACAAACCGTTCCCGGGTTATTCAACGACAAATTCGTCACCACGTACGAAATCACCCTTTGGTACAACAAATTTGTCAAAAAATAATATTGGTTGAACACGGTTTTATTCCCATTCCCATGCATTGTTAGATTAAATTAAACCATGCAGTTTGCGAACTTCAATTGGTCCTTATCTTAACACTTACAAGTATTTAGCACCGCAATATATCTCCCATGCTGATCCTTGTTCCGTAGCATTTGGCCGAGTTCAGTCTCTAGTAAGCGAGTCTTGGAGGGTAAATAGGGACTCAATTGTTTCTTATATTTTACCGTCCTCATATGCATGTACTTTTCTACCTAATTAATTTAGCGATATTATTTTATCTTCTCGAATAATAGGTAAATTGATTTTTTCATCCTATAGTTATGTACTCACATAACTCAAAGCTACATCCACGTCAAACCCTTTCCCTTGTAAAAACGCGTTGAGAAACGGATCATCCAAGATTTCACTGTACGGTCCAAGTTTGTCATGTTCTAAAACACAGTAAATTTTTTAGTGAGAATCAAAAAAATGTGTATATGAGGGCGAATAATACCTTTAATTTTTAATTTTAGTTCGGATAAACTCTGTTCAAGCTTTGTGTCAGATTCCATTGCGAAAACTTGACTGATAATTACGTGAAGAAGAAATAACTTATGTTATCATCCTCACTTCAAATAATTATCAATATTGGTAGTCCATTACGAGCAAACAAGAATAATTGCATGTGGTACAGCCCTGTGAAATGTTTGCATTTATCAAAATTGATGCAAAACAGCATTTGCATTGAGGAATTAACCAGTGGATACGTACATATATATGTATGCACATATGCATGTACATATGTATGCGATTGCACAATTATTTAATATAGAATGAGACATCCCTCCCGTGTTGAAGTAAAGTGTAACGTAAAGGTTTAACCAAAGCTTAGGAACAATTAATTTAAACCAAATTACTCAATTTTTGTCAACTGTAATTACAGCCAAGCCAACTTAAACTTGAATTTGTTAGCTCTACACATTTGCTTTACGGTTTATTACATTTTACATACTCGCTTAGAACTTGGAAGCAAATTACATATGTATGTACGTATTTAATAAGTACATGAAGTATATGTATCTATGGATGTATGTACATACATACATATGAAGATTTTAAAATTTTGATATACTATTATTTATTTTGAGTTCTATAAATAATACTTTGATTTTCACAATAACTTAAAAAACTTAAAGACAATAAACTCAATAATTTACTTATCAATGTAAATAAGTATAGGTATGTTAACATTTATGTAAATATGCACATGTACACACAAGTGTGCAAATGTTAGCAGAAATTAAAAGAGGCAAGGAGGATCATCATTCATCATTTCATCAAATCTTGGTATTTATCCAATTTTCACCAAGATGATACAGAATATTGGTGTTACATACATACATATAATCTATGTACATCCGTATGTACGTATGGGGGATTGATTAACATTAAACTTCATACAAGGAAAGTGCAGCGATTCTTAGCATTTCAATGCACAATAATTCACAGAATTATCTAATATATGGCAGTAACTTTAGCGCAGATAATGTCGAATATTTATTTTCCAAGAAAAGTATAAACTGTATTTAAAAAAACTCCATCAAAGATAAAGATGGCATTTACGGCATGAAGTTGTACAAAATTAAGGTCTTGAAAATAAGCAAATTCTCAGGATTTTGTGCAGATGCCAATGGCTTCCAAAAATGCCTTCCGTCTATAATCGTGAAATTAGGATTTATTTTAAACTATATTTAGATTGTAAATATATGTAGGCGAATTTGTCCATTTTCATTATTTATCCACCAAGACCAGACTATTGCAGTGCTGAAGTAAGACTGGTGATATTGATTTATGCATATGTACTTATCTGTATCTGCATTCCTTAATCTTTTAGACGCTCATTCATTTCATCGTTGCTTTGCTTGGAAATGTGTAACATTTTCCGAGAAGCGACAGGAACACGTGCATGTTGATGTAGATGGTCATAACAGAACATTGAACGCATTAACATAGTCTTCTTTAATGCTTAATCAAGATTAATTCATTTAATATTATTTTCTTGGGAATCGATAACTTTAGCTTGACTGATATTTCCAGCTAAATGGGAAATAATGTATGCACACCAAAATCATCGCATGAAAGAAATTAACATGGAACTTCAGAACGGATATAAAAAGCCTGCCTAGTTTCCAAACCAATCACAAACCCATCTCCCGAAGTAGCTGTAGTTAAGAAATTGCAAATTAAAGTATTATGAAGGTATCAATATCAACCTGTTGTTTCCTCCTCATTTGGCTCTACGCAGGTATAAATTTTGAATCTATTCGACATTAATCAAACCGTTGATTAAAATGCAAATTATTCATTTCAGCCAAAGTACAATCAAATGCGGATAACAATTTGCGAATAATATTTTGGGGACAAGCAGGAGCCGGCATCTCATCAACGGTACAATTTCATTTCTCAATTAAAATAGTTACATGAATTATGACTTAATTGGTGACTGCATTTTTCTCCAGTTGAAAAGTGTTCTTGGCAAAATCCCAATCCGTCAAACGGCAAATATCGGATCCTCCTCCACCAATGGGACCAATTACATCACCGAATACAAAATAACCCCACCGGGCAGTACAACTTCCACCATTCTACTCGATGTGGCTGGTCTAAACTCAAAACCTGGTCAGGACGCCGAGACCATGTCGGCCTTACTAAAGTATATCAAAAATCCTGACCACAACGCTTCAGAAACCGTTCTCGTCCTCGTCAGCCCATTTTCCGATGTTACCTTTTACGATGATAACTCTGATTTTATAATTATGCTCAAAAAAGTCGCCAGATTTCAAGAGGTTCTCCTAAATCAGACAAATGCAGCCATGCCAGCCATCCTTGTCCTATCGAAACTAATGACAGAGTCAAAACTCGTCAGTGATAAGCCGGAAGTAAAGACCAGCCTATTCAAAAACGCCATTGTCGACCTTGCCCCTGCCACCTTTCGTCAACTCACAAGGTCCATTCTGATCGGAGAGAACAAGCCAGAACTGAGCCGTCTCAGCGAGAAGGATGGCTGGACAAATTTGCCGAACGGGGAGCAATACCCTAAAAATGTGCTCGATAAGATCACCAGCCTTTTACAACAATCCGATTCTAAGAGTGGGCTTAAATCATTCATCGGAATTAGGACAAGCACGCCATCAAATGTGCGATTAACAGAGCGGAAGTTATATCATCAAATGAACTCGTCTACATATGACGATTTTCTACTGACGGCACACATCTCCGTGGTCGAAGGGGGCATTGAAGATGTCGAAATATCGAGAAAATTAATTACCCAGTATGCCCAGGGGTATGATCCGACATACCCACGCTACACCCTCGACGCCCTGCTGCAGCTGCAATACTTTTTTCAATCCAAATTAATTAAAAAGGTGGATCAACTTCCCAAATCGGGGCCAAACTGGGCCAAACTTTTCCTCGATATGATCGATCTTCCAGAAAGTGATGAATTTTTCAACCTACTCACGGACGCTTTTAATGTACCGACAATCTTTCCCGTTACCCCGAACGAGGAAAATGTATCCATCGTTATCATGGGGAAAGGACAATCTGGGATAAGCAGCACGGTAAGTAAATAAATAAATTGTTTGGGGCATTCATTACGAGTTCGCATCTTTAGAAACGTTCACAAAAAAAACAAAGTGTGCTAAAAATTCACTTGCGAACTAGCGCATCTCCAAGACCAGTATTTATGCAGTTCGCAGTTTTTTCAAAATTATGTTTCGATGCGAGCATACGAACTCGTACGTAATGAATACCCTCATTATTTAAGTTCCTAAAAGTCATGAAATTTCTTACGTCAAATCTTGATTTTTTATTGAAGGTTCAAAAGATCCTTGGCCCCTCGGCCCAGATCACTACTGCCTCTACACGACCATCATCCTCCAGTGATGGCGACATGTATGTGACCCAGTATGACATCACCGTCCCCGGTACGACCTCCATCCTCAGACTTATCGACGTTGAAGGACTCACTGAAGGAAAACCTGCCGACCACGACTATAAAGTGTTATCCAGTCTCGTATCCTACTTAGCCTCGGGACCAGACGCCCCTAACTTTTGGCTAATAATTTCAAACTTCAACGATAACAAGTTTCTCGGGGGGAGGACCAATTTAGCGAAAATGGCTAGCAGCGTGGCCCGAGTACAATCCGTTATTCAATGGGATCGTGATGAGCTACGAATGTTCAAAAATACTCTTCTCTTAACAAAGCTGATGACTGAAAGTGGGAAGAATCAGAGAAACCCGGAAATCAAAGGTGATCTTTTTAGCAGAGCGGTTAGCAGATATCCGGCTTTGTACCCTGCCGGTGGCGTATTGTTTGGTGAGAACATGTCGACACAGCAGGAGAGCAATGGATATGTCAAATTACCGAATGGAGAAGTCTATCCGGAAAATATATTGGACAACTGGGCATACCTGGCCAAGTTATATGACGTCGGTGGAGTTGAGGTGATTCAAAAGTTTAAGGATTTGCGAGCGTCACTCGTTCCGTATAATGTTGTCAAGAGTTATTACTGAATAGAGTTGAATAAATAAGCAGTTTTGTTAAGAATAGATAGGTAACTTTCTTAAGTAGGTAGCCAACTATCAAATTTTGTACGATAATTATATTTGCAAAACTGAAAATTATTTATCACAATTTGAATTTACCAAAAAGTATGTAAAACCATAAAAGCTAAGTATGTATTTAGGTATTTTCTAAATCGGCTTTGCATTAGAAATTTTTAATATCTAAATAGCAACCACTTCGGCGAACGATTAAATTTTTCCCTAATTAGTCATCAGATGATAGTATAAAACTATGTATGCAAACCTTTGCCATAAAATTGCCAGTTTCAACTCGAGTTATGTATTTCACTGATCTTCAGTGGTATTCTGCTTGTACATATTTTGGCGTGAGCTCCAAGAAAGTGATTGTGCCGCAGTTCATTTGAAACTAGAGTAATTATTATAGGAGTTTAGCATGCCTTCTTGTATACTTATTTACTTGCATTTTTGGGAAGTAAATACTTAATGCCGAAAATTGGTGAAATTAAACTCTATCAAATAAAATGTACAGTCTTTTAAATAGATATTTGTGTAATAATTGATTTATACACAATTTATTCGCCATGTCTTCGTCATAATAATTTTCAAACAATATCAAACTTCATATACTTTCAAAACGACAAATCATAACAAATTGCTTTAAAATGTTGGTAAGATAATTGATTGAAAAAAAATTATACAAATTTTGCACTATATCGAATCGTAAAACCAATTAAAAGACCACTAAATTCATGAAAAGTCAAAATATTCTTTCTATTCGTCACACGTTCATAAATGTCCTACTATTTAAACCAACTTTCCGAAAACGGACTCAACATTCCAATTTTTAAATTCATAATTCCGAATTTGTGGACGTTTTCGACAAAATTTCATATCCGCAATCTTAAGCCTGGTCAGCTTCTCATACAGCTCATCATCAATGTCAACAATTTCGTCGCTATTCGAATAGACGCCCAAATCTGGACTCACAGCCCCGTCTCGATCCTTCTTGCTGACTTGAGATCCTTCGTCGGTGCTGGTTTCGCTAATCCCGGAATCAACAGCGGACAACTTCCTCTCCTTTTCAGCTGCTAGTGACCCTCGGAACTAAAAAATATGTAATTTCAAAAGACGGATCATAACAAATTGTGTAGAATTTTGGTAAAATAATTGATTGAGAAAAATGTGTACTGATTTTACATTAGATTAAATTGCAAAAAAGTTCTTTCGATTCGTCAAATGCGTAAAAATGATTGACTTTTTAAAAGAACTCACCCAGAAGTTGCCGTCCTCATCCTGAACGCAGGCTCTCTTCTGATGTTCCACGTACCGGGTCATTATGCGGTTCACGTTCCTGTGTCCGACGCTGGGATGAGAGCAGATGTAGGGGGCCGTTTGCGTGTATTTGTTGTGCGGGTGGCCAGGGAGACGGACGATCAGTTCAGAATTTCTGAGATACGGGGGCAAGAATCGATTTCTATACGGTCTGCCACGGCCTGAAAATGAAGATATTCTTACATATTTATTGAGCTCAAAATAAAATATTTAAATTGAATTCAACTATGGGAAAAGTGAAACTTACTGTTTACGAGAAAACTTTTGCTGGTACAACAATAATATTTTTCAAGGATGGACATATTGATTCTGCAACGTGAATAAAATTGAGGAATATATTTATGGCCTAATTATAAGTGATGTAATTAGAAAGTTTAAAAAAGCTGTAACTTAAAATTAGTTGAGCTTACTTTTTCGGAAATATTCGTCTCAGCTAAAATTTCTGAATTCGTTAAGATGAAAATTTTTAATAAGTCTTATGGAAGGTTCTCCTGGGATGAGGTGCACCTTGGACGAATACTGAAAGATGAGTGAACGCTCATCAGCATCTTCCTTAATGCTGAAGGAAGGAGACGCCGTCTTATCAGAATTCCTTCCACTCTACTGGATTCATATATGTACTCGACTTATTTAGTGGGCACTTTCCGCCCGTTAATAATATAACCGAGTATATGGAACTCGCTCAACTGATCCTATTAATAGCACGCGTTGGACTTGAGCTGGTAAAAGTTAGCGTCCCTTCTCTTTCTGCACCTGGAATTTTCGCAAAACAAGTGACAATTATTCCCTTGCTTGATAAGAACGACTCGCTCGGCGTGGCGTTCGTTCCTTACATTTTTGGCTGCTTGGTTTGGGTTACTTTTGGCTTTGTTTCTTGAAACTTGGTTCATTTGTGATTGTGACTTCCTTCAGAGTTCAAGTCTCGAAGATTTTCCTGTCCTCCTGCCAACACATCATCACGACAAAGTTTTTTTTCAAATTTTCAAAGTATTTTTAAGACATGAAAAAATCATCCACAGCAAATACGAGTTGAAATATCTGTGTAAGTAAAAACCATTCGTTATTTTTTAAATATGTGTCACATCAAATAAGTACTGTCCTATTTTAGAGAATACTTGCTGCTAGGAATTATGGAGCAGAAACTACCTCCCTTCTCGGTGTCCTTCTTCCCACAGCAGAGTAACGTGACCTTGCCAATAACGCCCCCATCCGTCCCATCTGATACACCGAATCCAACAACCGAAACGGAAACTGAGGGACAGCCGGGACCAGAACCAGTAAAATATTGGGACCCTTCAATGTCGATTTCAATGTTACGCGGAGGTGGAAATGATGGTGGCGATTGCTACAACCTACTTCCGAGCACTTTGGCGGATGCCCATCTCGGCACCAACTGCTTATCGTTTCCCTGTACGACCTGTTTTTACCCGGGGCCAGTGAATGAACAGATTCCGTCATCTGCAGTATCACCCTTGGCGCAGGGACCAAGGGTCGAGAGTCTTCCTCCCGTGTTCGTGCCAATAAGATCGTATCAGATGGATTGGCCAAATCAAGGTCCTTACGAAATACACAGCTTGGCTGCTGAGATGTGGAGGAGAATGGAAGATGAAAGTTTTGCAGATATGATGGTGAGTGAGATTAATTTTACTTATTAATTTTGTGAAACTATAACACACAAGATGAGGCACTTTGAGACAATTTTTGAGACAATTTTGAGACGTGGTTTGTACTAATATATTTTTTTATGTGTCACCGCAGCACGAGGACTCGGCCGAGGGGTCCCTTTCGTCATTAAGCAGCCGTCAAGAGGCACGGTCTCGTCGCCGTTTTCTTTCTCGCAGAGATCACCGTTCTCACAGATCCCAGTCCGGCATTTATCTCACTTCAGACAATCATTGCAAGTTGTGCCTCAGCAATCGTGAAACGGAGAGCTTTTACATGTCACACACGCTCCGGGATTCGGAGGGCAAGGTACATACATAAATCCAATGTGTATTTACATATTTATTTAAAATTCTGGCTTTTGATTACCCAAATTCTGCTCGATAATCTAATCTAATGATTCTTCTCGGTCTATTTCTAGGTATCCTGTCCAGTCTTACGTAATTTGGTGTGCAGAATTTGTGGGGAAACTGGCGACACGGCTCATACTTTTAAATACTGTCCTTACAATCACGACGTGCCAATGGAATTACGCTCCATCAATTTTGACCAGGCACGCGCCGACGTGGCAAGACTTATGAACATGAAGATGAAGGACTAACTATTTTTAAAACTTGATAATTTTTAACTTTTGAGTCATTCTTGAGGGAAAACCCGCTTATTACTCGAGTAGCGATTTGTAAAAGTAATTTAGACTTTAGACTCAAAATAGAAAAATATATAAACAATTCTTGCTGCTCTCTTATGTTAATGTCTGTTTTAATTAGGATTAGTGATTAGTAATAATTTTCCAAACTACTAATTAATGTTGACGTGCATTCATGAATTTTTTAACTGTTATTAAGTAGTGTAGTAGACAAATTTATTTTATTTTACTGTGGCAAAGATTATTTAAATTAGACTCTGTAAAAATAGTTGATTTGGATTTGTGTAAATAAGATAACAAGCATAATAAAATTACCCCAGTTGATGAATTAGAAGAAGAAAATTTAGTCATGTATTGTAGAAATTATTCCCCAAGTGGCATGCGATCATCTCCAGCATATAAATACTTCAAGGCATATATTGTTTGCTTATACAAATATACATATACAATTTCAGAAATGCAAAATGTTAATTATGGGTGTGTGCATGGACCTATTTTCCTACGTTATGTTATTTATTAGTACATGTGTGCAAATTTTAAGCAATATAAACGAAATAATTAACGAAGAGTATTTATCATTAAGTTAATGGATATCGATTTTCCTTTTAAACCCATCTCCACAAAATTACTTATGTAAATAGCTACATATGCTTAACAAAATTGCATCAATGTATAAACATATGAATTAAAAGTTACTTATGCATCCGAATATAAAAGTCATGGATAATTTTTCTCAAAAAATTAAAACTTATAAATTTTTATACATATTAATATTCAAGATTTATCCATTTAAAATACAATTTCTTTATATCAGAATGAATTATAGTTAGAATACGCCCCCTGAAATACTAGTCCAGCTGCAGCTACGTCCACATTATTAACATTGACATGACCTTTTCTTCCTCTCTGGACACCTTCATCTCGTTCATCTCCACCTTTCTGACTTTTACGCACCCTTGGCTTCTTATTCGGATCTTTGGGCAAATGTGTCGTAACATGCTGCGATAAACTATTCCTCGTCTTGAATTTCTTCCCACAAGTTGGACATTCATACGCCGACGTCCCAGAGTGGATCTCTTCATGCCGCATGAGAAAGCACTTTGCTGAAAATCCTTTCCCACAAATTTTGCAAATAAATTTCCTCTCTACCTGATGACTCGCTAAATGCACGGTCAAACCACTCTGATAAGTAAACCCTTTTCCACAAATTTCGCAAGTAAACGACTTGGTTTTTGAGTGCTTGAGCATGTGATGTTTCAATGCGGACGCACGAGAGAAAGTATAACCACAAACGCCACACTTATGTCCGACGTAACCTTCCTGATGAATTTTGTGATGTTTCTTCATGTGTGAGGCGGACATAAATTTTCCCCCACAAATTTCGCACACAACATGCTTATCTGTGTGGGAAACGATGACATGTCTCCTCAAGTTGGAAGAATTTGTCAATACTTGATCACATAGGACGCATTGGAATGGCTGCTCGCATTTTTTATGTAGTTCTTCATGCGCTTCGAGTTCTTGCACGGTTTCGAATCCGAAATTGCAGAAATCACAGTGTTGTTGAGTGTGACACGTGGCGACGTGTTTCGCAAGGTAGTTTGCAGAGCAGTATTTCTTTGAGCAGAATTCACACAGGAAAGTTTCGCTGGGATGAGATCGTTGCTGCTGGGATGATAACCGTCCACAATCGGTAGATCTATGATGCATCAGAGTTTTGTACACTTTGAATTTTTGGGGACACTTGTCACAGTGAAATGGAACGGGATCCGCTGCACACACAAAATTGTGAATGAGTACTACAAAAAATGCAATAAAATTAGTACATTAATTTAATTTCATACCTTCGTGAACTTTGCGTCGATGGCAGTTTAGACTTAATTCTGAGGAAACTTTCACGTTGCACAGGGAGCATTGAAAATATATCTTTTCACATTGTTTAAGCTTTCTTTTTGGTCTTTTGACGTGATTTTCTTCGTAATCAGAGGAACTGCTAGAGTCTGAAATTTCTTGGTCGGATGAATTCTCCTCAGACCAGCTATTCTTATCATCCTGGTCGATTTCTCCATCAGATAAGTAGCCTTGACCTGAATCTTCAAAATTTACACCTTCGCGTAACTCGGTTTCTACTTTTACAGTAAGGATTTGGCCATTTGAATTTCTTTGTCTTTTTGTAACAACAAGTCTCTTCCCCTGCAGGACCTCCGACCCGTTGAAATTATTTATGACCTTAAAACAGTTGTCGTCTCCCAAATTATTGTGCTTAGTCAATCTCTCCAAGCTCATTAAACTTTTTAGCTGATCGATCCCAACGTTGATATTTGCACTCCCCTGACGAAACACTAAATACGAGCAGAATGACAATAATTATTAATATTAAATAATCACCAATTATCACAGCTTGTTACTAACTCTCTCTTATCAGATCATTGGAATGCTTTATGTCTTTCATCTCATCATCATTTCCTTCATCTTCTCTCCGACTAGATAAATTATGCAAGATTTCCTTCTGCACGTTCTCCAAGCGGTGTAAGAGTTGGTTAAAGAGGCGAAGCGTGAAATCTACATCTCGAACGAGTTGACGACATTTATCACAATAATGAGCAGCAGTCAAGATTCCTGGGAGGGTGTGGTCACCAGAAATTTGGAATAAACAGCAAATCGATTCCGTACACATGTTTGTCCAGTTTTTTATATTTTCGTCGAGTAGTTCTTGTTTTACAGGATCCGCACCCACTCCACAAAAAATACAAGATTCCTCCATCCTGGGGGAAATTAGTTGGTTGAGTTGTACTATGAATAAAAATGTCCAGTAATTAAAATTCTGTACGTATGTATAAGAAAACGGATTTTGGTTTAATGTCCATAAAAACTTACTACAGTGATTACATTTAAGTATAGATAATTTCCAGGAAAGTTAATTAAATGTAGGGCTCTTCTGTATAGTTCTTATAAAATAGTTTGCAAAAGCAAAGCTACAAATACAGATACACCAGAATTATAAACCAAAATACCGATATGACATAAATCTATGACTTGTGTTACATAAGTTGTGTACATAATGAAATGTGGTTGTACTTTCCCTCTGTGAACAATCTCATCGATTGCGTGTATAATGATGTACATGTACATACATACATAATACATATGACATACATATATACATAAATAATGTTAATATATATACTTTAGGAACTATCAGACAACGAAATTCATATTTATAATTGGTTTTTACGTGCATATTTTATTAATGTTGTGTTTATGTACATGACGCTAGCTCAATGTGTAATGTACACATATACATATGTGTACATATGCGTATATACATACCTATCTAACTTTTTTCGCACATAATTGAAATTGTATCAAAAATTGTTTCACCATAACCCACGAAAGTTTTAAATAGTAAGACTGTGAGTAGTAAGGTCGCAAGTTGGAACCTGGATATGTGCATGTGCATATACATCTACATACAGGTAGACATGTACCTGCATACATATTTGATTATATGGCTTTTTAGAAAAATATTAACACATAGATATTTACATATGTAGGTAATGCATATAATAAATACTGCTTGAAAAAATTACACATAACAATGTATTGTCAAAGATTTTTATATTTTTATATTAAAAATGTTTAATTACATACTTCAAATTAATAAGAGTATATTTATGTATTTAATGTGTAATATCATTTAAATTATATTTGCGAAATTCAAATTCAATTTTCAACTCTTCTTTAAATTTAGCTTTTTTGAGAGCATTTAGTTACATAGGTTACATTTAAACTTGATTTTCAGACACATTATTTACAGCCTGGTTACAAGGACGGCCAAATTTCAGGGGCAAGAATTTAACACAAATACAAATATGTGCATACATACAAAGGGTTCCTTGTATACATATAGTTGAAAGTATGTACCTATATGTAATACAACATCCGATCTGCTGAGGTTTTAAGGTGGCCTACGTTTCGTATGTACGCAAATAATAAGGATGAAGGTCTAGCCAAGTTGTGTTTTCAACAATGCCAACCCGTCCCTCAAAGGGTACCTATATCTTAATGCCTGCCAATGTATGTTTCGATATTTTATGGTTAACAAAGAAGAAGACCATGCATACAATGACGAAGCGACAACTTTCACAAACTCGTATATCACAACATCCTGCATCCAGTCATCCTTTGTCTAGATTAGACACTTTAGTAACAAAAACTAATTGGTATCCGTAAAAAATAGGAAATTTCTACAGAACAAATTCCAAAAAAAAACTTTGTCTATCTATTAAAAAAATCAAAAATAAGCTGCACAAAAATTTCACTCGGACGAATTGCACATTAGCCATTACGTACTTAATTAAATCATAAACCGATTAAATTGTAATACCATGGAAAACTCAGCAGTTACGCTGGAAAGTTGTATAACACAATCTGACGAAAAGCAGCCCACGCCTGACACCGTATTGCTAATGGAACTGGAAGAAAACGATTTACTACTTTCAAAAATTGAGTTTGACTGCGCTATATGCTTGGATAAGGTTGAAATAGGCGAGGGTGTCATCCTACGTGAATGTTTCCACCAGTTTTGCCGGTATACAACATTTATATTTTCTTGTTACCAACATTTTCTTATCAACATTAGAGAAAAACTTATCCCAATCACCTTTTAATTTTGGTCAAATTGCCTACACATTTATTAATAAATTCTACTATATTTGTACATTTCAGAACGTGCCTGACGAAACATATAGAATACTCGGAGGCTGTCACGATCACATGTCCACATCGGGGAGAAAATTTTTCCTGCACTTTAGAAATTTCGATACGTGAAATAAAAGTGGTAAGAGACATTAAATGCATACATTTTTCCCAATAGTAGACATTACATACATACATATCTAGACTATATAAAATAATTCGTAATTTTTAAAACTCTTGCTATATTTACTACTCAATTTAATAGTGGTTGTTAATACATTGGTAGTTAGACCCCAGTGGTCCTCAATTTTTCCTTCAGTACCAAATTTTACGAAAATGAAAAGTAGAAATAACTCGAATGGTATAAGTTGAATAATTTCCAGCTCGTCCCAACCTCTTATCAATCCCTGCTCCAAAGATCACTCCACCAGGCGGAAATGACCATGAAAAACGCGTACCACTGCAAAACTGCGGATTGCACAGCTTGGTGGGAATTGGAGCCGGACACCCGGAAAGACGCCGGGTTTCGTCACCTGGTCAAATGGTTCCGTTCAAAGTCCACCTATAAATGTCCCATCTGCTGCAAGAAGAATTGTCTCAAGTGTCAAGCTATGCATGAATCCGTTTCATGCATCACGTATCAAAGGGTGCTCCAACAAGATCAGATGGATATTCAGACCAAGCAGTTAATTCAGGTGAGTTATAAAACGGCAAAAACCAAATAAATATATTTATCAAATTTATTAATGAGAAATTTACATGTCACAATTTTTTTTAGAGCAAAGTAAACGACGGCATCGTCATGAAATGCCCGAGTTGTCGAATTATGGTCGAAAAGACTGGAGGCTGTGTTCACATGTGGTGTTCCTTTTGTAAGACGGACTTTGATTGGATCTCGCAAGAAAATCAAAGGAAATCTGGGGATGACGATGGGACACTGTTTGTCCCCATGGCAACCAGAGTTCTCTTGTCAAGAAAGGTACAAATGTGTGGGTTTCTAGTACTTTGTTTTTTAATTAGTGTTATTGGCGTTATCGTTTTAAATTATATTGACAAGTATTTTCGATGAGTTCAAAGGTTCATAGGTTGACAAGCAAATACGTATTTATGTATAATAGTACAAAACTACTTATTTAGGTCACAACGATCTGATATTTCAATGGTTATTGATATATTCAATGATTCAATTGCATAACTCGAACAAATATTATGTAATACACATACGTCAATTAATTTTGTTATTAAAATAGTCCCACAATTATATTACCCATTTAAAAGACATTCATTTTTTTATTTCCAAATTTTGCTACAAATTGCACAAATGCATTTCTACTAAATACATGCACACATATAAATATATGCATACACACTAAACATCGACTGTCCATCTGTTACTCAGCAAAAAAAAGTTGGTTATAAACATTTTTAACAGTATTCCTTCATAAATCTTTAAATATCGAATTGCAAAAACGGATTTCATTCCTTCAAAAATATTATATTTATTTATATTTATTAATCTTCCATATCGAGAGCAGCACGATAGCTTCTTTGGCTGGAGGTAAGTTGAGATTTGCTGACCGAGAAAAGTGGCTCGCAAGTGCGTTGTAAATATGAGTTAAACTTTGTCGCAGACGATTTTGAGGAGAAACCAACGATGACTGCAGCCAAGTCTATTGAAATTTAAATTTTTACCCTCCTGCAGGAAATTAATTTAGTTTTATTGTAAACAAAATTTATACCAACTCAGTTTAAAAAGATTCTATTGTTTTCATCATGGAACATTTAGTTGGTTTGATACGAAGACACGATTCGGTAACAAACTCTTTTATTCTAAATTGCATTATGACATTACTAAAAGTATGATTTATGTTTTTGATTATATAGGAAGCCCGAGAGAGACTGTTGGAGGCTGTAGCCAAGCTGACTAGGAAAGTAAAATTTAAACGAAATCATGTTTTAATTCACCAACATAGGCTCAAATTTTTTGGATTAGACGATGAGCGCTTGGATTTTGCCGTAAGTCATTTTCCCTATTAAGTGAAACATATTCTAAATTCATATAAACGTTTTCATAAAACGTAAAACCTCATTATAAATAATTTATAGTATCTGTACATGTTACACAACGACCTGGAAGAGGAGAGGACTGCAGTCATGTGGAGGTTGCTTGGACAGTATGATTGGCATACCCCCATCCCCTTGGCTGGAGCCCCACCTGCTCACAACATCCCCATGGCGCAAGCACCACCAGTTTTCAAACGTCCTGCCTCCTAATTCCCCTCCTGCTGCAGCACCCAATCGCAAACGTTAATCGTCTACGAGTTCAAACTGAATTGACAAGCAAATAAACCCTTACAAACGAATATAAAAAAGTAGCGTCAGAATGATCTAAATGTCCTTTAAAGTGTCACCGTATCCGACAATTATTTATTTGTGACCCTTGACCTCGCCCTCAAGGTCATGAGGTCAAAAATATTAACGTCCTCAAAATCCTTGTCAAATTTCCTTTAAGATGACACCCCATATGACAATTATGAATCTTTTGACCCTTGACCTCGCCCTCAAGGTCATGAGGTCAAAAATATTAACGTCCTCAAAGTCGTTGTCAAATTTCCTTTAAAATGACACCCCATATGATAATTATATGTTTCCTGACCTCTGACCTCGTCGTCAAGGTCATAAGGTCAACAATACTGATGTCCTTGAATTCGTGGCGAAATTTCCTTTAAAATGATACCCCATATGAAAATTAACGTGAATTTAATTTTGGACCACACCCCCTGGCGCTGTGGGGGGTGGTCCGATTGACTCCATTATCGAACTCGACCGAGAACTAAAAATTAGAAGCACAATGGCGAAAACGGGGTTTGACTATGTTGACTCGTTCTGGAGATATCCTGCTTACGGACAGACGGACGGACGGACGGACGGACAAAACGATCACAATAAGTAGCTGACGCTACTTAATAAACATTAATTATGTAACTACTTTTATGCACGTCGCAACATCTTATGTTTTAATGTAATGCACATATCATATCAATTAATTTTGTGGAAAATATATATATGTTTAATGGATATATATATATCCATTTATTAGACTGCATAAAACACGCTTATTTTTTATATCCAAATTTTACTACAAATTCTGCACATGATTTTCTACTAAATATATGCATACTCTCCTCTTACTTAGGCGTGTCACCTCATTTGCATAAATCTCACGATGCCCAATTTCGGCGATACGGGCTATCCATGTTGAACAAACTCTATCTCTCGCGAATGAGTCAAAATATGTAAATGAGGTGACGGGCCATAAAAATTCGACCGTATGTATGTATATGCAAATAAATTTGTATTTTATATACTACTCATTTGATTTACCATCTTTTACTCATAGTCAGCAAGCAAAAGTTGGTTACATCATTTAAAAAAGTATTCGGTCATATATATTTAAATCTTTAAATATTTTAAATTTCAAAAATCATCTCATTCTTTACAAAATTGGTTTTTATTAATCGTCCTTATCGAGACGCAGCACGATAACTTCTTTCACACCAGCATCCAGACTCACATTTTTGAGAATGGCACTGGATTAGTTTCCCAAACTTGCCATAAATTATTGGATTTAGCCCAGAATTTGTCAATGCAAGTAGGAAAAGAACCTCTTGAAGCCATCCATCCTCCTTCTCCACAATTGAACGATTAATCGAGCACCTGAAATGTAAGAAATGCATGACACAAAGGCTGACATATTCCTCGCTTAAAATGCAAATTCATTGATGGGATGGTGGATATGATTAAAATTATGTTAGATATATCTCTTATGCTAAGCGTTTCTGCAGTGGCATGGCTCATTAATGTGCATATAACTAACTCACCAAGTAGACCCCAAATGAATTACAGGACTCCCGAAAACCTTCACAAAATAAAAGAATGGAAGAATCATTTTGTTAATTAGAGAATAACAGCACCTTTTCTTACCATTTTAAACGAATTGATGAAAATACTTTCTCAGCTATGTATGAATTGCTATTTTATATGTAGATATATACCAGCACGGTACACATTCCTATATTCGACATCTCCATGGTATTAAAAATGCGCATAACTAACTTACCACAAAGTCATGACGACATAAGGCGTCCAGCAGGTAAGAAATATCGTCAGAATGATGCAGGTGAGTCGAATAGTTCTAAATTTCGCCCGTTGTAAAAGTAATCTCCAACCTTCACTCGTCCTCAGGAGTTGCCGATTGGTCCGTAGAGGCGGAATTATCCCCTGACATGATTTTTGTCGATGCAAGTGCGATTCCGATTTGGTTTTACGAAGGGTGAAATTCACGTTAGGAAAATCACTTTTAAAGTTGGACATTGTTCTGGGACTCTCGCTTTTGCAAGATTTGGGACTTCCTTTGGGTGCAGTGTCGTCAAGACTGAGGACATGTGGCTCTGTGGTTGATTTCCACCTGGTACCTGTAAAATTTGAAATTTTACGGTATCGCAATGTGATGCAGGTACATATGCTTGGCCAGGCGAGAGAAATTTTGGGGTAATTTTTTTAAACATTTACATGAGAGATTATGCATTACATACATATACACAAATACACACAATATGTGTATGTATGTATATACGTACTATACATGTTATGTATGTACATATATACATATTGCGGCGTTAACAATTTGACATAATCGTACACAAAGTTCGCTACATGTTTAACATGTTTTAAAAAATCTCTCACAAGGTCAATAAATACTGTGGACACATATTTACAGTACAAATTTTGTACATACTTTCATTCTGAGCTAGTATGTATGTATGTACATAGCATAGAGCTATTACATGTTCCTATAATAGTCTTACCTAATGCAATCATTCCCTCGTCATGCCGTCTTCCTCTGTCGTACAGTTTTCGAACAATACTCAAATATGTGAAGACGATGACGGCAAGTGGGAGAAAGTAGAGGATTGAGAGTGTAAATATGTTGTAGATTAACTCTCCTCCACTCCTGCTCATTGTCGCCACGCATTGACAAAAGGATGGAAATTTGGGATCCGGAATACTGCGGAATATCGCAATCTGTCAAGAAAATTTCGAAAAAAAATCAACCAACTACTTTTTTAAAACAAATATCTCAATTTTCAAACACATTAACACAATATTTCGTGTCAAGATAAATTTTATATGCACGAACCTGTGGCACTGCACAAATTGCTGCAATCACCCAAGCAATTCTCACCAGTAGTTTGACCTTATCCTCCGCCCTGACAAACTTGAGGGGATACACTATTGCAAAATATCTGTCAATGCTTATGCAAATGACCACTAACGAGCTCAAATACAGGCCAAATGCTCGCAGAAATTGGTACCCTTTGCACAGCAGGTTTCCCCCGTACCAATGAATGGTCAACTTCAAAATTAAGTTGGCCAACATACAAGTGAAAGTGACAATTAGTCCTGAAATGCACAGGTGTCGATAAAGGTACGTAATCCTGCCCTTATCGTGGCGTCGATTCCTCGTGACTTTTACTATCTCGGAAATGTTTAGGAGAGCTGACCCCATGAAAAGAAAGGTGTAAGCGATTACAATATTTCGAGAAATTTGACTCATTTGGTTGAAATAGGTAGGAAATAGTTCGGCCAAAAACCCCGTGATATTGTTGGTGTCCAAAATTTGAGACATATTAGATTTGTTACTATATTAACGCTTCCCCATGGTATTTTGGGGAGAAAGTATCGGCAGTCGGCTTTTAAAATTTTTATGGCATGTTGAAAATTGAGTGAGTGGAGAAAGTTAAGCAAAAAATGAGAAAGTCGAGGAGGAGAAATGAGTTCGCGTCTTGCCAATTGAGAGATCAAATCCCAACTGAAGCCAGGTTCCATTATTTTTCGACTCCACAAAGCATGCTTTCTCTCTTTGGAGCTTAGCCTGCATTTTTAGAAAGCTGCCTCGTGCTTCAATATTACCTTCTCGAAGAGTAAGGAAGCCTAGTTGTAAGTCTAAGAGGATCTTGTCCTCGAGGAGAATGAGAAGTATATGTAGTTGGTGAAACCGGATATTGTTGTGTTTAATAACAAATTTTGCTTCTTCTATGCTCATCAACTAATTGGATGACCACGGTCATTTTCATGAGTCTTATATTTTCGCTGGAAAAACAAAGTAGGAAGACTTCCACATACATATTTAGATATATACTTAAATATTTGTATACATATATTTCACTTTGTGGCAACAGCCTAACTGTCTAAATAAATAGTCGCTCATCGGTAAAATCGGTAAAATCGGTAAGAAAAAGTGACTTCCACACATGTATGGGTATAATGGTTGAATTTTTAACCTTATGCAAATATTACATCGACCTTGTACTACTCGACAGAGAACCTTTCGTAGATAACAATAAGTAGATAAATACAGAACTTCATCGCTTTTCACTCCACAAGTTCTAGTTCAAATTTACTCTATAAAAATTAGTTCATTATTCACCCGCTTAATCATTCTAATTCTAAGCTAGTTGCAGGCATATGTATTATCCAGCTACATATTTCAATTCTTAGATAATTTGCTAACCACAATGCCACATGAACACTTGTCAAATAGAGCCAAAAATGAACCTCCCATTCAATTACTCACAAACGGAGTATTCAATAGATTAAACGATACGTATGTAATTAACTATAAGCTTTCGCCATATACCGTATCAGTCCGTATCATATACTTATGCAATCACACTTTTCTTAAAGGAAACTTATCGGAGGAGGAAATTGATGCTCAATCAACCATTCTTTAAATCAACCTTTCACCTACATAAATATGCAAATAATTAAGTTATGCATTCTTTCGCGATTTCGATTTCCACCATCAAAGACCATGTATGTACTTAAGATTTGTGGGCGAGCCATGCATGCATACTTATTATCAATTATAGGGCCTATATTGGTCGGATCTATAAACTTTCTATCTTTGCTAACAATAAGATCATTTAAGCCGGACCCATCGTCCTTGATTTCATACATATTGATTCTCCTATCTCGTACCGTACATGTATTATTAATAGATTAGATAATCACCGCGAAATGACGGGCTATGTATGGATGCACTTTGTCAATTTTCCTCGAATGGAAATTTTCACGCGAAACCCTGCATATGTAGAATCACGACAAAAATTGATAGAAAACAAAACTGACTCATGTCAAGCATGACTTGACGCATAAATGAGTTTGAGCTTGAGAATATTCTCTGCAGCTCAAACGAAATGTTTTCATTTGATTTCTTTTATGGAAAACCGTTCCTCAGAAAACAATGAATATTCATCTTCAACCTTTCTGGAACAAATTTATTGATCCTCTTCATTTGCGACGCTTCCCATCAGTTTTTTTTACCATAAACTGGAATATTTTTAAACCAGACTTCTGGTTGGATCAATATGATGTCGTTAATTGACACACAAAATGAAAAGAATAACTTGTACGATCGCAGACACAAATATTTTAAAAAATATTCGATTTAGTTCTACAATTTATTTAGGTCACACAAGAAACATGTTTAATGAGAAATCTGCTGACATATGTAAGAACGTGTCACGTCTTTATTGAAAGATTTTAGCTTTTCCTTAACTCGGTTGTGATTATGTAATAAAGGATTTGGTCTCAACATTTGAGCTTGCTTGAAATATTGGCACAATTTCAATTGCGCAATAACTCGATTCTAAGGAACCATAATCTGTGACAAAATAAAACTATGTGGGTTTGCTGCATATGTACTATGCATAGTAGTGGATAATCACTAGAAAGTCACCACCCAGCGATGCGTTAACATCCAATGACCCATTATTGACGTGCGGTAACAAACCAAATATGTATCACCAGTCTGCTTGTTTGATTTACATACAGTCCAATAAACCGGAGGCAATATATTTCTCGGAGTGCATTTTACTTTTGAGGCAATGATTCCCATTCTCATATTTGCTTCACACCGAAAAGTAGTTTGCATAGGAGATTTTGCACAAAGCAGGTTTCGACAATTCATTAGTGAAAGTAAATTAGACGAATTAGTCGCATGAGAAAGTATGAGTTGAGCTTCTCGTAGATGAAAAGCTTATTATATGAACAAAATTGTTGTGTGTTGTGCGTATATGAACAATATGATGATGAAAGTATCTCACTAAATATGTGCAATGAATCATTTTCATCATTCTAGAACTTTCTGCTTTCTTCTCAAGTAGTCAAACGTGTCAATACGTGCAGCAGGTGCTAATTCGGCCTTGTGAAAGTCAAAATTGTTTATAAACTTGAATAGGTAAAATGATACCTGGTTTTCATTATTATGGTTTCACGCTACCATTGTAATTGTCGCTATATGCATATGCACATTAATTATATACATATGCATACATATACACATTATTAAGGGGTGAAAACCCCTTTATGGAAATGTCTTGTCCGTCCGTCCGTCTGTCCGTCCGTCTGTATCCACGATAACTTTAGAATGGTTTCGTATTTCGGCATGCGGTTTTCGTCAACGTGTTTCTAATTTTTGAAGTATGGATGAGTTCGAAGATGGGCGTCGTAGGTCGTAAGGTCACGGCGCCACGGTGATGACGCCAACTGTCAAACGTGTCGAATTTTTCGTTTCCACCGTTTTAGACGTATTTTTGGATGGGAATTTCAGAAATCGCCATCATTTCGACGTGCGACGACTCCATGACAGTGTGGGAGGTGTCGAATGTCGAAAAAATTACTTTTGTCATGTGGGGTGTCTATTGAAAGGTATTGTCGTGTAGGTTTGAAGTACGCGGGTGGGGGTGTCAAAACGGGGCAAAATGAGACGTAGGGTAATGTGAGACAATGACGGGAAAGTGCAGAAAGACGTTGTGGGCTTGCCACAAAGACAATTCGGTGTGTTTTCACCCCTTTGCTACATTTCGTTTGCAACGGTTTATTGCATATGCACTTGAAAAATATAGTCTTAAATTTTTGACATCAGGTGTAATTCAGTCCTTGCTTATTTCAAAATAAAAACCTACAGTGCAGACTCCATATAGCCCGAGTCAGGGACATAGTCCCTGAATCAATAAGTCAGAGCCCACTTCTAATTTTTTTCCGACCGACATAATATCACCAACTTCCGTGTTGTGGAAAAGTTTGTTAGATAGTTTCTACTATTTGGTACCAAATTTTTGAATTAGTTACAAATCATGTGCCTTGACCACCATGACCAGTGGGCTTCTTTAACATCATGAAGTTCTAAGCTGTATGCATGTACTATCCAACAGTGGTTTTCACTTTTTCAGCCTCCATATCAAATTTCAGCTCAATATAACGATTTTGAAAAATCAGTATGGGTCACCCGATAGGGTCACTCTGGTTGCACTTTGCTCACTTTTAACTTCATATTCTTTAATTAGAAGCCATTAAGTATCATTGTGCCGGATTCCATCTTTTTAAAGCAATTTCTAAAAATCGGTATGGGTCACCCCATAGGGTCGCTCCTGATAACAATTTTACCAATATCATATCATATTCTTTCATTAAACCCCATAAGCAACCTCTCCACCAAATTTCAGTTCGATATGATGGTTTTTGAAAATCGGTATGGGTCACCCCATAGGGTCGCTCAAGATGAAAATTTTTCCAACTTGAAGTCATTTTTATCTAGTAGGAGCCATTAGCAACCTCTGTGCCAAATTTCAGCTTTCTACGACAATTTTGAAATTTTGGTGCATAAGACCCCACCTACTCCGATGACCCCCACCGGTCAATCACTGGACCGATTTCGCCCATCTTCGAACTCGTTTCCTAATTTTGTCCAATATGCATGTGGTAAAAATTTGAAGTCAATCGGTTCAGCCGTTTTGGCTCTATCGTGCCGGACAGACAGACGGACGGACATGACGGTTCCATAAGCCCTGACTCGGGCTAAAAAGTAGCAAATTTATGTTTCAGTATCTAAATTCTATATTTTTTTTATATATGTACATAAAATAACAGATTACATGAAAGTTGCAATTTTCCAGCCGTAAATTTCTTAGGGATATGAAACAACCACCACCGTTACGATCCAAACCTTATATTTGCTCGCACTCCATTCAGAAATATAACGCGGAGTATACAAATACACCGAGTTGGACTTGGTTTTTGAGGATAATTTCTAAAACTGTGAATTAGAGAGCAGAGACAAAGTATCAGGACACTTGGTAATTTCAATAGGAAGGCGGTAAAAAATGGTCGTAGGAATCTGAAATTTTTATAGAATATGCTAAATATATCCAGCCACACCTGACAAAAATTTCATACGTTTTCCTTGAACAATAAATTTCCTACATAAGTTCAAAGCGAGGAAGTCGAGAAACGATTTTTTGTAAGTACCAAAATTTGAGTTACAAAGACTCGGAGAAGACCTGACTACATTTCAAGGAAGAAAGGTCTGGCCGTGCAAAAATTAAAACATACGCAAAAAAGTATGGAGAATCAGAAAATGTCAACTTCAAAAAGCCACCACAAGAAAAAACCACCATACTGACCCCTTGAAAATGAAAAACGATTAAATTTATTTTTGAAAAATACCGCTCCACGTTTGTGTCTGATGCGGCCATGAAGTCGAAGATTAATTCAAACTATGCACATCATATGAAGGCTCATGAGTTGTGGGTCAAAGCGTATTCAAAAAAATCTGCAGCAAAACATACGGAAGGTCAAGAAAAAATGGTGAACGTAAGCCCTACCAAATTTTACAACAAATTTCACCAAAACATTTGGTCATTGGCGACGAGTCTTACGTCTTCAAAAACGAGACAGAAACTCCGGGAAGGCAATTTTTTCATGGGAAATATATGTCTCAACTGAAAACCGACGAGAAATAAAAATGTTTTTCAAAATTTATCAAGAAATCTCAGGTTTGGCAGGCGTTGGGCCAATTTTGGCATGTTTCGGACCCTTCAGTTCAAAAGGGCTGTGAGAACGAACAGGTTTATTTACAGAAAAATGTGATAGGCCGTCGGATTCCTTTCATCATGGAGTAGAATAAAATATAAAATGCAATTTTTTGGTCGGACCTTGAACCAATCTACAATGCAACAACTATCAAGGATAAAATCGAAAAAAAATTTCAGTTTGACGTTGAAAAATGAAAGTCTCACATTCAACACTTATTATAGCCCAATAAAAATAATTGGGCTATATGTAAGAAGACATACTCCCAGCTTTGTGAAACAGTCGAAATTTAAAGAAAATTTTGGTTACGGAGGGAGAAAATTAACAATGAAGTTGCAAAGTCTTCCGAAAAAGCATAAATGGCGGGCGCGACGAAAAAGACTAAAAACGAAGTGGGTAATGTATTAAGGTCTCGTTTCTTCGCGAATCCCTAACGTTAGTAATGTTTACAACATCATACAAAAAATTGAGATTTCAAAAAATCATTTTTGACCATTTTGAGGCCGAATTACCTAGTGTCCTGATACTTTTTCTCAGCTCTCTATCTCATCCTTCAAGTCTGACCTACATACTTGGAGATGGTTATCATGGAATCGATGCGTCTCCAGCCCCCGTGGGGAGAAGACTAGGAGAAGATATTAAATTACCTGATTGTACCGTTTTGCCGAAAGGGGTCGACGTTATTGTCTACCTTTGGGTAATGAATCGTCACCCAGACCATTGGCCAAATCCGCATACTTTTCAGCCGGAGAGATTTCTAGCAGAAAATAATTTGAAGGGTGAAATAAATGACAAGTTCTTCCCATTTTCGGGTGGCCTGCGTGGATGCATTGGTAACGCGGAATATGGACATAATTGATGATTAATTTCATGCTAAAAGTTTGTAAATTCTCGTTATGTCACAATTAAGGTAAAAAGTACGCTATGCTGGAACTGAAGGTACTACTTTCTTGGATCCTGCGAAATTTTGGGGTCAAAACGAACCAACGTTTCGAAGAGTGCAAGTTTAAAGTTGGAATATTTTTACATTGTGAGAATGGATTTCGATTAACGCTACGAAGAAGAATAAATTAAGAAGAGAAAGCGAATAATTGCAATTAATTCCTTAATTCGTCAGGGAAATTAATTTAATAAATGCTTTCATATTTTATGTACAAGGCATTTTAGGATCAATTTCCTGCTTTCTAATAAGAATAGTGTAGAAATAGAAATAAGAATAGTGCTTATAATCACGGACTTTTTTTAATCATTTAACCATAATTGCATCACTTGTAAGTAGGATTTAAGGTAAAATTATCTTTGAACCTTAATTAAGTTCGTTGGTTATTTCGTGCATACATACTTAAATTAAGTCGTTCCTAAACAGTGTCTATGTAGTCAATGCAAATATTATTCACCCATAAATTCTTGTTGAAATATTTACGATTTCAGAAAACTAGAATATTCCCATCGAAATATGGATATTTTTAGAACTATTTGTATTATCCTGGAGAGAGAAAAGTTCGCAAATTATTTTTAAACCTATTTTTTTTACAACTTAGGCATTTTTTAGAATTTTTTAGACAAACTTTAAGATAACTTGCGGTGAATACCCCCAATACTTCTCTGAAAAAATTTTCACACGCTATTTTATGTTTCTCGGATCATGAGAGGTGATAAATAATAAATATATATACAAACTATACGTGGGTGTTTTATTATTGATTTTCAAAAGGTATGTTCCGCACTGTTTCTGACCAAAATTTTGATGAAATAACAAACTTCAAAAACATTTTGGAAGTCGTGATTTTTTTCAGCTCAATCGGTTAAAAGAAACACCCGCAACAAATCATCGAAATTTACCTCGAAAATATGCAAAAATTTACGACTTGATTCCATTATCATCCTAAAATCGTTTCCCCCTGATGTTTTTCTTCAACGTTTGAAACGGATAATAATCACTAAGGGTCCTGTCTGGACTGCACGGGGGGTGGTCTGTGCAGGTAAAGCGATTTTCGTCTGCATCAGCTCTCTAAAACAGTGAGGTATTTGGTGGCGCGTTGTCGTCTAAAAAAAGGCCAACTCTTTATTTTGACCCCGCGTTTCTTTTCAACCGCAGAACGCAGCTCCTTTTGGGTTCCTGCATACGCGACCCCATTTATCGTAGTATTTCTAGCAATAAATTTTATAAGGAGGAGACCTTTGGTATCCTTCCAACTGATGATCATCAATTTTTTGGCAGATTTTTGCACTTTTCCTTTTATGTGTGGTGGAAATCCCCCGTGCTTCCAATGCATGAATTATTGTGTGGTCGTCGGGTCATAATAGTAAACCCAAGTATCTTATTCAACTACTAAAATATGATACAGGTTCCAGTATTCATTTAAAAGCTCAAAATTTGCATTGCAAAAGCAACTCGATCTTGTTTTTGAGATGCCAAAAGCAATTTTGATACCCAACAGAAGGAATCCATTTTCATACCTAAGTCTTCAGTTAACATGGAACAAATTATTGGTTTTGGAACACCCATCTCATCTGCTAAATAGGACAGTTTCAATCGTGGATCTCTAATAATTGGGTCTTTAAGTTTCTGGAGGTTTTCTGCGGTGGAAACCGATTTTGGGTATCCTGGCGACTTTTTTGTCTGGGACATCTTTTCGCCTTTATTTGAACTTATCGACCCAATTGTATTTGTGCTTTGTGTTGAGCAGTTTCCATCGTAAACTTTAAGCATTCAATCATAAATCTGCGACACATATTGCCCCTCCAGCAATAAAATTTAAATCACACTACGATGTTTAATTTGCAAATGTGACATTTTTTCCGTCGAGGTAAAGTTTGCTTATTTATTGCTAGTGTTAATGTTAACCTAAAGGGCTGAAAAAAATCACAGCATCCTAGATGTATCTAAAGTTTGTTATTTCATCAAAATTTTGGTCAGAAACAGTGCGGAACATACCTTTTGAAAATCAATAATAAAACACCTACGTAGATGGGAAAACTAACCTTACTGAAATTTGCACGATGGGTAATGTATGTACATACTTACAATGCAGCATAATGTTCATATACATACATACATATACATATGTAGCACTTGCTCATACATACACTGCAAATAAACTGGTGTCAATTCCGCGCGGTGTAGTCACATATAGACACCACGCGGTGTTAATACGGGCAATTAACACCGCGTGGTGTCTATATGTGACTACACCGCGCGGAATTGACACCAGTTTATTTGCAGTGTACATTTGCACAATGTAAGTATTGCATGCGAATCCGAGCAACTATATACATACATATGTATGTATGTATTTACCTCAAAATCTAGTTTAATTGGTTCAAGGTTAATTTTTTTAGCATATTTTTATGCAACGTAAGTAATATCTAGGTAGTGAAAATGTAATTTCTATTAAACTTCAGGATGATGGTGGTTGTACACATTGAGATAAAATAATTGCTTAGAAACATTTACTTCATAATTTTATGCATGTTACATAAATATGGGCAAATTTTTGTTTTTAATAACATTCTTTTGGTTACATATACGTATTTATCTACAAAGACTAGAGAAAATATACACAAAAAATTGAGAAATTGTAATGTGTCAAGTCTGCAAACTGTTAAATCTCAGAAATCTCAAATAATTACTAATAAAATAATTTCTTTCAGGAAACTCCCTATTGCACAATTTTGTCATAAAATTTATCATTCTTTTTAACATTTGCTATTAACTCATGGTCATACGCTTCCTCATCAGTTAAAACTCCACCCAAAGATTCCGGTAGAATGGATCGTGGCACATGTTCGTGAAGCGAGTCAAGATTATACGAGTGGCAATGGTACTGTGATTCAAAGTGTAAGACAAAAAATTATCAACATATTAAGTACAAAATTCGATTATGAATAGTATGAAGCAAAATTTACCCGGTCCCTGATTTTATTCGGTAATAAACTTCTGACTATCTTAATGATGCCAGCCAAGAGTTTATTTTCGTTAACCATATGCAATGCTTTGGGACGAGATGGGACGCATTTCTGTTCTCAAAAATAGAGACATTACTAATTTTCTCCAAAATTTAAATACCGAACTTTCTTACAAAGCACAACTCTATTGTTTGAACCATAATGTTGAAATTTATTTGTCGTAAGTGTGCGAACGAGAAACTTTTGCAGTCGATGATTGACACGATGTCAGCACAATTTGGAAACAAGGATCGAATCGCTTCATCCGCAACAAACATGGTTGTGGCGAGAACTTGTTGTGCTGTTTGTACAGCTGGATCCCAAGATTCTAGAAATACAGACATTTTATAAGCCGGCATATGATAACTAAAATCTAGTAATTTCTGCAGTTTTCTTCGTGTTTTTATTATTTGAATATGTGGCAAAAATTTTTGCTAATTGACCACTTACTTACCATACTGCAAAACTGCAACAATTCGCCCGTGCTGATCTTTATTCTTGAGGAAACGTATCAATAGTGTGTCCAACATGACCTCACTGGATGGTCGATAGGGTTGCATATGTTTTCTGTACTTTACTGTTCGGATGCGAATATAGTTTTCCAGCTATTATGTGTAATTTAGTTAATTATTTAAATTTTTGAATGAATAATATCTGATTTTTTAAATAAAAATTGAGACAAATTTCACATACACAAGTTATTGTTGCATCCAAGTCGTATTTCTTCCCGTGAAGAAATCCACTTAAAAAGCTGTCATCTAATATGTCAATGTATGGCCCAATTGTTTCATGATCTACGAAATGTAAATTTATATTAAATATTTATTCATAAGTACTTGGTTTCTATCTTGTATAAAATTTTGAAAACCTTGAATTTGAGATTTTAGCTGGGCCAATTTTTTGTCTTTGCGTTCTTCAGGGGCATAATCCATGGTTCTCTGCTGTTATGTATATGTATGCAATTAAATATTACTTTAAATATTACTTTAATTTACTGTGGGTGTGCAAAGCGACGGCAGAAATGAGACTACTTCTTACAGCCAGTTTCTTTCGTATTGAAGTATTTAACATCCAACCATGAAATACTGACCTAACATAAACCAAACTTTGTCCTACAAAAAATTTCATGGTCAACAACCATTTATTACACAATGTTATCTATCAGAGAGATATGAGCGTACCTCGTTTATCGTGAATGCATACATATTGCAGAAAAATGTTTAATACTTGCATACTCCATTAATTAAAAAATTGGCAACATTGGACTTACTCATGTCAAAGATACAAAGTTGCAGTTGACATGCACTCTACTTATTTAAAGGTAAGGATTCCTATTTCTGAAATAGCATCAATTTCATGAGTATTGAGACAAATGCAACTTTTGATAGTTTTATATAAAGTTAATTTTTGGCACTACCAAAATATCGATTTGGTACTAGCAAACTATTCCTCCTATGTCATATGTAACCACGCTACAAAATTGCACACGTTTGTGTAACGATTTTTATAACAGGACTACCAAGCTAATTCTCCGATACCAGTCAAACACAATTGTGTAACTAGCACGCAATAATCTAATGCAAACGATCTCATAAGTAATCGGTAGCTGAGATAAATAATTGCACTCAAATATATGTAATTAGTGGGTAAAGTAATATTTCGATAAATTAACTGGTAACAAGGATGTTAACTCCGGTAAATTGGGTACAAGATTAAAAAATGTTTTTAAAGTGAAGTATATCTGTACATGTAATTCTAATTCGACAAATGTTTGAGAATGTATTAAAGTTGGAGCTATACATATATCTAATAACCTTTGAATCTTGATTTCACCTCTTCGGCGATGACCCAATTTCTTTATATTCTTCCAAAATACAAGTTTTAACTGGCTGAGTTATGTATTAGAATTGCATGATGCATATGTACATACATAAGTCATAAATTTATTGACGCAAAGCAAAATAATAATTTATGTACTTCCAGTCGATCTTTCCTCGTTTGATTTTGTTAATTTTTTCAAAGCTTGTAAACACATGCATACATATGTGTATATGTATTAATTATATGTATATACACTTCGCAATGAAAATTAAATGTATGATTTGTATGTATGATCATTTCTCTAAAAATTACAAGGAACTAATGAATACATATATTAATTAATCTGGGTAGAATTTAGGTAAATAGTTATGTATACATAAATCGGTACGTATTTTTATACATATAATAAGTATATCCAAATACGATGTAAATATGCACATATGTAGTAAAATATTAATTTATTAATACAATTTCACTGGAGTTGTTTTGTCCATCCTATGCGTGGTTACAAAATTGTGGGTAAAATAAAGGAGTATTATCTAATAAATGCATGTTGTATATTTATATGTAGATAGTTGTTTAATTAAATTAGGCAGTGGAATGTCAACCACCTATTTATGTACATCATCCGACACATTTACATACTTATGCATAATTCCATCATCTTGACACACTGTAAAAATTAAAGTTAATTCGTGATAGAACATTAACGCAAACATAATATGTAACAATTTATGAACTCGTATTTACTTTGCCATTTTCTCGTAAAAGTCGTCATTCCCCTTCACCCTGGGTATTAAATCATTTTCAAAGGCATCTTCCCACGCCAACTCTCCTCCCAGGGACTCGGGCAACATGGCAGGTGGGAAGTGACGATGAAGTTCTTCAAGTCGATTGGAGTGAAAGTGGTACTGTAAGATTAGTCAATACTTAAATGTTAATCCTGGAAAATTCATAATATTACCGTAATCTTGACTTTCAATTAGGTATTAAATTTACCCTCTGTTGTATATTCTTATCCAACAATGGCTTTAAAAGTGCGTATAAAGTACTGACCATGGAGTTTTCGTTGACAGCATGAATCGATTTAGGCCGACATGGAAGGCATTTCTAGTCGAAAATATATGTGAACATTCTGTATTTAGTACAACTTGAAATCCTGAATATGTACTTAGGTATTTATAATCAGGGCTCTTTCATAGCAAAAATCGGCACGATTTTTTAAAACATTTAACACGATTGTTGATAAACAGACTTTCCGAATTAAATATACATATAAAATTTTTATTAAAATAAAAAAAAATCTTTCTGGTTGCCTTCTGAAACCAGAACATCTTAAGAAAACATGACATCTTAAGAACCCTGATAATAAAAATTTAAATAATTTCCCTCACAAAGAATAACTCTACAGCGAGCAGCAGTAGTTTCGGTCTGGCTGTGTTTACATGTTCGAAACAGAATCCTTTACAATCGAAAATGATACAAATTTCGTTAAAGTTTGAATAATAGCTGCGAATTCCTTCGTCTGTGAAAAACATGTTGGCAGCAAGTGCATCATAAACAGAGGCCTCTAATGGGTTCCAGGAGCCTACAAATATGCATAGATTCATATGTAATCATGTTAAATATCTACGTAATTGTGTTTATTGTTTATGCATTAATTTTGTCCACCACGTACTGAATGATAAGACCCAGACATATCTTCCGAGCGGGTCTCGATTCTTAAGCATATTGGCCCATCCTTTATCCACCATTATGGTCGTGAATGGTCGAAATGGACCAATAATCTTCTTATATTTTACCGTCCTCATTTCAATATAGTGTTCTAGCTGAGCAACATAAATTTTGGTTTGGAACACAATTTTCAAATATATAAACTGAAGTCTTTTGCAACAAAATATGTTACAACTTACAAAAGACATTGTCTCATCTATATTAAATTTCTTTCCTCGTAAAAACCCAAGCAGGTACGGATCATCGAAAACGTCGTTGAATGGGGCTACTTTTTCATTTGCTAAATAAGGAATCATGAAGCATGAGTACAAACAAAGATGAGAAATTGGCATAAAAATATGTACAATTAAAGTAAATGTACATATGCTTATTTATAACCTATGTATGCATACTTACATGCAATAGTTGCCCGAAGCTCTGCCACCAACACTTCAGTATTCACTTCCATAATCACCACACAAAAAATATGACCCAATATAATAAAATTATCTATCCCTCTTAATTTGTAATATCTACTGCACTAGATTCAATTTTAATCCAGGATAAAATTCGAACTAAGCCGCACTGACTGACGGCATAAATTCATTTACACGTATGTACATACATACATATGTATGTGCATAGTCTGGACTTGGATAATTTTTGTGCAATTATCTTATCATATTGGGTATGAAGCACTGCATGAGATTTTGCAACCTTCGCAAATTTTTGCATAGCACATGTTGACCATGGGCAGGATACATTGGGTATGTACATAAAGCGAAGTGCAGGTTGCATTGAAGTTCTACGTGTATGTATTTCTCGTATTATGAAATGATTATCAGTCATGCACTTTATACCCATTTTTCTATTGCGCAGATAACGACAATTTTATAAAATGTATATACTTCCAGTTGGTCGTTGTAATTTGAAAATTGAGCTGAGACCAAAATTATGTGACAGATTTGACTTGCTATGCTCATTTATAGCTTATCGGTGAAATAAGCATGCAGATTCTGAGGTAAATTAATTTAAGTGAGTGAAATCGGAACTATCAGTGTATTGGAAATGTCAGGGCTAATTTTTGAATCCATATCGAAAATGTGGTTGCCACATGGGGCTGACAATTCTCTTTCATCGAATGCATGAATAAAATGCATGAATAAAAATGGTTACTAAGGGCAGATTTAGTCTTAAGATTTGCCGAATAATTTTTTTTCTGGTACCTTAAGAAGCACGTGTATGTACCATGGATTTCAAATTATGCTGACACGGAGTATGTATGTATTTATATTTTCTATACATGTATAGGTATACATTTATGTATGGACAATTCCAGTTATGTATAATACACCATGCAGTACTTGTGTAAAATATTAACCTTCCCAACACCACAGACAAGTTGACTCGGACCAGGACGAGGTCGGCTGACCAGGACAAGCAAATTGTACATATCCAGATAAATACACAATATCAAAATAGATACGCAATATTCCTTTCATCACGTTGTACCCTGGAATGATTGACATTGAACTTGTTACCATTATTCATACATACATATTGCAAATTACAAATTGGCCTAATTCACATTAAAATTTATTTACTACTTCCTTATGCCCATCACTGTCTGTCAAAAGAATGATTTTGGAAATTATTTATCAAAACTAACTAGTAATTAAATCTCAAGATGACAAAAAGTTAAGTAATTTTCCTTATTCTGCAGGTGAAAATTGTGTGAATGCAATTAAAATCTTATCAGCATCATCTTGTTATTTCTTCGGTTATCCTGTGAAAGATTATTGTATCGCTTATTGTAAAATAATGTGGACTTCAACTATCAAATTTATGTACGTATCTGACTAAATTCTCATAAAATAGGTTGTTTCGCTTAACTCTGTCAGGTAGATCAGTCTCATAGGCTTCCTCGAATGCCCTCGTTCCTCCCAATGACACCGGAAGGATTTCAAAAGAAACGTGCTTATGAAGCGATTTGAGGCAATTGGAATGAAGATGGATGGAATTAGAAAACAAATATGTGTAAATGTGCTTAAATTCTTAAACATTAATATATTTATTTGTATTCAACTTTATTACTCTGTCCTTTAGTTTTGTATCCAGTAATGGTCTCATAATTGATAACGCTCCATGAAGTAGGATATTCTCGTTGACAAAATGAATCGATTTGGGTCGACATGGGATACATTTCTAAATAATTCACATTAATTATTTTTAGTTAATTCTGGTCATATTAAATATGTTATGTAAATATTCACATTGATTTAAATATTTCTGAGTTAAATTCCTTACAAAAAATAGCTCAATAGCAAGAATAAAAATTTTGAGGGATAATCTTCTGGCTTGGTTAAAGGAGAAATCCTTGCAGTCGATTATCATAACGAGTTCATCACATGTGGAAAAGCTATGCAATCCTCCACCGATGCGAGGGAAGGTCCCATGCATCTATTAAATTAGGTAATTAACTAATTATATCTGCTGAATCATATGCAAATTAGGTTCCAAACTCACTGACATGCGTGATCCAAACAAATCGTCCTAGGTGGTCTCTCTCCCTTAGCTGATTGTATAATCCCCTCTCCACCATTGCAGTTTGCGATGGTTTACAATTTTGTAAGAAGCTTTTATACTTCACGGTTCTCGTATAGATATAGTGTTCCAACTGAGGATGAGGAATATGTGTTACGAGGGTATTCATTATTCCTTCGTATCCGTAGTCTCATAATTAAAATAGTTTTCGAAAAAAATAGGGGGCAAGCTCGTAAAAATTGTAGCGTGATTTTTTATCACAAAATCTTACGACGCTTATAAAATTTCAAAACTTTCGTAAATTATACTAATGAATAATGAATACCCTTAATATGTAAATAAGGTACAGATGGTAGAAAGTAAACTTACGCAATTAATTGTATCGTTTATTTCAAATTTCTTCCCACGTAAAAATCCAAGTAAAAACCTGTCGTCCAGCACGTCACTAAATGGACTTAGTTTTTCATTTTCTAATCAAAATTAAGTAAGTTAAGACAAAATTTGCTTGAAAATTGGAAAACAAGCAAAATAAAATAATGTTAGTGCAAACTTTTAATCCTGCTTCTCAATTGGATCATTCTCCTGTCATGATCGTCGCGTTCCATGATGCAGAGCGTACTAAATAACTTATCGCAACGAACAAATAATCAATCCTTTTCTATCGATGAATAATAACAAAGTCAATGTCTCGTGTCATTGAGAATATTCAAATATTGATAGGTTTGTAGTTTTTTACATGAATATCATGAAACAACTTTATTTGCTGAATATGTAATTTAGGTACAGTTGCAGTTAACATTTTAAGGAATGAGCGCACTAAGGAGGAGAGCTTCACCACCTGCCCCTCTCAGACCTTGATGTGCTTTGCATATGTGGTAGGGTCCCATGAGTGTACTATAACCCTGAAGTGGTTTGACTCCATGGCCACATTTGCCCCCGCCACACCCACTCAAAGGGATGAAAACCACAAAAGTTACCAACTTCAAAAATCCACCAAAAACCCAATTTTGCTCGGATTTTGATAAAATTTACATTTTTGTAATCCCAGATACTTGTTTGATCATATCCAGTAGCAATCTCAACTTTTTTGAAATTTCCGAAATTTTCGGGCATTTTCGGGCTGATGAACTACTCGAAAAAATTCAAAATTTCAAAAAAGTTGAGATTGCTACTGGATATGATCAAACAAGTATCTGGGATTACAAAAATGTAAATTTTACCAAAATCCGAGCAAAATTGGATTTTTGGCGAGGGTTTGAACAAGTGAAAACAGGGCTTTTTTCGTGTTTTTGGCGCCTTTGAGTGGGTGTGGCGGGCGTAACTGTGGCCATGGAGTCAAACCACTTCAGGGTTTTGGTACACTCATAGGACCCTACCACATATCCAAAGCACATCAAGATCTGAGAGGGGCAGGTGGTGAAGCTCCCCTCCTAAGTAGATTAAATTCATTTTAAAAAAATGAAAATTTTTAATTGATTGCTTGGTTTTCTCTCAAAATTTATCATGAAACGTACATAAATATTGTTTGTCAAAAATTTCAAGTACATATTTTCGTGCTATAATAATTTTTCGACTGCGTGGTATAATTTTATTTCTTAAATAATCAAATCGAATTTATTCGTACTCATGCAATTCAAACCACTTTGTAGATAAATTATCCAACTCCAGGTAACAATGGCAGAATGGGTTTCAAAACTTGATACAAAACCCCGAGACCTTCACCGTCCAAAATTCCAAGGACATTTGTGAAAGGGTTCAAAAGTGTCGGCGTTTCAATCCCTAAGGCGCTCAGGATATTTAAAGTGTACTGCGGTGCGGCAGGTGGATCAGTACATGTTGTGAATTCGACAAAATTTACTGCATTCATGCCAAGATCTGCGACCATTTTGAGTACGAGGTCCTTCGCCCAAGGATCGGGGGTCCCCACGCTGTACAAAATCCAGTCCTGGGTCGCATTGTTGACGCACCGAACGGTGAGAGAGTGTTTCGTCCCGTCGCTCCACACGGTTGTCTGGAGGGTGTTTTCTGTCATATTTATATTGATTTAGAATGTAGAATATATGTATGCATTTGGGCAGAATAAACATCATTTATACTTACATACATATACATACATAAATGTGTGTAAATAATAAATAATAAGTAAATATATGCATACATGCTTAATTTCGAAATTGAATTGGAAACTTTACGTATTTCTACAATTTCTTAATGAAGATGTTAAATAATTTTAAACTACAGAAGTGCAAAAAAACTCCACCATAAATTCCACCCAAATTGTCAATACACAAGAAAGAATTTTGTTCATACGTTACGTCATTCTCGTGAATCATTCTCGTGAATAAGTAATATTTATCTGGTCGTGAGTACCCCCAATATGCCAATTCCGTATAATACATACTTCTGCCCACTAACCTTGATTGGCCGGATTCACTCCCTTGCTTTTTTGCAGCGTGTTCGTAAAAAGGAAGACACCAGGAGACGTGGTGTACGAAACATCCGGAAGTGCGTGGTCAATCCATACTTTTGTCTGCTTATAACCACTCTGGAGAGCCAGAGTTTCTACAAACATTATGTTGTAGCAAATACCGTTCACCGCTGCCCAATCGGGTGCTTGGGTGCCATTGTTGTAGGTCTCGTAGTACCTCAGGGCACATGACTTGCTCATCAAATAGGACACGTAGACTTGTGGCGTGGCGAACTGCAAAAATTGGAATATAATTTGAGCCCAAATGTGTGTTTGAGTAAGTGCATGATTTTGATTTTCTACAATTTACCAGGGGGAGGACACTCGAAAAGTTGTGGGCGGGTGGAGGTCGGGTACAAAGACCGTCCGAAAAATCGGCAACGTTTAGTGGATCTGCTGTGGCGAAAGACAGAATTGTCGCCAAAATGGCAACTATTAAAGATTTCATTGTCGTATGGAGGACTTTTTATATGTGCAAACTGCTATACCAATATTTGCATTTTGACTGACTGGACGGGTTTACTAACTCGGATTTATATTGTGTTGGACATTTCCAAATTTGTATAAAAATATAAAAAATGAATGACAGGTTGAACGAACCATAATCCAAGAAGATCAAAGGTTACTTTGTCTTTTCGTTTATGTCTACTTACATGTCTCGTGTATTATACAAAATGGTGTAAAAGACCAAAATAAGTACTTAAGGAACGAAACCCCGGGCATATTCACATCCAGTAAAAAAGGGTTAATCGTGCGAAGCTTAAATAAGGCAGATATGTAGTTATAAGTTGTAGAAAGGTGTCAACTGAAAAATAATGAATGTGGAGTATCGTCGTCGAAAGTATGAGTCTTCATGATTAAGGTTATTAATAGTTACAACCATTAGTTCAGGATCAGACTTGGTTTTGCTTATTAAGATTTATTATATTGTGTTCTATACATATTTAAGTTTTCCATGATAACTATGTGAACATGTACATATAGCAAAATATTAATCTAAACTGAATAAATAAATAGATATACCTATAAGTAGTCATAATTGATGATAATTAATCACTACGTAATTACAAAATACTCCAAAATGCTTAAATTATTAAAACAAATGTCTTGCATTTTGAGAATTTTGAGCATAAATCTTTGTCCAGGGTATTCATGACCAGGAAAATGATTTCAACATAGGACTTGGAGCCATAATGCTTTTAAATCTGGAACAAATAAGGTTTCCCATAAATGTCTTGGACATTCACAAAAGTACAATTCTTCCAGTTTTTAATATAGGACCCAGCCCATCACGCGTCTCATTTTGCTTTCTTGTGGAAGCATTTTGATCCATTTTCGCGATGCAACAATCACAACTCCAGTGATCACAATGGTTGCCCCAACTCCGCTAAAAAAATTAGACAATTGAATTAATACATTTCATCGCATCATGCATAAATCTATTCTTAATCTGTATACCTGAGAACATCTGGGACAACATTCAGGAATATGTACTGGAGAAAATAACCTATTCAAATATTACAATTAATTTTTCTCTCATAATTTCAACACTATTTCAATAATCCCTCTCACCAAAAACCACTTCGCAAGATCTCAGCAACGCCACAGGACCTGCTTCTTCAGACTTCAAGGCTAAGACGATTGCCACCTGTCCAAAAAATGCGCACGCAGCAAGCCCTCCAATCAAGAGCGATTTTTCCAGTCCCCTCGGGATGTCGAAGAAGCGTCCTGTTCCCCACGCCAATTCAAACCCTGCCGCTTGAACAACGCCAATCACTCCGAATACAATCAACATTATGGAAAAATCTAATTTTCGGATTTTTCTCGTAATAATTACAATGATGGAAGAGCAAATTAGTGCAGCGGCGGCGTAACTGGTTCCAATCTGTGGAAAAATCTTTAAAATTATCAATAGCCCACCACCAATTAGTTTTTTTCTCACCAGAGTGTCTCCATCAAATGAAGAATCTCCCATAAAAATTGGAGGCTTTGCAACAAGCACTAGGCCGCCTAACGTTGTAAACGTGACGATAACTAGAACCGCGCCACACTCCTCACCAAGAGAGATGCGAGCCATTAAAGCGACCAGGATTGGGGAAGCATACACAATGACTAGCATGTCCCCAACGCTGAGGTACTGAAGGGCGTAGTAGCGAAGTATCACTGCTGTGGAACCAATCAATCCACGACACTGCAAAATTGAGGATAAGGCTCAACATCATGGTAAAATAATATTTAGTCCAAATTACTCCATACTCACCAACAAGCCGACGCAGTTTTTCCAATTCCCATTTCTCCCAAGGGGCCAAAGCGTGCTGAAAATTCCACATTTTTCTTGATCGTCGAGATCTTCATAGTCGGAGTTTAAACACCTTTGCCTTCTACATGCACGACAAGCTCTGAATACAAGGATTGGGATCGAGGGCAGCAAAATCCCCACGTACCTGTGAATATGGCCAATTAAACAGATACATACTATTACATACATATATGAAGCCATAGAACATCACGTAATGTCACGAAGGAAGGTAAAAATTTGTATAAATAAATTATGAACAAATCCCAAAATTTAAAAAATACGAAAAATTATCTACCTCCAGAACGACGCTTCATAAGGTTCCACTCCCATCTCGGCCAACATTTTGACAAACAATGTAACCATTGAAAACAGAACGGAACCGAGAAGAATGCAAATCACGCCTCGAAACCTCTTCCATAATCCATTCCCCGTGGAAGAAGCCGTACTCCTGGACAAGTTCTCTTCATCATAAGTTCTTTTGTTCTTATCGGTGACATCGTCATTTTGGATGAGCTGACTGGTCGAGGCAGATACGGAATTTACCTCGTAGACTGAGACGGAATCGGGGTCAGTTATGTAGCTGAGGGAGTCATCGGAATTAATGGCATCTTGATCTACATAAGGTTTTTACAAATAAATTTATATTTAAATTTGCATAGTTCCTAATTAAATTTGAATATTAATTTTTCGAAACTGTGTGTATCACCTTCTGTAATTATGTAAGGGTTTGATCTTATGGGGAGACAAGTATCTGAAAAGTATCCGTTCATGTTGATTAAATTTCCGAAATTAATTCTATCGTATTTTAAATATAAAGTCAAAATTTCAAAAAACAATTTAATTTTCAATTAAAATTTGACAATTATATTTGACTTGTTGACATAGACAAGGTTGAAATGCTACTGTTCAGTCAAGTCCAGTGGCGTCCAGCGTTATCCAATTACTTCGAGTTTTAACTGCATGGTGAATAAATGGGCATACTGTACTTAACGTACATGCATATGTATCTAATCCTAAGTATGTACCTAGTTCTTGTCACCCAATTAATAATTACACGACGATTTGTCAATAATATTTACCCTAATTAACTTAAGACATTATTAATTAACCATAAATTAAGATTTCACAAACATGATTTTACGATTGTTTTGAACCTCCGAAATTGAGCATGGAAAATAAGTACAACATTTATCCAGGAAATGCGGACCCGCAGGGAAACCAGTCGCAATGGTATGCATCTTACCGACAAGAAAAAAATACAAAAAATTTACATTGCATCACAGAATACTACATGCAAAATTTTACCAAAATGTATGCAACTATGCAAGCAATTACTGATAATTACATGCGGATGTATCTACATGTTTACAGACACGCATCTGTAAATGGCTCCATATATCCGGCATAACATGTCAGGAAAAAATTGGGAACTGTTTTCGTCTTTGTCTATTAACATTGAATTTAGTAGTGCAAATTTCCCCATCATAAACACAAAATATTTTCAACATTGTCAATCGTGTTGATCAATTGAGTGAGTCTCAAAAATTTTTATCAAGTGGATAAATCGCTCATTCATACAAGTTAATTACCTGTCTCGCCGGGGTTCAAAATATTTTGACGCGAGCACAATTCATACAAAAGTGGTGACACGATGGCCATGTTTGGATGGAGTTTCCTGACCTTAGGTCAAGTCACATTAATTAATTGATGGACCCAATAGAAAGAATGTCGTCGATTTGAGGGGGGAGGAAGAAATAAGACCCCCATGTCAATTATAGCGTAAGTACATATGGGTCACTACGGTAGATGTTAAATTCTTGAATTGATTCTTGAATTCTTGAACAAAATAACATGTTTTATGTTTGGTCCCTAATTTTAGGATTTGTTTTGTGAAAATGGATTTTTTATGACTTAATTATTAACACGTTAAAAGACAAGGATTATGTGAAAGGAGAGACAAAAGACAATTCATAATTTATTTGAAGTAAGTATGTCACATTCACTATATGTTTTTTATCTACAAATGGATAAACTAATAATATTAGAAGGTAAGAAGCTTATTACAAGTTTATTATTTATATTAAAGACATATTACAAGTTTGTCATTAAAGGTATAAAGTATTGTCTCGTGGGTTAATATTTGCACTGTTTAGTAAAGAAGTATGTTTATTTTTGCATATTAAAGTGCTTTGTTTTATGTTTATCAATTATAAAATGCAAGACATCCTAAAAAGTATAGAAATGTAGGTAAACATATTTCTAGACATCTATAGATGCGTACTTGCATATTATGCAGATAGTGTCTTTCGCAAATTCCATACTAATTAAATTTGTAATAGATTGACACCAGCTTAATCAAAATCTGGAAGCATACCCTGGGAAACCTTCAGTGAATGCTAGATTTGTATTATATATATAAATTAAAAATTCATTCATACATAAGTCGTTAACAACTTTACTTGTATGTACTTATTTAATATCACTAGCAAATATGCACAAATTTGTATGTACTAGTATGTATTTATATATGTGTATGTGTTGCAAAAAAACGTACGTATTTATTATTATCTTATCTAGACTTTGACATGCTTTTTGCACACTTGGCCAAATTTATGTAGAATTCATCCCCACCTTTTATCAAGGTAACGATTTCTCTATCGTATGATTCTTCCTTAGATAGCATGCCACCTAAACATTCCGGCAGAATTGCTGGTGGCACGTGCTCATGAAGTCGGTCAAGATGGTTTGAATGAATGTAAATCTGTCAACATAAAAGATTAGAATATTTATGTATCGTGGTAATACATATTTTAAACAATTAATTACTCTGTCCTGTAATTTTTTGTCCAACAATGGTTTAAAAAAGCGGAGGACGCCGTGTAACAGGAGATTTTCGTTGACCAAATGCATCGCCTTCGGCCGACATGGAAGACATTTCTACATATTATTACGTTATATTTAATACATAACATTAGTAACATAATGAGTCATGAAATATAATCTTCATATTACAAAGAACATTTCAATCGCAAGAATACACATTCTCGGTGTCAATCTTCTCGCCTGATCGAAAGAAAATCCCTTTAAATCGAATATGAGAACGATTTCGTTACAGGTGGGAAAAACGCTTCGAATCCCTTCGTCCATGAAGAACACGGTTGTCGCGATCGCATCCTCGATTGACACTTGGGACGTATCCCACGCATCTAAATACAATTTTAATAATACTTTATTCCTTAATTTGGCAAAGTATTTAATCCATCCCGATTTTAAATTCTACAGAATTGTATGCATATGTTGAGTTTTGCGTATTTACATGTAAATTATAATTTACAGAAATTTGCGACGTACTGACATGTGCAACACCAACAACCCGTCCAAGGGGATCCTTCTCTTTTAAAATGTTGAAGACTCCCTTGTTCACCATAATTGCGGTTGACGGGCTGAAGGAATTTATGATATACTTGTACTTTACGCATCTCATTCGAATGAAATGTTCCAACTATGGAAATACACAAATATTAAATTCCAACAAATAGGCTTCATGAAAAAATGGTAAAAATATCGCGTGGCGTCTAACACATTTGATGGTATCATCAACCTTATACTTCTTCCCACGAAGGAATCCAATAAGAAATTTGTCATCCAAAACTTCACTGAATGGAGAAAGCTTGGAATTTTCTAAGTAATGTGTAAAATAATTATCTTTAATCACCAATTGTGCTCATTTTATCGGTACCTTTAATTTCGTCCTTTAACTGGTCCAAAATTTTGTTATGGTTTGCTTCCTGCATTGTAGAAAGTTGTTATGAAAACTAAAATTTGAATTTGTCCAAGTATTTGCGAGCTATGACAGCTGTTGACCATAGAAATAATTGGTCATGCCATGATTCCAAGTAATGTGCATATTATAGGTACATATGTATATATTGGCCATGCATGCATACGTGAATATGTACATATGTAGGTATGTACATATGACATAAAAATGTATGTATAAATACGCGACCTATGTAATCTCACACTTGACCATCAAAAGTATTTCCTTTCACTGTACCGCTTATATTCACTTGAATGAATTGAGTGATACAACTGCAATTAATTTAGATATCGATACTCTCGTACTTTGGCAATTCATTCGATAAAAAATCAATCAACACAACTGTATAAAGTTAGGTTTAACTCGTTTAGTTAATATGATACTATTTACATATACTTAGGGATGATATTATTAACGTTTATGTTTCTCCATGGGAATTTTGCTAATCATACTTTTACATAAGTATATACTACATAAGTATATACTATCCTATATACTATAAGTACATTAATCCATATCAATCCGAATCTGATCCTTCATTCCATACACATCCGATTCTGCGAATACTTGGAACATCCCAAACAACACGGAATCCGTAATATTTAAGTAGTCCTGCAAATTTCCATCTTCATTTCCATACTTTGTGAGGAGAAGATTCCTCAACATTCCGTAATCTCGGATATTTTCTCTGCAAAAAATATGACAGAGTAAAATTACAATTCGCGCATATTTATAATTGCAAAATAAATTAGCAATATTTGCACATTTTACTCACTTCAGCACGGCAACTTCCTCGTCAAGTACCACCTTAAAATCTGTCCCTTTCTGCACCCTCCACAAAATAATGCCGCCTTCCTCCTCCCCATTTCGGACATCCTTCTGCAAGCCTAACAAGTCATTTAAACTCGCAGAAATCTCATTTACAAGACCGCTAAACCGGAGAAAGATCGGATCTTCGGACACTCTCCCCGAGAGAATGCATTCCTTCAGCATTACCACAATTTCCATAAGTTGGGCCAAAGTTCCACCCTACACGTAACAAAAATTGTATTGGTATTGTAAAAAACTTATAATTTTTAAGGTTTTCTTATTTATTTATTTACCATTGAGCGGAAAAAACGGAACGTGTTGACAGAACAGTCTGAAATTTCACCATTTCTCGAAGAAAATCCGATCATCGCATTTGCAAACATTTTCTTCAAATAGTTCTTCCACTCCTCCGTCTTTCCACCGATGTCGAAAGTTTCGAAAGTTTCAAACACAAGGTCAGAAACTACGCCGAGGAACATGGACGCAAATTTGTTGTCGTGGATTTCTTCAAGTTTAAAAAATTCGGTTTGTGATTCATCACCTGAAATCCAAAACTCGTATTTTACAATTTTGCATTTTAAGGTTACTGGATTTTTTCGCGAATCAAAGCTTACCCAACAAATCGGCCCCCTGTCTAATTCCCTCTTGAAATATTTTGACCAAAAGTTGCACCCCATTTATGAACTCGTCGTCATCATGGTTTTCAAAAAGTTCTTTCCTATCAGCAAAAAAATCGATGAGAAGTGGAATAGCGGTGGATTTTACGACGCATTCGAATTCCGAAGAGTTCATGGAAAATTGGGGGCAGCAGAATTCCACGTATGCGGTGACATGTGATGCAATGATGGAGGCAGAACCTGGCCGAAATCTGGCAGGAAATTGATACTCTAACCATTCCGTGATTTTTTCTGTGATCGATGATCGCATTTCGGTGGAGATTAGTTTCTCTAAAGTGGGTTAAAAACATTAATATATATTGTATGAAAGAAATAATCAAACAAAGCTAAATATACAATGAGGGTATGTAGTTCATCCAGATGATTGTGACATGTGTAGCAAACTTTATATATTTACATACAGTAGATAACCCGTAAAATTACAAAGATTTACGAAATTTTGCAAAAATAGTAAAAAAAATAATCAATTGCAGTGTAAATCTATGCAGAAATAAAAAAAAATGTTAAATCGTTAAATGTTATGTTAAGTTTTATAAAACATTGTAATCTTACAAGATTTATGTACATACACAGTTTAGACAGTTACTGCATACGAGGGAATTTTGGGACATACGAGCGTGTAAAACTCAAAAAATAAAATTGCTCAAAATTGAAATGAGCAGAAATCTTTAAACATTATGATCTAGAATAATTTTCACAGACACTCACCAGATTCTGTGCCTTCTTTCCTATACAACTTTGGAAGAAAGAATGGAATTTGAAACTCGTATTTGTTCAGACTTTCCAAATTGAGTTTCATTTTATCCGTAAACTTATCAGAGATGGAATTCAGATTTATGGAGACATTTACTTGAACCATTTCCATTTTTGAGGATGTGCTATGCAAAATATTTTTCCAGTAGAAAACAAGTACTGAAAGCTCGAGATGATCTTACTCAAAAAACTTGAGAAACCCGACTGAACCAAATATCATGCTAATCACGATGTCTTTATCAACTTGTATTTCACCTGATCGTAAACATCTGAATCTGTCCATAATAATTTGTAGCACGTAGTCAGTTAATTAATGAAAATAGATACACAATAAATTGCGCAATGTTCTGAAAAATCCTAACAAAGATGGACTCGTCATTGCATCAAAGATATGTCTTTACATATGTACATATGGATTAATTGGCCATTACATATTTTGTTGACTTATTAAATAGAGTAGACTACGCGTTCATACCCATTGTACTTATCTCGCTAGTAAATGCAGACTTCATCTTTGTGCGTGTGATGAAAACTTGTTTACTGTTTTTAGCAAGGAACTGGTTTTTATTTTATTGGATTGCATTTGAAGAAGTACAATGTACACCAATTTTCGTCTCGACTTGAAAGATGAAGGTTTCATTTTCCGCCTCATTTGTTGTTGCAGGGCAGGAAATTTTATTGTTGTGACTGATTTTCATTAGCGTGTATTTATAACAATTTTTCCACTAGTACATGAATATGTAGCAGCGTCATATTGTCATGATTTCTTCCTCGATTGCAAAACCCAAGTGATTTCCCGTCTAATGTTTTGACTCGAATCTTGTAAAATTAGTCAATTCGAATTTTAATGCTAGTCAACAATATTTGTTCCTAAATACGTCATTACATATATTTACAAACTACTAAGAAATTTGTAAAAACTCCAGTCTTGCTATGTGGAAAATTGTTACGAAGTTTGACAACAACAATATAGTGGTTAAAATGTATAAAAGACGGCAATTCGCCATTGAAATCACTTAGCAAACCCTATAAGAAAATTACAATTGCACTTTTAACTAAAAGTTCCATTCTTATATTTATCAAAATGCCCCCACAGAAAGACGGTCTTTGTTACCCCACAGGTCACGACGGTGTGTTTGGCTCTCCCCCAAAGTTTGGGCACATTATCACCGCACAAAAACCCTCCCTTCCTGACGAGAATCACAATTACAACAAAAAATACGACGACATAATTCTCCAACCGTTCGACTACTATTTGCAACTCCCATCCAAAAATATCAGGAAGCGGATCGCAGATATTTTCAACTATTGGTACAAGTGCGAGCCCAACGAGCTGGACGAGATGAGCAAAGCGATGCAGGATTTACATAATGCGAGCTTAATGTAAGCCAAATTCTTGTGTGTATTTCTGAAAATATTTTTTAGCTGTTAAAAATGTCTCAAATTTCGAGTTAAGTTTTATACTAAATCCTTACTTTTCGTTTTTTCAGTTAATAAATTTTGCCAAATTTCTTAATTAAATTTTTGAGACCATTAAGATCTCAAAAAGTTTTTTTAACATTGCCCAATTTTTAAGCCGAGTCTATGATTTTTTGCGCTCAAATTGTAATCAAATTTGTAATTTAATTAGAATTGACGACATTGAAGATGGATCAGATCTTCGCCGCGGTAAACCCGCAGCTCATATCCGTTACGGATTACCGCTCTCTTTGAATGCCGCGAACTACGTCTACTTCGAGGCCATGAAACGTATCGTGGACGCCAAGGGACTTGGGGCTGGTCCAGAAGAGAAACTGAAAGCCGTGATGGACTTCATTAACGGTATGATGCTCATGCACGTGGGACAAGGGATGGAAATATTTTGGAGGGACGAAAACCTCAAACTTGATCATTCCGATGTGGCCAATATTTTCAAAAATATTCCGACAGAGGAAGAATATTTCAAAGTGATTGTGCAAAGTAATTTCTAAAATATGGGAACTTAATTTTTAGATTTTTATTTAATTTATGTTTCCTTTTGCAGAGACAGCCGAACAATTTTCAATGCTTGCTGACATGCTAAAAGACAGGAGCAACACGTTATACAAAGATAAGGCTGCCTTATCCACGTACGAGTTAGCACAAACCATGGGCTATCATTTCCAAATCAGGGATGATTTGCTTAACCTCATTTCAAACACGGTATAATTTTGCATAAAATTGAAAAAGTTATGTACATAATTGCAAATTCCATTATGCCGAATATTGCAATTTTATGTATAACTATTTTTGCAGTATGAAGCTGGAAAAGGCTACTGTGAAGATATTACGGAAGGAAAGTACAGCTTCCCCATCATTTATGCCCTCAATCAGTATAAAGATCAGGGCCCTGCTGGTTTGCAGAAGGCGTCTCGGCTTTTGCAAATTATGAGAATGCGCACCACCGATCTCGACTTAAAGAAGGAGGCATTTCAAATTATTCAAGAATCTGGAGCGTTCGAATATACGAAACGGATTTTGAGAGTGTACCACAAAAAGATTGGGAGAGAGGTCTTGAGACTTGGGGGAAATCCAGTTTTCAGGAAATATATTGACATCTTTTCCGAAGTGATGTAAAATATGGTGATGAGACACTTTTTTGGATGGCGTATTATGACAAGAAATGTTTCAAAGTATTAAAAACTGAATATTTAATTATAAATGGTACTTTATTAGGAGCGTTTACGACCACTCCAGAACCTACTGGCCAGTGGCTTGGAAATGGAAATACAATGTCGTAAAAAGAATAGAATTAAAAAATTAACTCAATTAATTAAAATAAATTTTTAATTAAAACCAGGAAATGTCATTATAAGTGTTAAAATTCCGTTGTTTTTCTTGGGTAAATAAAATTTACCTGAATTATTTTAGTTTGCATTTCGTCCATTTTTTGTTATAACTTATCTTAGCTAAAAAAAATTCGTAGTAATCTCATAATAAAGTACAATGGTAAATGAAGTGTAAGTATTCTAACGTTTTAAATTTGTAACATTAATAACTACGTACATAATATATTAAGAATCTTATTTGTAGTTATTAACCTGTCATCTAGATCTACATACGTAAATATTTATCCCAATTCTCGTACGTACATAATAAAATGTGCCGATATAAAAGGTTAAAAATAAGTATATACTAAAAAAATTAAACCTTTCTGTCAATTATTTACTGCATTGCACGTTTGGAAATTGATTTTTAAAATGAGTTTTCAACTTTGATGAAACTCGCCCCCTCACATTTAACATCGTAACCCTTGGATTAATGATATCACTGATAGCATCTCTGCAAGCCATAGCTTGCAAGCTTTCTTCCACCAAATTTCCCAACTCTAACGATCTCAGTTGCTTCAACCTTTGTCGAGAAAAGTCGTCAAAATGAAGACGAAAAGCTGGCAAGTCGAGAATAACTAATTTTTGCAAATTTGGCATTACTGGTAATGTCAGGAAAATCGACTCGTGAGTTCCATGATTCCATGGTGGTATGTTGCCCAGATGCAAATATGTAAGTGAATTTGCAACTCGGTTCAAAATTTGCGATATTTTTGTCATATCCCAATTTCCACCTCCGGTAAACTTAAAGAAGGTAAGATTCCATTTATTGTCCAGGCTTGGCAACCAATTTCCGGTCAGACTTAATCTCTCTAAATCAACTGCAGAATTTATCAAGCTTTGAAAATTATTCTGATAAGTTGTGCCTTGTCCAATTGTTTGTAAATTTAGGGAAGTAAGTCTTTTCCTTTGGGGGAGAGGAACACAGGGTTCTGCAACGCCTTGACCAGTTACGACAGAATCGAAAACATTCACTTGTAAATGTCTCAAATTTGGAAAGTTCCTACGATTCTGAAGGATTTTGCACAAGTCAAAAAGCATTTTTGTTTTGAGTGATATTTTGCTCAATTCTTGCACATATTCGCCACACTTGTTCATTATCAAATTCAGATTTTTGAAATCTTCACTATCAGCAAAATAATTTCTTGTCTCGGTCGATAGGCTGATGCATTTTGTCAATTTGGGATTCATTTCGGTATAAAATAGGCCAAACTGTGGGAATTTTGATCGAATTCGTAACTCGAGTTGGCCGTTTGAAAGGACAGCATCATTCCATTGGCGACAAACGAGTCGAACCTTTTTGGATGGGAGATGGATCAGAATTTTCTCCAAAATCTGAAATTAATTGCGACATTTTTAATTTTGGTAAAGTTTCACACTACAACAAATTGCTGTTCCTCGTGATAATAAGTGTGTGATTCTACAAGTGTGACGATAATGTTTGTCACAGACTAATGCTAAATAATATTTGTGTAGCTGCGACAGTTATTCATGAATCATTAATAACTGTCGCAGTCAAGATATGTTCAGCGAATAGGGTTCTAAATAAAACATCGTGTTTTTAAAAGGAATTTCAACATATATGTGCATATGTACATACATGCATACACACATATTTTTTGGATACGCATATTCATGTTGCCAGACGTAACTGTGCGTATTGTGTGCAATATTGCGTTATTCTTACTAGAACTGAACGAAATTTGGAAAATACTCACAAGTGGGTTGGATAAGGCTTCTTCCATTTTCACGGCAGATAATACTAAAATACAAAATGTTCAAAATAGTATTTAGTAAAAACTAGACTTACTAAAAGTTAGTTACATACATATTTACATACCTATTTAGTTTGAAACAGTTGATGTGCATACAATGATTTGTCTCGGTTTATAAATTAATTTGTAACTGACTAATATATTAAATACAGAATTAATTTACTGTTTCATAAAATTCACTTTGTTATGATGACAGTAAAACAGAAAAGTTGGACCAGCTTGTTGGAGAGGAAAAAACCAACTACCGTCAAATATGTACATTTCTACATATGTGCCCATATGTACATATCAGTAGGAATGCAACACTTGAATCATGTGTAATACACAGTGGGTGTACATATGTACATTTGCGTTGGTCTTACATGCATAAAGCTGGATCCATAAATAGTCCGTGATTTCACGATAATTTTCCTAGCTCGTAACGAATTTTTATTTATAGCATTGCTAGTTGGGAAAATTATCGTTAAATCACGAAATATGGATCCAGCTTAAGTGCCTGCCTAGGTACCTAGGTACCTAGGGGGGTATTCGGGTATTTAGTATGCAATGAGTTTGTGCAGTAAAACACTAAATGCTTAAATGCAGTTATGTAATGTATGTATCTGTATGTATGTAGGTACATAATAAAGTACATACAAACATGTAAAGAGTAAAGCGTAGTAAACCAATTTTATAGAATTTTTGTGTCGAATATATCTACATATGTATGTAAATATTCATATGGATAAGAGACATTGCTCGTAATATACATTAGTAGTAACCACACAAAGCATTGTGCAATGTGCATATGTATGTATTTACCTATTTACCTATTTACATATGTACCTATTTACTTGTTATTAAGTCCATGGAGTCACTTTTCAATTTTTGACCATCAGTAACAATGAGATTGTGTTAAGGTGTATGCAAGTAGCCATTGATTTGCTTAGCAATTCCGAAATGAATATATTTGTGTATGTATATACTAGAATACTCTATGAATATTATGTTTAAAATCGAATGTTATTTCCTAATGATAATTTTGAATGTTTCAAATCGTTATAAAATATCTTTCATAATTGTTCACAAACCAGACAAATTTTTATATTACTAATATGCAACTTTGTATGAATATAAGCACTCCCCCCGTTATGAGTGATTACTTACTTGAAGTAAACTCGACTACTTATGTAAGCATGGCATTTATGTAGTACACAATAATCGCGAAGGGATCGTATTGAACCATTTTCATAACAAAATACTCAATCACGAAAGTATTAAACTCGATATTTGTCAATTTATTATATAAATACATTGCGCAATACTCGAAGTATTTGATTGCTATTGTATTTTATTTTAAAGCAATTGGTCCCTTCCATCTTACTCACTGGGAGAGGCCGACATTTCAAATCCTGTTGACATTCATGAATAAATACTTTCTTAATAATAACCTTTGGCAACATAATACATATTTACGTATGTACATATCCACATATGCATGTATTTACATACATACCTGCATATGTATGTATGCATTTTGTTTATACTCAAATAATAAATATGCTTTATAAATATGACTAGTAGTACATAAATAGTGTATGTAAGATTGAGCAAGTCCAGTCAATTTGAACTCGAATATAAGTAAACTACATGCATAATCTTAGGTAACCCTTCGTTACGTTTAAATATTTTATTTTGTCCTTGGTATCATCATAAAGACAAACATTTCAATTCTAGGCATCACAACAACAGATTACAATCTTTGGCCTATATTAAAAGACCCATTTATATAAGTAAAATGGGTCAATTAATGTTTGAAATAGTCGAGTTTTACTGCAAAGTTTACAAACATTTGCCCCCGCTGCCAATCACTTTTGATGTAAAAAACCAAAGATTTCACGCTTTTAAGAATCTGAGAGGCTTATCTGGATATATATTTTCCTGTGGTATTCTAATCGGAGTGTGCTCCTTGAGTCCAAAACTTCTTCAGGTTGGTTACATCCTCCTCCGTACTTTTCAACTTGGCCATTTCCCATTCGTCAAGGAGGAACATTTCGTTTCACCATTGCAAATTGCATCAGTCTGCGTGGTATGCCTTGCCTCTGGATTTACCGTTCTCGTGGCAGGAATCTCTTATCATATAAGAACAAGGAGTACAAATCTGCTCAATGGGATTATCTCGCTAGAGAAGTACTGGCAACCTCAAGGTCAGTTTAGATTCTAAATTATTTAGATACAAACTACTACATAATTTACTGTTCGTTCAAAAAAATAGAGACAAGAAGTATTAAAGCAACTCTGCCAGATAAGCTTTAAGAATTTTTTGTCCATGGTTTTTTTTGAACGAACAATAATTTATCATCTTTTTTAGTGCACCGACAAAAAACTCGACGGGGTACAATTCACAATGTCCCCGCTGATAGGAAACAAAAGGGCTCATCATTACCTTTCACCTTCTCAGAGTGACCCCGCTATTCGCTGTCTACATGTCTCCAGCCCTGGCACTGTTTGCCATGTACCATGAGATAGACCCCATCCATTTTGCCCTGCACTGGTTGCCCCTTCACCTCTTGCCCACCCTGGTAAGATATGGGATTCGGCTTGTGTCTCTTGTGCTTCTCACCATGGCGGGCATCGTGATAGGTCAGGTTCTCCTTGGAATGGGCTACATGATCATCATGGCCGTCTGGACGTGTCGAGAAGTTATCCATCTCATGGATTCCGAGCAACGGCGAGGGGCACGTGTCGGATGGAGGGGTGTGGATCAAATGTAAATTTTTGATTCTACTGTTCAGCCAATATTATGTAGTCGTAGTTAGATTTGTGATGCAAACGTGCAAACGCGTTTGCCGGGAAAGCGAGGAGGAAATTTTTGATCTTTGATCTGCAGTTTTGAACGTTTCCGGGAATTTTTGAGGATTTTTAGGGTGGGTCTGTTTTTTACGGGTGGTGAGACTTTTCCGAGATTTTCTTCCCCCCGTTTTCGGGGAATAAAGCAGAAATCCAACCCACGATATTAGTAGTCGCAATTAATACTTGGAAAATTTTGTAAGGCGTTATTTGGTTTTTAGAAAATATTTAGTACAAAATAATTTGCTAGGAAACCTTTCAAATTTTTTTCAGACTGTTAATATTGGCTGTTTAATAGTATGATTTTTAAAACAACCGAAATCGTTAACTTAACTATACCAAACCATGATAAAAATTCCTGAACAAAAATTCGAAATTGCATGCATCCATCTTTTTGTAGGCGATTGGTCATCCAGTACAACCGACTAGTCATTTTAATATCCGAGAGCGAATCTGGACTAGCATTAGGAATCCTGCTCGTCTTGGGAGGAAGTTTTCTTGTCATCGTTATGTGCAACGTCATGACCATAACAATGTACGAATTATACCCCATCCACGTGTACATATTGGCCCCCCTTTTTTCCGGAATTATGGTGTGCGTGGTGAACGTGGTGTGGAAATATGTCGCTCAAGTGGAATTGATTTCGCGGGAAATGTTGCGTCGCTGGAGGAACGACTATAAACTTGTGGCTAGTGGGACGATGCCAGAAATTGGGCGAAGGGTGGGGGCAATGAGGTCCATTTTGCTGTACATGGGAATGTTTGACTTTAGATGGTTCCCAGTGGATATGGAGACACAGTGCAATTATAATGCGGCCATCATCGAGAGGACGATTAGTTTCTTACTCGCGTTGAAAAATTGATCCAGTATTGGGAAATCTAAGCTTTGCTAATTACTGTTAAGAATCCTTTATTAATCTGGTGCTGTGTACAAAAATGCTTACTTATTTTCATGTAATATAAGCAATAAATAAAGTAGTCCAAACTTCCCTTAACCATGGTTTGCACCATTTTTCTTAAAAAATATCAAAAGCCTTCCCGTATATCTCAAAATTGCCATTACAATCTGCACCGTTGTTATCCGCTGAACCGTAAAGAATTTCGATATTTTCACCCCACTTGGTCTTGCCGACTTCAGCATCTTTTTCAAATGTGCAGAAATCCGTTGATTCTTCCACAATCGCGTTGCTCGAGTGTATTCCGTCAGAATTTTGGCACTAATGTTAGAAGCAGTAATTAAGAATATCGTACAAAATAATGAAGTCGCCGCGACTAGGATTTTTGTGACGAGAAAAGTCACGATATCGAAGCTGGTCAGATGTGTCATTATAATAATGGTGCAATTACAGCACACTACCATAATTACGTTAATTGTGAACGTGGTTGGAATTGTGTTCCCTTTGGTTAAATTGTTTAACCTTTGTTGCAACAATTGGATGACTCGAAGCGTCTTGAGAGCATTTTCTGGCTTACGGGTGGCTGAAATTGTCAATTTTGAAGATACATTTCCAGGTCTGAAAGTAGTATGATAAATTAATTTTAAAAATCTTTAAAAAAATAAGTTTCATAATTGTGCATTACATTTTGAATATCACCTTATTTGCATAAATCTTACAGTGTCAATTTTGGCAAAATCTAATGCTTCCAAACAATAATGCTTAATTTCGCGAATGTATAAAAATATGCAAACCAGTGACGGATTTTTTAACAGATTTGTATAAGTACCTGATTTCTCGCAGGACCACGCTCATTTGACATAATTGCGGAATCAACAACATACTCGAGTTTATGATCATTACCACGGCACAAGTGTAAATCCAAGTATGTACACCAGTCAAGACAAGAAAGAGCAAATTCGCTAAAAAACCACCACTATTCAGATAAGATAAAAACATCGAACTGAGAAATACTTTAAGATCGGGGATGCGCATTGCAAAAATTGGCAACCCGACCAAAGATGTAATCGGTGATCCATAGATAAACATTTTCATCCATGGTTCGAATCCGCAATTAAATCCTCCACTTTTCAAGATATCTCTTCTGCAAAACTGGGCTGCAAAAAAATCAAAAGTTAATTTATGTATGTAAATTTAAACGATTTTCTCACCTGCAAAACTTTGATGGTACGAAAACGCATCGTTAAATTGCCCCATTATTTCGTCTCCTGACAGCATAAATTGTATGCAACCCACCAATGAGGATAGTACAATTACCGACACTCCTATAAAGTGCATGATACCACGCAGGAAGGCTAGACTGTGTTTCTCCTTGCAAGTGGCGGGGAATTGAAAAACGACGTATATATTGTACGCAATGAAAACGGATGAATTGAAGTAAAATTTCAACAAAGATTTTCGCCCAACTAACATGACTTTGTCAGCCCCACCGCCATCCTCCCACGGAACGCAGGATAGTAAAGAAGACATCCGTAGCAGCAGTTTAGTCAGGCTTTGGGTTGTTTTGGAGATCATTTTTCTGTGAATGTTTCCCAGGTGCAGGTAGAATTCGACACTGTGAAGGATGATGTGAATTATTCAAATTTAGAACGCACTAACCATGACCTTAGGAATTTTTGGGATTGCATATAAAGACCCAATTAAATGACTTACTTTTCGATGGAAAACGCAACTATTTGCGATAACTTGATTGTAATTCCATAGCGAATGTCAGGTTAATTAGGGCATGGCTCCAGGGTTTTTAAAAACCTATATGATTGGATAATTGGAACTGAAATCATCCAGTGGTGGTCAAGTTTATTCTAAATTTCCGTAGTTGAGTAGAATGTTTTGGGGAAAAACTTTAATTAAAAGGATATCGAGTTTCATAACTTAAAAGTTACGTCAATTTTGAACCTAGTTTAAATTTTTGCATGTCCAATGCAAAATGTGTCACATTCAAACAGTTGTAAACATAGAAGACCCAGTGCTTACGTAATGTAATTATATAGGTTACATAAACCTGTCATCGATTTTCTAGGAATTTCGACCTCGTCCTCACAGGGGTGGCCCATTTGAATTAACATGGGATAGGATATCTTGATGTCTACCCCCCTCAAATCGATCATACATACTTATTTTGGTTTATACATAGTGCTTAAAACTGGTTAAAGCTTGCCTGTATACACAATCATTATTATTGACATTTACATATGAACTATTATATATATAACTCGTTGGTATTGATGACCTTTACAGATACGTATTTATGTAAGTAATCCGAACCTCTGATTCTCCCAATGTCTGCAACAATGCTTTGTGATGATTGCACTGTTTTTTGTATTCCTGTGCTATATAAATAAGTTATAAGCATATGTATTTACATGTTTGACACAACGCCAGGAGACAAATGTTGAAAGGGTTTGACCCCCTTTTGAAGGAAAATGATATTTTGTTGGAAATGGTGTGGGATGACGGACAGGATAGACCTTTCCGATATTTCGCTTGTGACGGTGATGCAATAAAAAGTATCCAATAATTACATACGCATTCTTTTTCATCTTTATTTTACACATAATACATGATACAAACATATGTGGAATCTACATGGTAAATACATACATGACCTGTATGCACATGTAAGTATGTGCATATAGTTTTTCATATATATATGTACATGTAGATATTTAATTTAGGAGATCAACGGAAATTTATACGTCTAACTATATTATGGACTTCACACTGGTTTAGAAATTAATTTCATAAAAAAGATTTTCAATTCTTCAAATGTAGGCCTCAAGTTTGGATCCAGTTGCCAGCATTTGGTCATCAATTCATATCTAAAAAAAATTATACCAAAAATAATAAATATTGTAAAATTTTTGTCACAATGCAGTATGCATTTCAATCTGTGAAATGAACTATTTATTTATGCATACATTTTTTGCAAAACATTTTGCTCACTATTTTTCAAAACTATTACCTTGGTAAGTAGGTAACCACGTAAACTTACGAAGATCAGCTTGCTTACTATACAAACCAAAAACTTTTACCTTTTACTCGCAAGGTTTTGTAAGTTCGTAAGCAAAAATTGCCTTTGAGATCTTCGCAAGCTTCGAAAAAAAGTTTTTCATGGTTACCGACTTATGAAGACTGACGTGAATTGCATCATTAAAAATGTTCAATTTCTGGTGAATATTTTGCACATACGTAGCATCAGATTTAATGTAAGCGTCGCGTACAAAATGTCAAAATATTGAATTATTTACATTTCGTTCGATGCATATGGCGGTTGTGGGAGGGTGAGTTGGCCAGTTTTAAGGAGCTGAACGAAATCCTGCGAGAAGGTCTCGAGCGCGAATGGTGTCCCACCACAGGTGAAGTACTCCCAAAGCGTGACCCCATACGCCCAAACGTCCGACTGTGTAGAAAAGTTGAGATGGACCAAACTTTCTAGAGCCATCCACCTTTGGAGTTACGTTTATTATTTAGTCTTAGTAATATGCTAATTAAAGCGCATAAAATGTGAGTACAATACCTCCACGGGAGAGGCTCCTAGATAAATAGGTAAATATTAATAAAATTAAGCACATGTGAAACGAATATAGAAGCTATTCATCCCTCAATTAAAATCTATCACGTCGCATGTGACAACAACCCTTAGAAAAGAGTATTGCTTACGTCGCTGTTTTTGACGTAAGTCGTGTACTTGTAGAGTTGTCTGCTGAGCCCGAAATCTGCGATTTTAACGTCAAGGTTAGCAGTCAGTAAGACATTTCTAGCCGCCAAGTCACCGTGAATTACCTAGAAATATTTATAAGTAATAGAAACTAAAACAAATGTCAAGAGAGTGGATTTACATATTCTAAAGAATTGTGTAATACTTTTCTGCTGGAAATGAACTGCATCCCATCTGCGGTCTGCTTTGACCACTTGATCAAGTCGAGTACCGTTGGACCTCCAACCCCAGCAGTGGACACATAAGGGCAAAGGTTTTTCATTTCGAGGATTTTAATTGGGTCGACACAATCGATAAATATTCCCCGATTAGCCCTGAGAATAAATCAAAATAATCAAAATATCTGTGTATTGGTAAATTTTGGACGATTACGAATATTTACGAATATTTGTAGTGAAGCCTTCTAACAAAAAATAGAAGCGGGCACTGACTTGGGTTAAATCAACTGTGCATAAACAGTATTTTTTCCATAGCAACCCATACAAAATTTGGTCATCTTTTAATGCACAAATCATAATTGACCGCCGTATTAGTCATAAAGTCTCTCATGTATATCAACGCTGTGACATTTATACAAAAAAATTGACATAACATGGTAATATAAATCCCTACCTAAGATAATTCATGACACAGCCATACGGACAGAACTCGACGACGACGTATATATTTCCTGAAAATTAAAAGTCTAACTTTGTACTTATTTTAATATTCCTAAGTTAGTCTTAATTGATCTCAGAAAGTATATTATAATACCAGTACACACATCTACTTACTTTGTTTCAAATTTCCGGTGCAAGCTCCAATTAGATTTACAACGTTTTCATGCTTCCCAATATAGCTGAGAATCTTTACTTCTATTAACAATGCTCTGAAGCAGATCTCATCACAATTTTCAGAGTTTACTGTCTTTACTGCGACTACATCAGTAATTTCAGGGTTGTCCTTATTCTTTAAAGTGGCCTTCAAAACGGTTCCGAACGCTCCTTTTCCGAGCGGAAAATTCTCTTCGAGCACAATTCGATCTGGCGTTATTTCAAAGTCAGGCTTGTAGGGGCGACTCGTAAAATCTGACGATGGCGAATCTGGCGCTTCAGCATCATCCTCCTCGTCAACTAGGACGATGCCTCCCCTCGCGGTACTGGCGCCCTTGAAAAATTCTTCAACCTCATTATCCGACAACTCCCGTAATGCCCGGTTCAAAACTCCGCAGGATTTCAGCTCCATATAGAAACAAGCAACGATCCAGAAGGCGTAAACTTTGTAAATGATAAACGACCAGATTGCCATATTGGTGTAAATGTCTAAGTAAGTGACTGGTGAGTAGAACCCGGACATTGCAAGCCAAACGGCTTCTACGCAGTAGAGGGTGAGCCAAATGAAATATGATGGAATTGTGGTTATCAGCCAGATCCTTAGTTGTGCCCGGTTTCTCTGAAATCATACGAAACATTAATTGGATTTAGCCTAAAGTCGCTGATTTTCTCAAAGATGCGATCAAACGGATAACCTTGGTTGCCATGTTGTACAGGAATTTGGAGTAGACGCAGTTCGTGAACATGAAAAAGTAAGAATATCCCCAAAATGTGCACGTCACTGCAAATACAAATACTAAACTGGTCGAATCACAGCTATAGAAATAGTGTAATTTATGTAATTATAAGTATCAATGAACATCGCACCAAAACGAGTTTGAGTCAGCAAAGACTGGTCATTTGTGATCTGGTCCGTATTAACGTTTCCACTATTTGCAGTATCCCAGTAATATGGCGACACAGCGACAATACGCGACGAAAGTAGCAACGCCAGGAGCAAGTTACTTCCCTGAAATAATTTCAAAATGTAATTTCTCCGAAATTTAATAACAAAAACAAATTTATGGTTTTCATGCGGGGACGCAGGTTGATAAATGATAAATTATGTAATAGATTTACATATTTATTATGTATTTTCTGCGCGATTACTAAAACAATTTTTACCCCGATCCACGACCCGAGAATTAGTGATTCTAGAAATTTTGAACCATGAACTTGACCACCAACAAGGTGACCTTGACCTACTGGTCTTAATAACGATACAACTTATATCACATACATACATGGGCTTGAAACCCATCACCTTGCTGCTTTTCGAAAGTAAGTAAGCACTTAATTATCGGCTCTGACTGTGCAAAGTCTGCATTATAAATTTTTCATACCACATTTATGATGGCCAAAGCTTTAATGGCTCCTTGAAGAAAGATGCCACAACACGGCTTGACCGGGCACCACGACGGATACCTGTTCGTTCTTCTCGTCATTCTTTCGTAAAGCACGGAATGAAAACTACTTATTTACTTAATTTAAGTTATCACAATGCAGGCAAAGTCTTAATTGAATTGAGTATCAAGTAACGCGACTATTATATAATCTGGGTAATAATAATGATCTCCAACCTTAACCAATATCCAAAGTCAAAAGTCAACTGCACAATGCACCTGTTTGTATGTAAGTATTAAACTTGGATTGGAGTGAATCACTACATTTGTCGTTTACAAATCATGTATATACATACTTAATCTGTGTTTAACCTTGTTTTGTTATCTCCCCGTTTTTGGATATAACGATAATCAACGTATATTTATGTATATGTATTTGTCACTAATTTCTGCGTCAATAGATCAATCACAGGATAACCGACAGGCGTCATATTCACAAGTCGGTTGATCAAGTACACATTTGATCAGCAGTCGTAAAAAAATATGGGATGATTTATTGATTTGCAATACGAAGAAATTGTCTCTGCGCATACAGAAGTTATAAAAATATGGGCTGATTTTATCAATTATTGCCATGATCATGACAATGATCTCATCAAAGGTATTAATAAATCAGTATTTATATATTCAATTTCCGAAAAAATAATGAAACATATTCAATAAATGGAGGAACATGGAATTTAATGTTCGTACATGTATTTTTTCAGCAACTTGAGGACCACAATGCAAAAATTCATAAGGCTTTGATCAATAATGATAAGGTTAAGCCTTGTGTAATTTTATGTTTTACAAGACTAGGGTTTTATAAATTAACGCGTTTCGAGATTATTGCATACATATCAGTTTTATGTAAAATTTGCACTAAAAATAAACATATAGGATTATGGTGCATAATTTATGGACAAAACTGTTTGATTACGGCATAATTATTATTTTTAAGGTGAAAAACCATAGTGAAAAACTCACTAAAAAGTGAGATTATGCAAATGAGGTGACATTTCACCGTATGTACAGACAGTTGTATACTTACTTATGTAGGAATACGTAGTTATGTAAGTGGAGTTCGTAGAACTCATGAAATGAACATAAGTACATGAGTAAAACTCCGGAATTAATGTTTTTGGACGTAAACTTATTTAATATGGAATTTTAAACGCCGGATAACAAAAGCATAGCGTAAAACAAAGTCATTCTAATTACAAGGTAGAGGATCATCCAGACTATTAACGTTAAACTTATAGTAACAACGATACATCCATGTCAACAATGTTAGGGACATTAAGAAATATGTAGGTAAATTATTTTGCTCTATTTTAATTTAAAACTTTTAAATACAACTACTTTACCATTTTACACCAAACAGATAGATTAAAGTTCGAATAATCTCATCTATAAAAATTTCTCCTCACTTTTACTTACAAAGTAAATTGATTTCACCGAGGCAGTACTTACAATTAAAGAAAATACTAACCAAACATATTGATATCGACTCCCCAGACTGCCAATCCGTCCACTATCACGGATCCCATTAAATTATTATCAGTCCCACCTCCACCCACACTAGCAGATGATGGTCCTAAATCCGTCTTCTTTTTAGGTTTGCTGACCTTCCACGTCTTGCTGTGCTTCCTCAAACCACCCACCATAATGCGGTGGTGACCTCTTATATGCCACGTAAGCATCGTGCTGTCTGCATACCCAGCTCCACAATGTGTGCACGTGTACTTGGGTCCGTCTCCAGTATGAAGTTGACGGATGTGCCAACGCAACAAAGCCTTGGTGGGGAAGCACTTCCCACAGGTTCCACATTTGTTCGGGGTCTCCTTCTCGTAGTCCGTGTTATGAATCCTGATCATGTGGATAGAGAGAGTACCTCTTTTTCGGTACCTGTTTCCACAGGTGGGGCAAGCATATTTGCGTAGGTCCGTGTGGGTGAAGGCGTGACTAGCGAGAGCAGACTTTGAGATGAACGCTGTATCGCAAATCTAACCAAAAAAAGAAGTACAGTTAGGTAATACACGGTGTTTTTGAATTTGTGTCAATAATGGTAACTTCCTTACATCACATTTGAACAGTTTTTCTCCGTGGGAGCGTTGATGATTTTTCAACGCGTGCATGGAAGGGTAGGTGCCCCCACTAGAAATAAATAAGGACATCAAAAATCATAAAAATTTATTTATAAGGTAGGAATATTCGTGTGCATGTAAACTATGTACCACTCGTCACAAATTAAGGGTACGTCTCCATGCTCCTTGACCCGGTGGGCCTTCATGGTGTAGATTGTTTTGAACTTGGCGTCACATGATGTACAAGGAACGTCCTTTTTAACATGTACTTTGCCTGCGTGTCGATCTAAATGTGCCTTAAGCGAGGCCGGTGTAGCGACAAGTTTTGGGCAGATATGACATTGAAGTAACGGTCGGGTCTCATGCACGCGGAAAATGTGTCCTTGTCTGGTGGCCGCATCGATGAAGGCTTCCCGACAGTGGGGGCATTTGTATGGTCGCTCACCGGTGTGGAGGCGTTTGTGTCTGGAAAATTTAAACATGTAAATTTAACAATATAATTTAATGTGGTAAATTAACATATATAATTTAACGAATTTGCATACATAACTTCATTACCTAATTAATCCTGCTCGCGAAATGCACTTGTAGTCACACACATCACAGTGGTGCGAATCTACATGAGTTTTTTTATGTTTGTCGAAAATCTCGAGGGTGGAGAATCGAGAATCGCACACCTCACAAAGAAATGGTCTTGTCTCCTCGACCTTGTGAAGTTTGACGTGCCGCTGGTAGTTGTACTCTAGGCTGAACTTTTTCTCGCACTGGGGACACTGGTAGATCTTCTCACCAGTTTCGTGTTTCATGTACAAGTGTGAATCGAGGGCGTTTTGTCTTCGAAAGCATGCCTTTTCACAATACGGACAATTATATGGCCTCGACGTATCATGGGCTTCTTTCGCATGGGCGTTTTGAACAGCGGTGGAGCAGTAGAAAAAGGGACAGAGAGGACACGGTTTCTTACGCGACAAATGGTTGTTGAGGGTCTCCTCCGAGGACCAAAAGAAGTTACATATTGTGCATTTCCACGGGGTGCGAATATTTCTCGTATTCTTGGAGGCAAAGTTGCGAAAATCTTTATCAACATCGTCGGGTTCGTCGTCATCCGAGGATTCCTTCGTCTCGAAGAATTCCTTCACGTCTTTCGACATTTTAGACTTTGCAGACCGCTTTAGACGACGACCGCTTCGTGTATTTGCACAATCTGGATCAGAGTCGTCGTCTTTATTTGTGTCAAGTTCTTCTTTGTTGGCGGTATCTTTATTATTGACGAGTGGTTTTCGTTTCTTGCCTCGTATTGGGGGTCGTGCAGGGGCTCGTACTGTATATTTAAGGTCCTCGTCGTCATCAGAGTCTTCCTTATCTTCGAAAAAGTCCTTCAGATTTTGCGTAGATTTTGTGGATCGCGCCGAGCGACGACGAGGTGGTGGTTTGTATTCTAATCTTGTACTAGTTTTCCTGAGAACGGAAGTTCTATATCTTGACGAGCTGTATGTAATTGATATACGCAAATTAAGAAAATTATTTAGTAGGAAATAACTATATGTTGATTAAAATATTCTAAACCTGTCTGGCGACGAAGGTGGAGAAGCAGGAGGAGATTCTCTTTTTGGGACACGAACCCTTGTGAGAATAAGATCTGGCATAATACAAAAACTGGACTCTGGATCAGAAGAGTTCGCTTGTTCTACTTTATGTTGGTGATCCGCTGGGGGAGAAAACGGGCTGCCATCATCCAAGAAGTCATTGTCACTCTCTTCGCGTTCCTCCTTAACTAGAAAATTCTCCACCGGAACATTGTTGGATTGCTTCCCGTCTAAATTGGTAAATTGCAAATGCAAACAAACTGAGATAGGAAATTACTTATTATGATATGACAAAAGTGAAAAGTGTGAGCGACATACCCAAGAAGGAATTTCTAATCGATAAAATTCTGTCAAATTCTCCGTCCTCTATAATTCCACCAGTTTTTACGTCAGAGTCCAAAATTGTGGTCTTAATCGAATCCACTTTATCACGAAGGCGAGCCTCCAAGTTAGAAATCTGGTCTCGAATTTCCTCCGCCTCTTGAGTCCACAAAGAACATCCTGAACAAAGAGAGCAGATCTCGTGTTCTTCATACTTCTTATTGTTAGCATTCTGCTGGGACAAATACGGACGAAACAATTCGTACAAGTCCAAAATTCGTATCTTTCTCGGCTTATTTTTATTTTTCAAATTAGTCAATTTGGTTCGCGACGAGTGAGAATTGTCGTCGACGAGCTTTAGACACAGCAAGCAAATTGAATCAGGCATGATATGATCGCCCTGAAATACAATAATTAACCATTTTAAATTTAAGAAACAAATTTGCAAGATCTATAATCAAGTTTAGACCATCAGTTAGATAGAGAGTACTTAATTCTCACCTGTTAATTTCGTGGGGACATAAGGACCTCTAAGTTTACTATGGCTTACAATAACTGAGAATTGCGTGGAATTGAAGTTTGCAAGTAAAGTTAATGGAATTAAAGTTCTAAATTAATTAAATGTTAAATGATGAATGTGTTTGTGCAATTGTGCTGCACAACTTGCGGAAGTGAAAATTGGAACATTTTTCGCTCCAACTTTCTGCCTTTCATTGGTTGGTGGCGGAGTCGAGTAAATCTTGTTCTTTGTTCATGAATGAAATGTTTGCATGGAATATTTTGTATTCACAGATTGAAAACAAAAATTGTGGAGAACTTTCAATTATATGGAAATATGCGATTGTCAATTGGAAACAACTACATATTCGGAACATGTATTTTCCAGGTTAGAGGAGGAGGGGGGATTACGATAAATTTAAAATTAGTATTGAAATGCATATACATACGTAAGGAATATTCAGGAAATAATATTTCATCGAAGTGACTTGTAACTACAGGTTTTCATTTTCAAAGGTCAGACTGATAACCACTGCTATTGCAACGAAGGCCATTTTTCGCCTGCATTTTCCATCTCAATTTATCACATATTTATTTAGTTCCTATTGTATTTGACTTTTAGGCCAAAAATAAAATGAAAATTCTGATTAAAAATGTAATACATTTCTTTCACTTACCTAAATATTCATAAATGGTTTAATTTGTTCCCTACTCATTGTATAACTTACATAAGTACCTAATTTTCAGCCTAGATAACTTTTTTCATCAATACTAAAGTATGCAAATTTTTTAACCCACTTATCGAATCAGACATTTTCATTCCAACCGCCCCTTTACTATTGATTGGAAGATAGAAGTATGTATTAAGTATATACATTTACTTGTGTCGTCCAGTCCTTAACTATAGTCTTCTCCTTTCTGCATTTCTCTGACATTTACAAACATGATTTCCAACTTTTCCCAACAAATGTTCCGCAAGCTGCTGAAAATATCATCGTACTTTTACTGCATTCCTTGGGAGGCTGGAAAACAGGAGAAATTCCTAGTACGGAAGAAATCTTTGGCAAAATTTTACATCAACACTGCAATATTTCTGTGTCATCATGTCTTTATCGTTGCACGTTTTCCCATCAGTCTGCATAGTGATCATCCGCTTGCCTTTCTTCGCTTAACAATTCATATGCTTGGGGTAGCGTTTGTCATTGCGACGTCGACTTGTGGTTCTTTGGAGCTTGTGTTTTGTAGCGATAAAATCATGGAACAATACAACGTGGCGTTCTTGTATCATCAAAAATTCGCAGGTTAGAATAAATACATATGCACATAAACTATCATCCGCATTAACGCACTATTTGTCTCAAAAAATGGCATAGTTCATTAAGTTCATACTTTACAAAACTTGATGAAACAAATACATGAATAAAGTAGACAACTCTCTGCGATGATTGTAAACAAAAAACTGTAATAATTTTTCAAAATATTGTACAAAGAACAAATCTTCTCTGGAGAAGATAAAATGGCTTATATAGATATTGGAAACGTTTGAGAAATAAGCTTCAATTTAATTAATTAATGTCAGGGTGGGTTAACCTTTTTGTTTTATTAGTTTCCATAATTTACATAATGGTATATATCTATATATATACCTACATATATATAAATATATGGAATTGAGGATATGGTTTGAATATGTATGTAGCTCGCACAGCAAAGTAAATACTTAATTATGTATCGTAGAAATAGAATTCTATTTCTACGATACATAATAAGTATTATGTAATACTTATTGTTTATCAATTTACGAACTAGGAATTTTTAAGCACTATGTCATGCAAATACATGGTAAAAATTTTTACGCCCAAATACATCAAGCTGAAATTAAAAGAACGAAATATTCTAACCGTTAATTTTTATAATTTTTTGCAAATACTTTTGTCCTTGGATCAGCTCAAAACGTTTATCTATGTTCTTTTAGTATGCGGTGGAGTTTTGTTTACACAAGTCAAGTTGGCACAAATTACATATCTACATAAATAAGTGCATCATAAGACAAATAGTGAATAGTTTTACATAGAAATTTTAAATTTCGAGTACTATACCGTGTCTCATGGAAAGTTAGACAATGATCCGTGACCTGTGGAGTTCGACCTGGTTGGAATATTTCTATACAGTCTTCGGTGCAGGGTAGGTGGTAATCATACCAACCAGTTTTTGTCGCGGAGGATTGGTCACATCCCCTTCTAGCCCTCCAATTTGAATTTCCGTAACAACCCTCGAATTTGCGATTTTCACTCGCTTTTCAAATGGTCTTGCTGATTTTTTACCGCTAGCATTTGAATACTCTAACCTATTCCGCATTGCGGTTTAGGTTAGAGTATATAGTTTTGCAAAAAAGCTTAAAACTTTTCGATTGGTCACAATTGAGAGGCATTTGAGGGGTTGTCTTTTTAAAGGACAAAATCGATTCCTTCAGCCCGTAAGTGCGCGATACAAACTTTAGCGCAATGGCAGGTTGGGAGGTCCGGCAAAAATAAAATTTCATTCAGGTTATGCAGTTTCCTTGTCCAAAGCTGTGACCGCTTCAAAAATTCGTTTTTGTTAACTTATGTATTTATGGTACCTTTTCAAATATAAGGTGGCGAAATGTCCCCAAAACTGTCCGGCCTCAGCCAAACTCGGAATTTCACAAGGAATTTTGTTTTCACTTCATATTCACGTTGATATTCCACATCCGTGGGGTTGGCGGAGTAAAAAATTTCAATCCCGGTTTCTTTGAGAGATCAACTTTGCCGTAATTCCCGTCATAAATATCGATAATTTTTAATAACATTTATCGACACTTTTTTTTATGATATTTTTGCACTCTGCTTTTTTGGTTGTTAACGCCCTTTGGGAGACTTTAATTTTTTTTCGTAATGCTCAGTTTATGAACCTTGATGTTGCGGAACAAACATTTTGAAATTAGCAGTACCCGAGCAGCGCCACGAATTTACGTGGAACAGTTAGTGCTTAAAATTGTTTCTATGTTATTCGAGTTTTGATGGGTGGCTATAAAAAGAGGTCGCCTGGAAATTTTTAAAAATTGAACTTTTTGGCATCCACATACTTCGAAATATAAAGGTAGGATGCCGTTTTGTGACAGCTTTCCGCGTTGAAGTACTGTCACATCATGTTCGAGTCAGTTCACGTGTCAATTTTGTAGTTGTGAAAAACTCGATTTGCGAATTTCTCACTTTGACTCCGATTTCTATTGAATTCCGTCGTTTTAATAAAAAATGCTTTACCCCTGCTGAAAGCCCTTAAAATTGCATTTCAAAAAACCAAGATAGCTAAGCAACAATCTCCACTAATTGCGCAGTACACTATATGAACCAACTGTCTAACGTAACCTGGGACATGCCTTAGTTTATTTAAAGTTTGACAAAACCTCGCAAATTTTAACAACGATATTTAACTTAAATTCGATCATTAATTATCTATGTCACACTTTACTATTAAGAATGTTGTCTTGCCTTATTAACAGCTCAGTTTTACAAATCATCGGTGAAAAAAGGCGTCAGCGTCATTACCGGTGTCGAACTCTTGATGACGCTTCTTACTTACGGCGCCCCGCTATTTTCTTCAATTGGCGTCCCCGTTTTCGCTCTGACAGCCCCGCACCTCAACATGTTCTTATCTTCCGCATTTTTGGGCTACATAGAAAAGAGGGGGGCTGGTCCAAAACTACTCCTGGTTCTGCTCTCCTTCATAAACTTGTGGATTTTCACCTTCGGACTTTTAATGATAGTCAATGTTATTTGGATATTTCTTCCACAAGTACACCAAATGATTTTGGTATTACGCGAAATCAGGTAATTGACCTTAATTCCGTTTTATAATTTTCTAAAGTATTCAAATTGTTTAACAAGTGGAGATTTTAAAAACATCCAGGACATGAGCATAAATATCTGATATTTATTAGAACACTGTGATTACGAAGGCACTATGTAATTGAAATGCCGAGAAAATGGGGCCTGCTGAGCATCCTCTTACATAAGAATAAATGTTATCAAATGGTCCACTAATGTACAAAATTAATTAACTATCAACATTTAATTAATTCAGAATTATTTCTCCTATCAACATCCACCATCGTGCTCTGCTACTAAAAAAATTCTTTAAACAATATCAATGGTTACTTGTGGCTAAGGCTAAGCGTACATATGTACCCCAGTTATTTCCAAAGTAAATGGAATTATCGATCAGTAAAATTTTTGGAATGGATAGACAATAACTACATATGTACTTGTATGCAAATAATATGTACATATGTATATATGCTATGTACAGAAAATAATATGCCATAATTCTTTAAAATTAGACCAATATGCAAAGTCACTTGGACATCAATGATTAAACAATGTGTTCGGAAATGATAACATCAAATAACATGTACATATGTTACTTATTAGATACTTTACATGTTTTTTTAATCCTGTTCTTTATCCACAGACCTGGAAACAGGACTCCCAAATTTAATAAACCATCTGCGAGAAAACCTGGAAATGCGATAGGAACTTTACGCGTAATCCAGCTTCTTCAACAGCGCTTTAATCACGTAACTAGGCGTAATTTCGCATCGACCTCGATAGTCGTTATTATGGGGATTTGTGTTACTTGTAATTGTGGCGTCGTTACGGCACAATACTCGAATAGCAACGCATTGGGAGTGCATCTTGGACAAATTCTGGCGTCACTGATTTCAGGAACTTGCACAGTGTCCTTACTCAGCGGATGTCACGCGACCGGAATGGTTTACATGACCACAAAAGGTACAATTCAAGCTTGGAAGAATCAGCAGGTTGGAAGTTACCTGACCAAGGTTCTCGGATCATTACGACCGGAAGCGGTCAAGATTGGTTCGGTCATGTCGTATCAAAGAATGACTACGGTCACCGTGGGGATGGCGATTATTAGATACACGGGAAGAATTCTTATTACATTTAAGAGTAAAATTATTAAAGTTTAAGGAAAATTATGGAAAGTTGCTAATCAGGAATTTTATTTTGAGGTTAATAAAGTGTATAATTAATAAAGGCCAGTTTACTAATTGGAATTTGGTTTCAAGAAATTCAGCTTTTGAAACAAAAACTATTGCTTCTAAACATAAATAATTGCTTTTTATGGAATGTAAATTTGTATGAAAATGTG